AAAAATTCTTAACTTCGCCGCTAGAGTTATTTTCGGCCGCCGTAAATTTGACCATGTCTCCGACCTGCGAACAAAACTCGGGTGGTTGTCCCCGCGCGGTATGTCCGATTTCCACACCCTTGTCATCGCACACAAGATCATACAGCGCCGTGAACCTGAGCAACTAGCAGCCCTGTTCGTCGCTAATAGCGCTATCCGCGAGAGACCATCCAGACAAGATCACTTCTTCCATCTTCCCCGTCCACGGCTGGAAACGGGCAAGCGGCGGTTTGGCTATCGAGCTGCAGCTCTGCTGAACAGCCTGCCACCTCACCTGTCGCAGCTGCCTCCCGCCCGCTTCGCCCGCGCTGTTAAAGCCGCAATCGTGGACGATGAATCAGCACATCGTCGCTGACCAATAGGATAGGGGTGGGTAAAAGCGATGAGGCTGTCCTGAGGGTGTTTTGTCCTTGTTTTGACGTGAGTGAATGTGCAACTGTTTTGAATGATTAGATTAGCAACCGCGGATACGGATTCTGAGCAGTAATCGCCACGCACTTTGTATGTGGATCGCTCTTAAATGTAAATACAATACAATACAATACCGCCGTGACGCCCACCGTCACCGCCCGGGGGAACTACAGGAAGATGCTTCATGATAAACTTAATACTGGGGTGCAGCTCCAGAGTCCAGATGGTATTCATATATTCCCACATATAATGATTTGGTTTCATCCATCAGCAACACATGGCTGAATTGTGTTGAATTATTTACTCTGATGGTCTGACAGCATGTTAGATACAGAAGGGAGTCGGATACAAAGCATCTTGTTTGCACCCTAGTTTTTATAGTCTCCACTAAAAACACATTTTCTGTTTATAAATTGCAGAAGTGACAATGATATTACCAGAAATGGACTGGTATTTTAGATTTCATAACAGTGCTGTAAGGTAAACTCAGATGCTACAGCTTTTATAGGATGGCATTTAGTTACTATTTTTGTATTTTTATTTCACATGCTGATAAAATCAGAGCAGAGAATAGGTAGTGTGCTCAATTGCTGGATTTTGGAACATTCAAAGCTGAATTCCTTGAGCTGGTAAGCATAGGTAGGTAGTTTGTCACTGCTTTAATCCTAAGTTCAAAAGACAGACTTAATGCAAATGAATCTATCTGTGAGTTGTGTACACACATTAATTTAAGTGTATTTTATTTTTCAGATGTAAGGGTAATATGAATCTGCATAATTATAATTTGCAAGCAGCATATTCTCCACCAAATTTCACCAACAGTGATAAGTCACCAGGAATGTTTAATAAAAATAGTAAAAACGTAACATTGTCAGCTATTATTGATATGAAATGTAGGTACCTACAGATAATTCTCACAGAAAAACTAGTGGAGCAGGGATTCAAGTTCAATATTTTTATGCTTCTGCATGAACTAAAGTTGGGTCAGCTATCAAAGTCAATTCAATGTTGCACCAATTTAAATGCAAAATGATAAAATGATCAGAAAACAATCAAGAATGCTATAAAGATCTTCATCTCAATCTTGGATTTTCTCAAACACATGGCCATTGGGCATTGGCAAATCTTTATCTCAAGTACCTATTCTATCAAAATTTTGATGCAGTGCTCTTCGAAGCATTTAATTCTCTTTTTGGTTGTTGCAAAGCAATTGACACCTATTGGTACCTGTGTATTGATATTTATTTTGAATGCGTCGAGTCATAAGTCATGCAAGTCAAAGTGAAGAAAATGACCATACCTTCGATAGATCAAGATGCGTAATGAAACGGCTGATGCCAATTGACAAACAACATGAAAATATGTTTTGTTGGGTAAGGCTATAAAAATTCAATTTCTATCAAATATACCTTAGACCTCCAGCTTCTCCAATCCACAGTGCATATAAATAATCTCAAATCATACCACGCGCGCTACATATTCGAAACCCAAACAAATTATTATCGGCATCACGTAGCGCTGCTGTTGTAACAGCTGCGCAACAAATGCCGGCTTCAAATCCAACCTCGAGTTTGTTTTAAAAGTAGTAAATTTGGGTAGCGATACCCAAATGAGAAAGACGGAATAATGTTTAAAAAGGTTTATTTCATTTCTTTCTTTCAGTCTATTGATCTTTTTTTTACAAAGAACTTGTTTAAAAAACAGTGAAAACGTAGAAATCGTTCCAGGGCATATTTTAACATACTGACTGCGTCCCATTTTGGGACGCAGCCCCCTGCCTTTGGGACGTAGCCCTCGCGAAATTTGGACCACTGCGTCCCACACTGAAATGTTACGGTTTCAGCGGAAAAGTGCAAGCAAAAATAATTAACATGCCTCGGTCGTTTACTATGCAACAGATGTTGTCTTTCTGATTGCTTTGTGCCCTGATTTACTATGCACCTAAGCACATACATGCGCTCTCCAGTCCTTGTGCCCTGCCCTATCCTAGGGTCGTACACCTTGTTATGTCCTGCCCCCTACCCCTAGGATATGTGACCTTCCCAGTGCCCTGTCCTAAGGTCTTGTACCTTGCCCTGCCCTTCCTTCAGGCCCTGCGCCCTGCTCTGCATTCAGGCCCTGTGACCCTCTCTGCCCTACCCAGTGCCCTCAAACCCGATACCTTGTTGTCTTCCCGTCTTAAGGACCCATTCGGTGCTGCTGCCGGTTCGGTGCTGGGCCCGGATTTCGGGAAAATTGTGCATGTCTAGTCCTGTTTCTTGCCCTGCCCTCAGATCCAATAATACTTATATTGATAAAAAAATCAAATATAACACTTTAGCTTAAGCTGGAGAAGATTATCCCTGGACCTGGGCGGAACCCAGGGAGGCGAGGCGAGTTATCACAAGCAGCATAAGTGTCACCTTTAATCCCCTCCGCTCCCCCTCCCCTGTGGCACCATCCGCCGCCCACCACCCATTCATGATTGACATTCGCGTAGTCGCCGTGCTGGACCTGTCGGAGCCGAGCCGGACGTGCGAGCCTGGATGTTAGGCTGACCCGGGCGGAATCGGCGCCCACCCTTCCGGGGATTCTCGGCCATTGAAACCAAGGCCGTATAAGAGAGGTAGAATCATCCCGCGATTTCCAATAGACCGGTCGCTAAGCATTAGCATGACGTCACTGGTGGAGACCGGGCGGCGCCCGGCTCCAAGCTGTACGTCGGGTACGTACATTTGGCACCGTATAGTTGTTATTAATGAACGACGAACGTAACGACAACTAATGACTCTTAATGACTTTTTTATTCACCTAAAGCTGATTTCCTTGCCGGTACATTGCCGACCCGAGCCCCAGGGTTGACAATCATGGGATATGGGTCGGATGAGCGGCCTCGCGACGGGAGGAGGAACGATTGCAATTGTTGTGTTCCGCACCGCCGATGGCATTCTCATCTGCACCCGGGGGGAGGGGAAGCAGGGGGCACGTGCCCCCATCGGATCAGGGGGCCTCTCGGGCCAGAGGGGCCTTGCGACGCCAATTGGCGGCTGAGGGTCCACGCTGGCATCTTTCGACTCAGAAGGGCTCCACAGGACTCGAAAGAACACCTTATGTGCTCCAAAGAGCCACACTTCTCTCCATAAGAGCCCCACATCGGCTTTTTAGTGTCCCTTGTCGGCCTTTGAGGGCCCTTTGCCGGCTTCTCAGGGCCTATTGGCGACCTCTGAGGGCTACTTGCCGGCCTCTGAGGACCCTTACCGGCCTATCAGGGACCAGCAGCTCTAAGGGTTCCACACACGCCTGCGATGACCCCCTAAACCAATGGTTGAAGGCCCCCACGGCCACAACGGCGCCTGCGAGGGCCCTCACCGGCGGCTGTGAATGCCCCACACCGGTGCCTAGCTGAGGGCCCCACACTGCTACCTCTGAGTGCAACCGGCACCCCTGAATGAGGTCCCGAAACCAGTGCTTCTTAAGGCCATATATACGTATCGGCGGCTCTGGGGGCTCAACGCCGGAGCCGCATCGGACGGCCACTCACCGGTGACTTTTGAGGGCCCCACACCGACGACTCTGAGGGCCCCACTGGCGTCTGAGTGTACCTTGCTGGTCTCTAAGGACTCCACAGGGCTCCCGAAGGCACCGCAGACCTCTTGAGAGCCCCTGTCGGCCTGTAAAGGGTTCGAGCCAGCAGCTCTAAGGGTCCCACACCCGACTGTGACAACCCCACACTGCAGTGTCTCTGAGGGCCCACAACGGCAACTGTGAGGACCCTCACCGGCGCCTCTGAGGGCCCACAGTGACACCTCTGGGGGCCCCGCACCAATGCCTCTGAGAGCATCACACCGGTACCTGTGAGGGCCCACCTCAGTGCCTCCAAAGGCTTCATAACCGGCGGCCCTGAGGGCCCTACACGGGTGATTTTGAGGGGCGTACCGAAGGCACCACACAATCCCTAGTCTCGCTGAGCTTCTATCCCAATCCCATACCGGCTTCTATCCCAATTCCGGCTCAACTAATTATCAGCCCTCCCCCCCTCCATGGGTCTCCATACCTATGTTTATTCGCTAAACATAGGTACCTACATTTAGGTGCATCAAGGGAGGTCAAACACGCCCAACGACGCTCAGGAAAACGAATGACTAACAGCAATGGAAATATCATTTACTCGCCGGTCCGTCCTTTGAATGCGGAAAAAGAACGCGCTATGACTGGGCGAATTTCGAGACTGGCCAAAAGCAATCACAGCCCGCTCCCAATATCCCGCTTGCTGTCCCTCCACCGGCACATTACACAATGACACGTGTATTTCACCTGCATTATATATTATTTCGCTTGCAATGTGGTATGTGCCCTTTCCGATCGAAGCATGTGCCCTATGCCACCTTTGGGACGCAGTAAAAAATCCTTAAAATATGCCCTGAATCGTTCTGAAAATGAAACTGAAAAAGTACTAACATAATAAATAAACTTCACAACCAAATTAGTGATAGATGAAACAATTTTACTATCCTACTCAACTCCACAGCTCCCAAATCTTCGATCTCCTACTGCTATGCTATAAACAAACTGCAGCCGCAGGGCAGTTTGTGTGTTTTTATATACCTTGCCGCAGGGGTGGAGATATTTCTTCGGGGTGGAGCGCTTCAGGATTTCAATTTTGTGCTTGTATTTTATGCGTAGCGCTCTCACTTGCTTTATTTTGTTAAGATAACGTCAGTGCTGTTCAGTGCTGTTTGTCATAAGTTAAAGTTGAAGTGGCATTACATTTGCAGACTGCTAATTGTATGAGAAGGTAATTAAGAGGTAGATGTTACAAGTTATTTTACAGCATTTGTTGATTGTTCATGTTTGTAGCTTAGTGGCTTCATCATTTCAAGATCAGCCATTGATTGATTCAAGGGCTCTGCCACAGTCTCAGCACCGGGTGTCCGACCCAAAAATGCATGGTATTAGTAGAGCAGACGTCACACGAAGGTTTTCCAACCAAGGAGAGGCCAAGGCGCTATACCCGGAGGTGCTTCTTTCTAACAAAACCTAAACAAACCTAACTTAACCTAACCGGCGTCTGTTGGTGGCAGTGTAAATATTGCACATGTGTATTGCACTTAGTTGCGCCATGAATAATTATCAGATATGAGCTCAGGAGGTCAAAATGTATCATGTGGTATGACTTTTATAGTGACATTCCTGATCGTACTCTTTCTGTAATAATACCAAAACCTACAACCTACAAACCTACAAACCTACCCTACAACACAACCTACAAACCTACAGCACCTCTCCTCAGTTGGAAAACCTTTGTGCGCCGTCTGCTCTACTAACACCAAATGCACATCTTTATTATATTTTAGGCTGCATTATGGAAGTGAAATTATTGTGGGGGGGTCCAGGGCCCGGACTCCACACCGCCCAGAGGCCAGAGCCCCTGGAAACACAGAAAAAGATCAATCCAGGGCCTGGATTGATCTTGTTCTGTGTTTTCTGTCCTGATGTGTGACATTCAGGTGAGCTGAATGAATATGGAGACAGCAGGCTCTTTGTAGCTTTTAAATTGAGCTCCTCGTATATCCAATGCATTCCTAGCAATGAGGCGTATTTATGGCCAATGACTTGAGGTGTGGTCTGTGTGCGGTGCCCTGATGGACATCAATGCAATTTGTAAGGAGTTAAGGTGTGAAGTGATGACCAATAACAGAAAACAGCTAGAGTCTCGAGATTTTGCCAGATTCTGTTGGTGATGTCATAATCATAGCATTGAAATGAAAAAAAAAACATTTTGAAGATGCATACCACTGTAGCTGTTTATGCTCATGATTTGGTAAGGGAATTTCCTTTCATGTTGTCAAAATTTTAAACACCTTATCAGAGCTGGGCGCGTTCCTCGATTTTCGGTAGTGCGTTAGCGTTCCTGCGTTCCTCCGGCCGCGGTTAGTGCGTTCCTGGAATAGCGTTCCTCATTTTTTTTCGTTCGGTGCGTTAGCGTTCCTGCGTTCCTGCGTTCCTCCCTCAAAAATACCGCCGAACCACGCGGCGCGGGCCCAACCAAACACGGGGCGAATCGATCACAGAATACCCAGAATGGCGACGTGGGGCCGAAAAGCAACTCGACATCTCTTTTCCGAATCGAATATCTGAAATACGTTTTACGAACATCATCCGTAGGGTTTTCAACAAAAATACGACCTCCTTAAAAACAATAGTTAAGTTAAAAGATGTATCTTAGTAAAAGTTATCATATTTATTTTACACATTTAATGCCTGAAACTGAACCGAATAGTAAACATCACCACTAAAAATCTTTACACATTTAATGCCTGAAACCGAATCGAATAGTAAACATCACCACTAAATCTAAGCAAGCCTTCTTCGATTCGACCGACAAGTGGCGCCTCTACCGGCAAACACACGTACTCGAGATTCAAACATTTGACACAGAGGTCATTGGCAGCAATATAATTTTTCGGGTGGTTCCGCAAGAACGCAGGAACGCTTCAAAATTTCGGGTGGTGCGTTCCTCTTACTTGCGTTCCTTTGAAAAACCTTGCGTTCCTGCGTTCTTGCGTTCCTAAAAAGGGTGGTGCGTACGTATGGAAGAACGCAGGAACGCACTAAAGGAACGCACTTGCCCAGCTCTGCACCTTATTGCACTCATCTATTTGGAATAGGCACTATGGAGCATGGACACCACTGGCTTGGAGTCATGTCAATACTCTGAACAGTTGCATTGCAATTGTGTGTGGTGAACATATGCTCACCTGCTCTAGACTATGAGTTCTAAGGACTTAATCCATGCCTAATACTTCCAGGGCCAAAACCATAGGCCAGAGGCCTCTCCTCCATATAAGTAGGTAGGGAACCTATCTAGTTTTACCTGGCCATAGTCCTGGTATCCCTATCATTAGAAAGCATTAAACACTGAGGATGATACATTTATGGAATGAAAATGGGCTAATGTGTTTTGTAAAAAGCTTTGAGTTGTCCAGACAGGGTTGGCATTTTTGCCGGCAAAAACTAGTTTATGCCATTTGCCGGTTTAAACCGGCTTTAACCGGCAAAAAGTGGCAAAAACTGGCAAAAACTAAAAACCATCACAATGATATGCCTAGACATGGATTTGAACATGAAACATTTTAAGGAGAATTCGGTGAAAGCTTTATGCTTTCAAACAGAAGTGACATTGACCGTTGAAGTGTTCTATAACTCAAAAACACTTTCATGGGCTCTCCATAAGGAACCAGTAAGACGCCTTTTGGGGTTGACAAATGAGCCAGTGCAAGAGTGAGTCCTGCACAATCAGAAGTGCGAAGGGGTATCTGCCACTGATATGCGCACGGCACCCTACCGTGGCAGCTTTGCCCCACTCTCCCCTACATGGAAATGCATTCTGTGGGGGATGTCTACCGACATGCATAGACATTTTAAGCAGGGATAAGTAATGAGGCAAACTTCAGAATGTTTGGTGCATCTCTATAACATCCAGAAATGCATTTGTACATTTCAGATCCATTCCTAACTAGAAAAGTTGTGGTTTGGGCCACCTGAGTTTTATCCAGTTTTGCCAGTTTTTGCCACCGGGATTTCTGCCAGCCGGTTTAAACCGGTTAAAACCACTGGCAAAAACCAGTTTTTGCCACCCCTTGCCAACCCTGTGTCCAGATAAGTTTCTGCTGAAGCAAAATAAACGCCTGAAGATAGCTTATTTGATCACCAAAAAATGCTGCTCTTTAGAAGCAAACATGGGCTTTGGCTTTTGCAGTACACCTTGGCCAGAAATTTTGAGGTGACACATGTGCTTTAAAGTGATTAAACCCTGTAAATTGCCTGTCCCGTAGCTCAGTTGGTAGAGCATTGGACTCCCGGTAGTGAGAGCCCGGGTTCGAGACGCTCCGGCGCTCGATATTTGAGACTCCTGACGGGGATGGTCTGCGGTTGGTGGGAGCAGCAGCAGCCAGTTGAAGTCAGTTTAGTGGGACGGGCCGTGCCCGGCTTTGAAGGGCACGTTAAAACTTTGGCATCTAAATTCTCCCGTTACCCGGAATTGCGCGATCGGACGGTAGGGGTCGGGGTCTACGCAACAAGCTCTGCTTAGCGTGGGCTGCGGCTCTGTCAATCCGTCCATTCAAACATTCGAGCTAAATTTATTAAAAAAAAAACATTCTCATGGTCAGAAAGCTAGCATTCCTAACCCACTCAAATACCTCCTGGAAACCAAAATCCATTGATTGCTGGTGTGCCTAGGCTCCACCCCTCCCAGTCCCACGTAACACGCCATACTCAGACCTCCTCCCTCCCGGCCTATATCTAACCCTCCCCTCCCCGCCAGGCCAGAGGAGACGGCCATGAGCGGTCTGCCACTGCCGGATCCGGCTGCTGAGGAGGATGACGACGGCCTCCAGGACCGGGCCGCCCTGCTGACGCCGGCCCGCCCGCGCCCCGGCCGCCGCCGCCCCCGCCCCCGCCCGCACACCGCCGCCGGCCGCTGCCTGCCGCTCGTCAAGACTTTCACAATATGTCTGTCGTTCTTCACCCTGGTGAGATTGTAGGGAAAGAGCGATATGCTTTTTCTTGCCATGTTACATGGATGTTAAATAGATCTATGAATAGACTAGTTTATTGTTAGAATTATTTGTAGAATTAGTTTTGGTATGTTTTAGGGCCCTTTGGTAGGATCCAACGTTTTCACTTTTTTTCAAAATTGCTTACGTTACATGCATTTTTTCATCCTCACACTCATGCAGTTGGACTGGCTGAAGCTGCATACTTGTAAACTGTACCTCACTTCGTCATGGTCCCAGCAGTCTTTCATTGTCTTTTCATCCATCCGCAGGGTTTGTGCATCGCCCTGCCGGGCCCGACGCTGCTCGACCTCCAGAGCCAGGTGTCGGTCTCGATGGCGCAAATCTCGCAGCTCTTCTTCTGGAGGGCTCTCGGATACCTGGCGGGATCCATGATCAGTGAGTAACGCGCGGAACATGGGACGAAATGCAGGTGATTTTTTTCTCGAATATCATTCCTTTGTTAATGTTTATACAATATACCTACTCAGCCAATGTGCATTGCCTTTGTGCCAGGTAAGTGATAAATGTTATATTTATAATAGGCAACGGCAAGTGATATTCTTACTTTTTTGACGAGTGGTGGTTGATTTGCGAGGCATTCCTGCCTTTCCTCGAACATTGTGCTTCTATTTTCAACCACGATCTATTCGCGGCTGAGCAATTCACGCTTCTACATAAAGTGAACCAATAAAGCAGTGGCAATCCTTTAGCTTTTGCCTAATGACTAAGGTAACCTTTCGTACCGTTTCCGGTGTTACGGGAGATAACTATTTATAGCTTGTGTTGTCACCCCAGAAATAGCCGTGCCGCCGGATCATTGGCGTGTCAACTGAAGCCGACGAGAGACCGCTCTCGCCGAGATTATCTTTAGATAGAACCAACGTTGATTGGATCCGACCAGAGCTACATCAAACAATACCTTTTTTGCGCGACCAGTTCCACGAAATGGCGATTCGACTGAGGGCGTTATCGGAAATTCTTGGCACTCTGATGATATTGCTCCTGTCCCGGAACTGAATGGTGAATGGATCATAGAGGAATGCAGATGGCCTGGCAGCTGAAAGCCCGTCTCGGGATGCAGGCGACTCGTCGATATATGCAATCAGACCTGGCGGACTGTTGATGTTTCCCGGAGTGCCGCTGCGTGCGTATGGCGACGCAGAGTTCAAATAGCCCCCACGGCGGATCATTTCCGGGCGTCTGATATGCTCTTTTCCTGAAATTCCTCCCAGGTTCCTTCAATAGATGACATAGGCACTGTCGAGTGTCGGGGGTAGCAGAGTCCATCGCAGTAGACTCTGAGAGACCTCCACCAGACCTTCTGCCCGTCCAGAGCCTGTGACCCGACGCTGTAACGCGAAACAGTCATTAGTCGGGCGGCAGTATCGGGTGATTAGAGCTGCGGGATGTTGAGGTTAGAAACCCGGCCGGAGAACTCGTTTTCTGGTACTGTCTTCGTGGCGTGTACAGATGGTGGCGAATGGCTGCTCTGAACACCTGTGGGTCCTGCTCAATGTTAATTGAAACGTTAATACATGCTAACAGTATTCATTGTCCATTCATCAGTACGACCTGTTGAGTGTTGAGTGTTGATCCTGCCAGTGTACTTGACGTTTGAGGCTTCGTACGTATGCATGCATATAAATTTTGGTTAAAAATATGAGCCTTGGTAGAGTTTCAAGTCTGCTAATCATTCACAGTCGATCATTGTTGTAAAAAATAGCAACTCTCGAACTTTATAACGTCACAAACCCCTTGATCACGTATACACTAACTGCCACTTACTGATTCTTACTGTAACCCCACCCCTCTGTCACCTTCCTTCCAGGCGGCCTGCTGTTCGACAAGCTGAACCGCCTCCTGATGATGCTGGCGAGCATGGCGCTAGCCGCGGCCGGGATGGCTACCGTACCGTGGCTGCGCAGCGCCCTCTCGCTGAACGTCTGCTTCGCCGCGCTGGGAGTGCCTCTTGGATTTGTTGACACGGGTAGGTGGCGCTGTGGATAGGTGAGACGGGCGGCGAGGGTCACGGGTGGCTCATGAGATGGGAACGGATGTATTACGTATAATGGAAGCTGGTTAGATGTGTTACATGGTGGTGTCATGGGAAGGAGGCCGTTGCTTCTTTTGTGTCAAAATTCAGCAGGGAATGTACCAATGCCAATGAATTGACTTAGGTACTGGGGCCCCGAAACTGCCTGGCATCTTTTCTGGACATTCCACTTGTTTGTTGACATGTTTTGTTATAATGTGCGACAAAAATCACCTGCATGCTTCGGTGCTGTTTTGGAAATACGGTTCTCCCTTTTGGAACGGTTTGTTTTGGCGATGGCATGTCGCATATTTTCCCGGGGAAAGTTTACACAGCTGGATTTGCTTGGAATGCGGGTTTTGTCGTGTAAGGAATCACCTCCCCTGGCGTGATTGACAGCTACTGATTTTCGCTTACTTATTTTTGTATCATGTGTGTCCCATCTGTGATTCTCGTCTGTGCTCTTTCCTTGGGCAAAACCGACTAGGCTGTATCTGTACGTCTAACGTGTCACGACTCACGGTATTGGGTGCTAAAAAGGCGTAACGAAAAGGAAAGTGGTCACTTTGGCCCTGCCAAGTTACCTGTGGAAACCAATTTTGGGCCAGCCCCGAAATTGCAAACTCTGCAGACCGTGGTGCCTTTTTACGGAGAAGTAATTTCCCGTTCTGTGATGTCTTTGCTACCTGTGAGACCCCGTGAGTCGTATGTATTACCAGCGATTCTTTCTCATCACGTTTGTCTCAGCTGTACTTTGTCGACTGTCGTATCACTCATCTTCTGTATTTTCTCACTTACTTGTCCCCCTCCTTCTGCCCGCAGGCGGTAACGTGCTGCTTCTGGACCTCTGGGGCAAGTCGAGCGGCCCCTACATGCAGGCCATCCACTTCAGTTTCGGCCTGGGGGCCTTCGCCGCACCGCTGCTAGCCGTGCCATTCATCGCGCACGGGCCGGCGCCCAATGGCACAGCGGCGGTTCTGTTTGGTCGAAACCATCTCCATACCGTAAACCTACCGACTGGTCTGAACGATCCGACCAGTAACCCGACCGAGATACCCGGCGAGACGATCTCTGAGGTGATTGATTATGTCACTCAACCACCGGCGAGCGTACAGGACGTCTCCTCCGTGAAACGAGACAGCGTAGAACCCCACTACTTCAAACTCGGTTTGGCGTTGGCTGGTGGTGACGCGTCCCTGCGAATCCATCGCTCTGTTGATGCTATAGCACCGGAGGATCATCCCGCGACGGTGCAGGGACGGGAGACTGAGGAGGTAACAGCGGCAGAGGAAAGAAAGAGTGTGGTTGGGAGGGAGGGGGTGACGCTGGACGGGAAGAGTGGAGAGGAGAGAGGAGGCAGTACTGGAGGGACTGAGAGTGCAGGGGATGAGCCGACGGCTGGTGATGCTACAGAGCTAGCTATGGGGGCTGGTGTGGGGAACGGGGAGACGTCTGCGACCGATACGACGGTAGGGCCATCTGTTGTCGCAATGGAGAACTCTAGGGTCGTGACACAGGCGGCCGATGACTCTGCGCCTACAGCTGCGCCCGTAACAACTGCACAGCCAAGTGGGGACGATTCGTCAGCGATGAAGGTTAGCCTGAACGATGCCACTCCGGAAACTAAGCTCCAGCTACCGATTAATATCACTGAAGACACTGACCTCCCCAATGCTGGTCAAAACGCCTCTGAAGGAGCAATGTATGACGTGACAATGAACCCGAACCTCAACTTCACCGAGTCACCGATAGATGCCACTACTATCGGAAGCACCCTCAACGCCTCCGAGTCCATTGAAGAACCTGCTATGCAGCACACACCAAAGCCAAAACCTGTCTTCACGGACGGAAACAAACTCGAGCATGACCAGACCTGGGCACGACCTCCGTTGAAGCCTGCGCTGCACCCCGCCCCCGCTGAGCCGGAACCCCCGGCTACGACCTCTGAGGCACGTACCCCTCCTGCAAACACCACGGAGAGCCCCTCCACTGCGCAGGCAGTGAACAGCACTGAGGTGTCCGCCACACCGAGCCCAGGAGGAGAGAATGCCTCATCACCGACGTCTGCGCCAGACGCTGCGGCGACAGGAGACAGCGGAAAGGGCGCTGGAGGGGAGGTAATCGCAACGGAGGCTGGACAAGAACATGGTAATGACACAGGACAGACGAGTGATGGGAAGGAGGGAGGTGAGCAGATGTATGGTGAGATTACCACGACCGCTTCTAACATTGCGGGCGGCACGGTTCTGGCTTCTGAAACGATTTCTGATGTTGCCGCTCCTATAGATACTACAAACGCTCCTGATGGTGCGTCTGAAGTCGTTGGCTCGAAGCTGGACCCCGTTGATGGCAATGAGGCTGTTACATCTCCTCCTCAGCCCTCTCTTGCATCTGAGCCCAGCTCCGCTTCGGATGCCGTCTCAAAGTCGGCCTTACCGCGCCCAAAGCTGCCCTACGGTGGTCCCATTGCCACAGAACCTCCTGCTTCTGGTGCTAGCTCAGATATGTCCTCCCCAACCAACGAGGGGAGACCCGTCAGTGCTGAAGCCATGCCAGAGGCTTCCGCCGGGATGGCCTCTAGTGGCTCCGACACGAACACATCCCCTGAGGCAGCTGACTCTGATTCTAACCCCGGACCGATTTCGGCCGAAGTCAGACCGGCGCCTGGCCTTTCTGAACGCCCTGAAATGGACTCCTTTGGTCCCTCGGAGGAGGACTGGGACCCAGAGGAGGTGGTTGGTACGGAGCCGGGACTGAGCGTGCCGGCCGTCCCACCCACCGCTGCCGTGCCGGCCACAGCACCGGGAATCCTGAACGCGGCTCCATTGCCGACGGCTAGCCAAGGAGCGGTGGAGCCCAGCCGGGGGAGTGGAAAGCAGGGTGCACCTAGTCAGGTGTCATCTCCCGGTCGTGAAGGGGAATCGAGCTCTAATCAAGACTCTCAGGTAGACAGTGGACGCGAGTCCAGCCCTGTCTCTGTCTCATCCACACCAGACTCCCCCTCCTCGCCCCCTCCGCCGCTTCCTAAGCCTCACAAGCCGGGCACCTATGACGATACCTCAGCTGAGGACGGGCTGCTAACGCGTCTGTCGAGCGCCGCGGCGGTGCGTGGCGTGCCACCGCTGGCACAGCTGTACCTCCTAGTGAGCTGCTCGCTGCTTCTGGTGGCTCTCATCTTCCTGGGTCTACTAGTGTACGACCCCCGCGCACGGCGTGCCGTGCCGTCCGCAGATGCCGGCGCCGGTCCGTCGCGCTGTTACACTGGTACACTGGTCTCACTCATGGCTATCGTGCTGTGTTTTTATGTGGGCATGGAAGTGGCCATGGGTCAGCTCCTGATGAGTTTCTCAGTCCACTCCAAGGTGCACCTATCGCGCGCGGGTGGTGCCTACGTGACCTCGGTGTTCTGGGGTCTGTTCGCCACCGGCCGGGCCCTGTCCGTGTGTATAGCCGGCGTGCTCCGGCCGGCCGCCGTGCTGGCCGTCAACTACGCGCTGGTCACCGCCGGCTCCGCTGTTCTGCTGGCCGCTGGCAGCTGGGACCGCACGGCGCTACTGGTCGGCGGAGCGCTGGCCGGCCTGGGCATGTCGTCCGTGTACCCCGCCGCGCTGGTCTGGCTCGAACAGCACGTACACGTCAGCAGCCGCCTGGCCGCTGTGCTGGTCGTGGCCGGCGCGCTGGGCGAGATGCTGCTTCCGGCCGGTGTGGGCGCTCTGATGGCGGTCGAGCCGCGGGCGCTCACCTACTCCCTGGCCGCCTGCACTGCCGTGTGTCTGGTGATGCAGGCGGTGGCGGTGGTGACGGCCCGGGTCGGCCGGCCGGCGGTGGGACCCCTCCAGGGCTACCAGCTGGCCGCGCAGGAGGAGGAGGAGGATATGGTCGACCTGGCCAAATACCCGGGCAGCGGAGAGGACGGCAGCAGGAGGCTTCTCAGGATGTGAGCCGGTGAAAACTGCCTGTGCCTGTGCAGTGGAAGTTGAGCTCACTTGACGCAACCTACCGTGGTCCCAGCGAGTGTTTGCTGGACGACACGGCACGACATTATCGGAGTTGTCGATGGTTACTGCCTCGGGTATTCTCTACTTTAGTCTGGAGTCACAGACATAAGCGTGCTTGCTTTGGCCATCGGCATTCGACGCCTTCGTCTGCCGTCGTTTCATCCCTTGACGACCTACCGAGTCTTACGCTGAGCTCCCGCCTTGAGGAAATGTGTCTCTGTGCCATTTCATGTGCTGAATCGTTATCACTGAGCCCCATGTCGGCTTGCGGTGTCTGTTCCGTGCTTCTTGTCTGCATTCTTCCCCGCTTGCTGCGTTTCCGAATGCAGAGATCCACTCGTCTGGAAGCTATCTTCCCCGCTCGTCTGACTGGCAGATACCGAAGTTTCCGGCGAACAGAGATTGCCTCGATGGCTATGGCATCTGTGACTGTCTCACCTCTGGTTGCCATTCGTTCCAGATTATATTCAGACATGAACGCGATACAAACCCATCAATTACTCACCCCAGAGCGACAATGATATGTGAGCTCCGCACACATTTTGTGAGAGCTTCAACCTGCCGTTCTCATAAGGCTGAATGCATCTCGTGACTTCAGCTCTCTCCGTCGTTGAACAAGCATGAGCAAGAAACCGAACAAGCTCTGAAGTGACGGGTCAAGATGTGGGACGTTTTTCCTCGTGCTTTTACTTGTGCAATATTATCGACGTAGGCATCTCGGTTTTCGAACGCTAGTTAGGGGTTGTTAGTTGGAAACCCACAGTGCATGGGTTCCTTGTTGGTTTATGTTATCCCCCAACAGGCACAGGCTGTTCGCTTCAGTTTATTCCATAGTAGCAGTTGGCGTTATTTTTAGTAATATTTATGGACAGCTATAGCTGTCAATCCGAGCAATGTAAGACTTCTGAAGTCATGTGAATACTTGGCTGTTTCTGTTTGAATTGTCACATAGCCCTCTGTTCGTCACTCTCAGTAGTGAACGTATTTATAATTGAATTCCTGATTCGAGGTCTTAGACAATTTGGGAAACCAGTGCAATCATCGAGATATTGAAGACGATATCTTGCAATATGGTTTAAACGAAACGACACACGACGCGTGCGTATCCTGTGTAAAGTTAAAGTAATCTGGGCATAATAATATGATATTGGACGATCGTGCACCTGCAGTAGCGCAGTGCGAACCGCGCTTTTGTAAGCGATTCTATTCCCCTGCCTGACCTGTGACCTGTAGGTACTTGTCATTGTAGCTTACACGCCTGTAGCTTACACGCTAATAGTACCACCCCTCAACGTAACCGTTGTAGCTTTTTCATGTACTTACCGACTTAGGACGGTCTTTGCTGACTGATCTATGGCCCGATGATATTCGTGATCTTCATGCGATCTTTTGCACTCCAAGCGAGCCCTCTGACTGTCAGGAGCGCGAGGTATGGCTGGGGATTAGGCAGCGTCCTAGGTACTGTGTCTAAATGCGACCCGTGTGACCTGACCCGACCTGGCGACCGCCGCTGTTAGATGTTGGGTCACCCGGTGTGACCGTTGAATGCCTGTGAAGAGCTTACCCCTGCCACTGAGCCACCGTAGCGGCCGCACGGTAGCGGGTATCGTAGAGAGCTTCTGCCCATGTCCGTTTTCTAGAATCCGTGTCCCCACTTGCAGTCGCTACACTTAAAAGCTGCTAGTCTAGGTAACTATCGCTTCAAGCTCATGTGTAACACCACCGCCCGCGATTCTCTGCGTGCGGGTAGCGATGTTCCGCCGACGGTGGTGAAATGTAAATAACTGGCAGCTGATGTCGAATAGATGAGCGGAATTCCGCTGTGTGACGTCACACTGAGCGAGCGCTACGTCACGATCAACTTTGTGTGATACGGTGTCATGAATTGCTAAGCAATGTGAGCCCTAGTCACAGTGTGGGCTTTCTGGTTTTTGCTGAGTTGGTATAGAGCTGCTTATCTCTTACTGTTAAGTTGTTATTTTATGAACAATCTAGGTTAGAAGTGCGGTCATTTGACTGGTCTGTGCATGGCCGTGGCGGCATTGTGTCGCTTAGTGCAGGATGCTGGTTTTGAGGTGCAAATTAACGCCCCGACTCCACGAATACGTGATGTGGGTTCGCTGATAAGGTCATTCCCCGCTCATTTTAACGTGGATCGAATGGTGACTCGGTTAGTGGCCGTATAGCATTGATGTGTTCTTTTACTCGGTTGTGTTTAATGTTGCCGGTTTATGTGCTGAAAATCGTGTCAATATATCCCACGCTGTAAATAGATGACCTTTGTGTTGGTGCGAAAGGTCGGGACGAACGAATAATGCGAGATGTTGCTGGTGCTAGCCATGAGAATCCGCGTACTGGATCATCTGGGAGCACACTGCACAAAGTGCACATGTCTTCGTGCATCGATAAGTAACGACCACAGGCCAACATCACCTAAATACCGACCGATTAAAACGGGAGGGTGTAGTCTGCAGAGGTTTTACGTCTCGTTTGCGTTTACTGTGGAAGTTAGCTGTCAAGTTATTACAGGCCAATTATTCTTCGATATTAAAGAAAAGGCCTTCAACAAAACCAGCGACGAAGGACTTTTTAGACCTCGCCGGGCCTATTGGTTTTCTACATACGCGCCGGCCGAGGGGGGGGGGGGGGCGGGTACGACCCCCCTCGCCGTTTCGCCCCTGGTGAAGCTAGCGCGTCGCGGAAAAAACGAGCGTGTGCGCCGTTACGAGATGCAGAGATTGGTACCCGATTTTAAGGTCCTAGGTCAACCGGTGACCTCTGAGGTCAGGTCAAGTGCCCCAAGGTACGGTTCAGTTTTTGGTGAATAACTTCGCAAAAAACGGCCGCAGAGCCGCGATTTTGGCAGCATCGTGTTCGCCTCGCTCAGGCGCGTCGAATGATATACTTTTTGTTTGGGTCAGGTCAACTTAAGGTGTTGACCTCAGGTCAAGGTCAGGTCAGCATCCCCTGGTCACGAAGTTGGTCAAAAGAGGTCATGTCGCATATCATTCGATTCGGCAGGTCTTCCTGAGTCCATTGGTGGCTTTCCCGACTCGCTAACTCAATTTGATCAAGAGTTATTGACGAAAAACTAATATGACCTTGATGACGTCATAAATGACGTCACGCAAGGTCAACATTGCAAATGTGACGCATCTAACCTTGCAAGGAGTGCACCAAATCACGATTCTGTGTGCTTGAGATAGTTGGAGATCGTTCCCGGCGCCAGAATAGCAGTTTTCATTTTTCCCCATTGACTTATAATGGTGAGGTCACGAAAATGACCTGACCTCATATGACCTTTAGGAAAAATCCGAGATATACAAGTTGTGAGACTCATAATGGATACTAGATCCTGCAAGTTTCATTTCCTTGTGACATCTCCTCTGGCAGTGAGGGCGTTGCGAAGTTGCGACATCTGAAGACCGTGCAGAGGTTCACTTATGACGTCATAGGTCAGTGACCTGACCTGACCCAAAAATGCGGTTGGTGTCAAAAGATCCGGCTTGAATCAAAGGTCAGGTATGCCAAGTTTCAGCTCTCTATCGCCAGCGTGTTGGGAGCTATCGCGAAAAAAAAAAACCTATGGGGGGGGCGGCACCCGCCCCCCCCCCTCGGCCGGCGAGGGTTAGAGCACAGAGTGGTACTCGAGGTCCTTTTTCTACATAGGTTCTCAATATTCAGCCCTCAATAGTGTGGCTTGCAGCTGCGGGCTGCCGATATATTGCCCTCAGACCTCCGACAGGTCCCCGGAATCCAACAGGTAGGACACACGCCTCTTTCTCAGCTGTGCTACCGCCGCTCCAATGCTATGCCAATACGGTACAATTGAACTTTTTTCTAGCAACCAGAAAATTCGGTTTCTGTTGCTCGCGATTAGACCCAATCAGATGGGACTGAAATTAAGATACATTGGCCCGATTACGGATCAGGTATATCATGAGTCACCATCTCCCCCCCCCCCCTAAAACAAAGAGCCGTGTGAAAACTGCTATTCTAGCGCTGGGAACGATCTCCAACTATCTCAAGCACACAGAATCGTGATTTCATGCACTCCTTGCGAGGATCGTTGCGTTAATTTTGCAATGTTGACCTTGCGTGATGTCGCTTATGACGTCATTAGGGTCATATTAGTTTTTTTCGTCAATAACTCCCGATTTAACTGAGATAGCGAGTCGGGAAAGCCACCAATGGACTCAGGAAGACCTGCCGAATCGAATGATATGTGACATGACCTCCTTTGACCAATTTCGTGACCTGACCTGACCTGACCTGGGCGCTGACCTGACCGTGACCTGAGGTCAACACCCTAAGTTGACCTCACCCAAATAAAAAGTATATCATTCGACGCGCCTGAGCGAGGCAAACACGATGCTGCCAAAATCGCGGCTCTGCGCCCGTTTTTTTTGCGAAGTTATTCACCAAACACAGAACCGTACTTGGGGCACTTGACCTGAACTCAGAGGTCACCGGTTGACCTCGGACCTTAAACTCGCTAATCGGGTCTCAACCGCTGTGTCTCGTAACGGCGCACAGGCTCGTTTTTCCCGCGACGCGCTAGCTCCATCAGGGGCGAAACAGCGAGGGGGGGTCGTTCCGCCCCGCCCCCCTTCGGCCGGCGCGTATGTAGAAAATCAATAGGTCCAGCCAGCCCCAGGGCCTGGCGCTTGGAATGGATCATGGGAAAATGACAAATTGAATAAATAGGCGTGGCAGGAACGGTCACCGGATAGAGCATATTTTCATCTGGATTTCGCTTAGGTATAGCCTGCTTGAATCATAAACGATAAGAGCTAGACAGTGGCCAGTGCCCCGATGAATACAGGAGAAAAGGCGACTGTCGAATGCAGACAATGCAAGGAATAAGCCTGGTTTCAGATGCAAGTAGAAAGTGGCCGTTCTATTTAGGGGAATAGTGCTGATAAATGGCAATCGCCACTCTGAATAAAATATTTTCAAATTTGTTGTGCATATGTTATAAGCTATTTGTCACTCAATTCATGAAAAAAACGTTTTCGTTGAATAAAATTCGCGATGCTTTTATCCTTGCTTTTATCCCACGACTCGCGCCAAATTTAGCGAGCTTGATTCTGCTGGAGACGCGTCGCGTAGCAACGGCCAGCCGCCAGAAAGCTCGCGCCGGCGCGTTTCATTCGTTGGCTGGAATTCCGCGGGTGCTGTCTGTGCGTCTGGCGGGAATGATCTGGAACTGCGAAGCTAACGTGAAGTGATTCTTCTGTTTGTACCTGCATCTTGAACGATGGGGGAAGTCATGCATTATATGAGACCCACTAAGGGATTTGGAAGTTTCTACTTCGACCCGTTTTACCAGTGTACGAGCCCCGGTAAGTGATTCAGATTTCAATTTTCGCTATTTTCGTTTTTTTTTTGCTGTTTGTCGTCTGGTGGTGATAACTGGCTGGTGAATCATGATGCGATTGCCAATTAATGTGGAATGCATTGGTAAATTATCGATTATTGTTATGGTCCTGTATTGTGCGCGAGGACAGAGTTCAAAATAATAAATGACCAATAGTTACATAACAGTTGTTGTATTTTCGTTACCCTTGTCAATTGTTATGCCAAACGCCTTGGACTCCCCTTGAGTTTGAGGCCTTGACGTTGATCTTGAGGCCCGCCGCCCCACCACGGTCTGAAGGCTGCTGGAAGGGGACGGGGAGGGAGGAACCGCCGAAAACTATTTGTTGATGTAGTGCATCCACTGGTTTTTGTTGGAATTAAAATTTGATAACCCTTGAGAAATACGCTTTCCACGTCCTTTCGCGGAACCATTGATAATCATTGAAGCGCAGGCTATTCTTTACGCAAATATCTATATGAACCTTGGATTTATTCACGATCCGGGCAACATCCGTTTGGCGCAGCCATCAAAATCAGTGCGGCGTCGCTCCGCGATGTCCCCTCCCCTTCCCCACCGTCACGGGAGCGACCCCCTATCGGCGCCCGAGCAGTGCGCCGATTAGATAGCGGGTATCGTGGCCCGAACAGGGCGCGGCGCGACAGGTACCGGCGAGTGGGTCACCTGAGCGCGACGCGGCCGGAGCTGAGCGCGAGCTGTGAGCCAGTCGGGAGCTCAGGTCGCCGTGAGCTCGTCCAGTGCTCTCCCCGCTCCGAGTCGCCGCCGAGATGCCTCGAGGAGGCTCGCACGCGCCGCCCCCTCCCCCTCCCCAGCCGTCGCCGGCCGCGGTGGCGGCGGCGGCACCGGGTCCGGCCCCCGCACCAGCGCCAGCGCCAGCTCCAGCGCCAGCCGCAGCACCAGCGGCGACCCCGTTAAACGACGCTATGAAGAATCTGTCCGTTTCAGGTCCGTCGGAGCCCGACCTGGACCCTGCCCGGCAGGATGGCCGCTCCACCCCGGCCGCCTCCTCGCCCGGCTCGGCCGCCGACGGCCGGCTGGCTACCGACAAAGTCAACAACCTGGCGCTGCTGAGGCTGATGGAGCGCACCGGCTACAACATCATTCAGGAGAACGGTCAGCGCAAGTACGGCGGTCCGCCGCCCAACTGGCAGGGCCCGCCCCCGGCCAAAGGCAGCGAGGTGTTCGTCGGGAAAATCCCCAGAGATCTGTTTGAAGATGAGCTGGCGCCCGTGTTTGAGCGCGTCGGCAAGATCTACGAGGTGCGCCTGATGATGGACTTCAGTGGTACCAACCGCGGCTATGCCTTCGTCATGTTCAGCACTCCGGCCGAGGCCAGCCAGGCGGTGCGTCAGCTCAACAACTACGAGATTCGCAAGGGCCGCTACATCGGCGTCGTCAAGTCGGTCGACAACTGCAGGCTCTTCGTCGGCGGCCTGCCCAAAAACAAGGTGCGGGACGAGATCTTCGAGGAGATGTCCAAGGTGACGGACGGCGTGGTGGACGTCATCGTCTACAGCAGCGTCACTGACAAGAGCAAGTCTCGCGGCTTCGCGTTCGTCGAGTACAAGAACCACAAGGCGGCGGCGATGGCCCGCAGGAAGCTGATCCCGGGCCGGATCCAGCTGTGGGGACAGACCATCGCCGTCGACTGGGCCGAGCCCGAGCCGGACGTCGACGAGGAGACCATGTCCAAGGTGAGAACTGCTGGTGGAAAATGGGGCTGGGTGATGGTACATTTTGGTGCTATTTTTGTTAGTATGTGCCTGATTTTTCTGCACCTGTTCTTTTCATGTATTCGGTTTCTGGGTGTTCCTGAGTGGATATTTTGCTGCTCAGCAGATATGCGATCGTAATGAGACGTTCCATAAAACCTGCAATATTCGTTTGTTGCTTTGGGCTTGATTTTCATCATCTTCCTATGTTTTCGTTCCAATTGATAATGCTGAAACTCTTATGCAAATTGGGACAGCTTTTTGATTGGGACAGACAGACCAAACTCGACGCCGCTAAACCCAGCTCTCAGCTGGGGCGTCCTATGATAGATAGCCTCGTGGACATTCCTACATGCCGACGCGCCTCCCAGTGTGACTAATCTGTGTTGAATGCCGTCGGCGTCCGTCCACCTATGCAAACAGCCGTTATTTGACCTGCCGTGACATCACTCATTCGAGACGTGCCATTTTATGAGTCACCGTCACACAGCTGGCTAAGATAAGTTGAGGTGGTTCGTCCTCACTAATAAGCACCCTGTCTGCACTAAAAGCCAATGCAGTATGAAGTGCACAGGTATAATTTACTTGTTTCTGGCATTTCGGAACTTAGCTCGCGTTTTGTCCTGCCTGTGCCACACCAAACGGCCTCCAAACTCATTTCCTTCGCCCTCGCTATTTGCGGTACGGTGTTGGCCAAATATCCGGAATTGGCGTTCCGCCGCGACTGGAGTTGGTTCTGCTCGCGCACGGAGCGATAGAGCGGGGCGGTGACCGGGCGACTGGCACAGGTGTTACTCAGGCCAGCTCGATTGACTCAGTACGGACTTTGTGTGGTATCAGTATTTGCCAACCCGTAGAGCCCAACTGTGTGGGGAGGTGGTAAAATAGCGTACCACATTTTCGGAAATTAGAGACTGATACGGTACGGACTGAACATGGTCTGGGAATAGCTGGCCATGGGAGTTATATGTAGATAACCACTCACATTGTTATGCTGTGCATGGTCTCAAGCTTGCATGCACATTTTTCTCCTCGTAACTTCATTCACTTTTTTATTTGCGCTCACCGAAGTCCCAACTGGCAGGAAAACCATGCATCTAATCAAGTTGATAAAATGGATAACTAGTGACCAATAACGCTCCATACGAGAACAACGTAGAATGTCAGCAACTATACCTCCACGTCCACATGTCTACACAACCCGGCTGCTGGGGGTCGCCAAACGCCTTGCAGTACATCGATAGCCGGGCTGACGGCTGTCCCGACCGTCTCGGCTTTACTGGGCCGGGCGGCGGGCGTATCTTATCATCGGAGACGGATCGTGTGTCATGAGACTGACGAGGGCGCTGGGGCAGTTGGGGAGGGGCGGGGATTACGGACGTGGCCGGGACATGGGGTGATGCGTCAAAGCGACGAGACTGGCGGGTCCGGTCATCGCCCCCCCCCTCCTCCCCCGCTACTGCTACCGCGTAACCGACACCCTCTAGTATCCCCTGCCTCCTTCCCCTCCCCACCACATCCCCACGCACCGTCGCGTCTCCCCGTGTCGCCCCACCCCACCCCATCCCACCCCGCCCCACCCCGCCCCGCCCCGTTGCGTCCGAGTTCACTCTGCTCATGCCACCATTACTATACCCCAGTGCTATGACAGAGCGACATGCCGAAATGTTCGCGGGCTACCGCTACCGCTGCCGACCCTTTTCTTTATGGCAGTTTGGTTTCCTTTGTGTTTGTGCACCAATCCCCGAAAGTAAACTTACTGGCTGTCGTTAAAGGGACCCTCCCACCTTAAAATTAGATTTGAGTAGAGATAGCCAAAATGGGGTCCCTGGCTCACAATTACCGGTTTCGGCACTCACAACATCGAGAAATGCCTTAAATCGGAAATATTGAATTTCAAAATTGCAGCATTTTGATTCAGAGGGGCTAATGCTTAGGAATACCCCTCTGAATGTGTGACGTCAGCGCAAATATGTAACGATTTTTTAATGTTTGACTAAAACGTTTTGTAGCACGCGGTGGTATATGCTATTTCCACGCAACATCTGCCGCAAACGCCGCACTTCTAAAATAAAGTCGCTAGAAAGAGCGGAGATCCCAAAAAAGTAAACAAAAGTAAAAGTCTGATATCTTGAAAACCGGTGAATATTTTTCGGTGAAATTTGGTAGATATTCGTTTTCGCTCTTTCTAAACTGAGCGACATCACTTTCATGCCAATTCATAAACTTTTTTGAAGGTGGGAGGGTCCCTTTAACACGCTGATTTCGAGTGGGTTACGATGACAAATGTAACGGTGAATGCACTGCAAGAATGTAGGATAAACCACACAGCGATTTCCAGCTCGTATTGCTCATGCTTTCAAGTAAATGAGTAAGCGAATGAATACGAATTAGGCAAATAGGTATATCAGATTACCTGATCAAATCACTAATGCATTCTAGGCTACTGAAGACTTGTCCTGCGATTCCTCATGTTCAGTATTATGACAGTTCACAGTATGTACCGCTTTTGCCGGGCATTAGACACTTCAGAAGTCGCTCCCTCGTGCCCCTGTCAGCTGTTCATTAGCGGCCAGATGGTGCGGTTTCAAGTTCGCACCCTCAATGACGGCCACACCGCCGTGTCAGCTGATCGCTGTCAGTTGACACCACACAAACCGAGCGTAGTGGTTGTCAGGGAAGCGCGGCATGGGGGGGGGGGGGGGGGTAACGCCGGCGGCGGTGGCTTGTTGTTTCTGCAGCGGCCGGGGATCGAATGTCAGAGGATAGAATTAGGACAGTTCGCTCGGCCAGTCGCGGCGACGGTCAGTCACTGGTGGATGATCGACTGGCATGGTAACGGGCGGAGGGCCGTGGTTGAATCTTCGACTTTTAATACATGCTGCAGACACCTGATAAAATAGGCAATGGTCCGATCAGGTGCAGGGAAGACGCGAAACATGCGCACCAAAAGTGAACCCAACGCACTGTAGGTAGACCGACCTGTAGCCTGCACCAAACTGGTGTAAATGCTGCCGGTACCGAATATTTTAACCCTCGCCCGTAAACGGCGATCTGCCACCTTCGCCCATGCAGGGGGGGGGGGGTGCGACCCCCCCCCCCTTGGCGTTTGAAAACGGAGCGTCGTAGAGCTTAGCGGAAAAGACCAACGGATTGCACTCGCCGAGATCTCGCGATTGGTGGTATATTTTTTGGTCCTAGGTCAACATTTGACCTACTTTTGACCGGTCAAAGGTCAAATTTTCGGAAAAATAGACTTTTTTTCAACTTTCCGCGGCGATTGCGGCAAAACGGTGGGAGATATCGACTTGAAACCTTCACTATCGTGTTCCTTGATCAATTCTCTATCGTTTGGTATGTATTTCGTTTCCCTAGCTCTAAAAATGGCGCGTTGGGAGCGCCGGAAGTCGGCAAGGTCACAGTCGGCGGCAGAAATTCGAAAAATCAAAATTTAAATTTTTGAAATCTGATTGTATTTTTGGATTTGAGAGGTCCATTTGCTCCCTATAGAAGCTAATATTGCTGCATATTCCCATTGAGGTGACAAGAATTAGCAAAATAGTGGTTCGGGCGCTTTTCAAAAATAGTACCGGACGCTGTTCCTCTTGTGACGTCATAGCTCCGTGACCTGACCTGACCCGGTCAAGTTTCTTATACCATATGATAGCCAATAATCGCCCCAACATGCATGGGAAGTTTCATCACGATCCATCAACCGATGTCCGTACCACCGGCAGGAAACCTCGGGCGTTGGCACTCAGTTTGTGAAAATCCGGCCGGAGGCTGTTCCCTTTGTGACGTCATAACTCCGTGACCTGACATGACCCGGTCAAATTTTTTTTTATCAAAAGATGCGCAAGGCTTGCCCCATAAGGTACCCAAAATTTGGCGACGCTGCGCGCCGCCGTTTTTGCACTATTTCCGAAAAACCTCAGGGGGGGGGGGGGGGTTGCACCAACCCCCCCCCCCTACATGGGCGAGGGTTAACCCACCCCTGCACCCGCCCCACAGGTGACAGTGCTGTACGTGAGGAACCTGCTGCTGTCGACCACCGAGGACCAGATCCGAGACGCCTTCAGTCGTGCCGCTGACGGCGGCGTGGAGCGCGTCAAGAAGCTCAGGGACTTTGCGTTCGTGCACTTCTCCAACCGGGACAAGGCGGCGCGCGCCCAGGAGAAACTCGACCGTGAGTACTCGATAGGATTGATCAATTTCGATATTGTTGTGTGCATTGCCATTGCCTGTTACGTGGTTCACTGGTGGCTCATTGCCTAAATTACGGGTGGATTTTGAGACGAAACCTGCAAAAGCAAGGATAAACGAGGTTATTTTAAAGGTAGTGTGCCACCTTTGAAAGATTTCCCATTTTATTTTTCCTAGGATAAGAAGCTTCTGTTTTTACCTAATATCGCAAAAAAAATCAAAAATGGGCCTGGAATAGTGCCTTTTTCGCCTAAAAGTTTTTCGGTTTTTAGATATGTATAACAACTGTAGTGGACTCACCTGCAAACAGGCGTCGGGCAACAATCGCGAATGCGGCGCACTTGTGACAATAAGCAAAGGTCATTATAGTGTTACGACCATACGACGTACGGGAATGAGTTATCAGCTGTCTAATCGTAGACAACACAATGTCGAGCCTTAAACTGTAAGCCCGTATTGTATTGTTTCTTTTATTTGGCTGTCGAACATTATTTATGGTTTGAAATATGATTTTATGTAAAATAATTGATATGAAAAAGCCGTCTTATAAGTTATGACCCCATTTCACCACACGCAAGTGGCAGAAATGACAATGATCAGCTGACGCATTTTTCTTGGCCGAAGTCAGAGCGCGCGGCCCGACGCACCACGCGTATTTGGAAATTCCGACCTCGACGAGCATCAGAAGCCACCTAACAGGCGTGTTCGAAACCGCAGGAGATGATGATGAACGGGTTTATCGAAACTTGATTGGATGAGCATATCGGTAATAGCGATTTCAGTGTGTGCATTTATTGTTCATAGTGGTGTGAAATGTGGTTGGGGTACGACCGACAACCCGTCGGGGCGAATTTCGCACTGGGGTACTCAAAATTTGAAGAATTTAAGACGTTTCCATGAGTTTTGAAGGTATGGATAAGTTCTAAAAATCCGGTTCTCCTTATCTGGGCCATTAACTCCATACGGTCCAAGAAAGCTGGCACACTACCTTTAAGCCGAACAAGATCAGAAAATTGGTCTTGTAAATGCAGTGCGTGCCTTACACGTAGTTATAGTTGCTGGGGCTATTTCAGTCTTGTAATATGTAGAATGTGTAGGGGAAAAAAAAAACTTTGAATAATTAGCCATATATCCCGGTATAGGTGCCGTCTTTACGAAGGTTTAGTTATTTACCAGCATAATTAATATCTTTTTCTAGACAACAATCGTACCGATCTTTACGGTCGAACTGGTCAGTAACGACACCATAACTAAAGTGACTCAAAGACAGCATCTGTTCTCATAATGTGCATTGTCTCTACTAAATATCTTCTCTCCCAAGGTATGCATCAAGCACTTGCGCCTGGCTTAGAGCACGAATTTCCGCCCTCAATTTGAATTGGCGTCTTGTCTCGGGGTTGTCACGGCAGGCTTATGGCGAGTTCAACAGGGACAGTCACACTCGGGAGCCAATGGTAGATACTGATACGGAAGACTGACCTGAATTGACAGTTCCGGGCTCCAACCAGTGTTCTTCCATCCTCGGGGCATTCATTGGCCGGCTTCAACGGTCCCGACAATTGTTCCGATTTGGTGTCCGTTTTCAAACTAAGCCCTCTTTATCCTATCTGCAGAATTAATATCAGATTATGATATCACAATTTGTGGTTTTGTTACTCGTAAAAAATATCACCGTCTTCACTTGTCTTCTAACGTGCCCCACCGACACACACGCTTCACCAAAGCACGCGAATCTGTCACTACTGAACGGGTAAATGTCACGCGCCAGTACCGTCCGGTGACCGCCCGAGGGCACGACTGACCTCGCGCGGCAGGGGCGGAACCAGGCATTATTCTGGGGAGGTCTGATCAGTGGTGGACTGACATTTTTAGGGGGGGGGGGGTGGTAAAGTGACTGTTGAGCGCAGCTGACCATGACCAGTGGCGTCTCCAGGAAGGCTGGTGTGTGGGGCGAACGGTGATCTCATGGATGGGATAACGAAGAAGTGAAACTGGTGACTTGTCGCCAACTTGGCTTCTGTCACAATGAGTCATTGATGTCAATGATTTTTTTGCGATGTTTTTCTGTTAACTTTGTATTGTCCACTCCTTAACAACTTGTGTGTCATGCAGGCTTATTTATAGCTCATGCCATCCTCGGCCTCCTCAACACTGAACCTTGCCCTCACTCCCGGACATACGATTGCCATTTTTCGGCCCGGGTAGACCGTGTGGCAGCGTCAGTGCTGCAGTACGAGCAATGGCTCGCGAACGCACACAGAGGCTGTTGACATTGTGCTCAGTCGCGTCAGTTGTGAGCTGTTTGATTAGGCCCGACATCACGGCTCTGGTATGCAGAAAATGACTGGTGCCTGGCTTGTAAGATGGTTGCGAATTCCTCTGCACTTGAGAGGTGTTCTTGATAGGGTGTAAGCGATGGGAATGTCTTCAATCTGAACTATGCTTACTGCTGTCTACAAAAAAGTAATTTCACTCACTACCCGAACTTAACAGGATATTTATTCTGATGCATTGTCGAAGAAGTTATTACGAGTAAGTTGACGTCTATCAAAGCAAACCGTCATCCTTTCCTCAAGTATCACCAGCTTTAAAACTCGCTGTAACGTAAGCCCATCCTTTCTCTAAGCTCACCACCATTACCGACCTCCCTACCCAAGTGGCGTCCCCCGTATCACCTGCACTATCAGCCGGCCTGGCGTCCGTGCGGCTGGTCGGACCGTGCTGTATGAGGAGCACTCTGTTCTAATCATCGCTGCGGACCCTGCCCGGCCATCTTGAGACGGCGCTCGACTGGCAGTCGGCTAATCCCGGTCATATCAGTCAAAAGGCTCTGCTGATACCTGGGGGGCTGAGACAGGGGGGGGGGGAGTGCAGGTGAGGTCGGCGCTCCTAGACTCCGCGCCGATACGCCCACGGTGAAATCAGCTGAGTCAGCGGGGCAGTGCTTAAAACACTGCGGGTATAGCGAGCTCGGACCAGGGTTCGTACTCGGCTCGGATGTTTGAACCGGAAACGGAGACGTTTCTGAGCAAGTAGGCGAAATGGTGTGGGATACGGCTGGTTCCGAGGTTGACGCTTTCTTGTTGAATTACGTGCGTGGTAGGGTGACGTTGTTCAGAACAGGTGTGTTTCGATTGTTGTTTTACGCCACACGTATCCGCTGGTTTGAAAAATGGTCACCTCTCTGTGTTTTCCAAATCATATCAGTCGAATTTCAGCGATCAACGTTCTTGGTTTTATTGCTGCACTTCTATCGTAGTGCTGGATTTATCGTACTTTATATAAAATCCTCTTCCACCAGCCTTTTGCCCCCTATTTCTGGAAGAAAAATAAAAATTGACCCCCGTATTTTCCTCTCCCACAGACACCGAGCTGGACGGCTCGCTGGTGGAGGTGACGTGGGCGAAACCGATCGACAAGTCTCGCCACGACCGGTACAAGGCGGCCGCCCACTGCCCGCCGGCCGTTTACCAGCCGCCGCCGCACGGGTTTGTGGGGGACGCCCCCTTCTACGTGCCCACAGGACTCGGCAGCCCCGGGTGAGTTCCGTTGACGGAAGTGCGGTGTTTCATTGAATAGATATGATCTGATCTGGCGCCTTTATCCATATTCTCGTTTCTATTGGATGGATTGGATTGTTCTATTGGATTTTGTTTGTTTGTTTCACATAATGGTCAACATTGCGTTTGGTGTTCGCGGCTGCTCGTTTCCTCTCCTGTCTGCTAAATATTCATTACCGTTTAAAGGAACACTTAACCGTCAGCCTCAAAGTTCAGCCTAATGATACACATTTCCTCTCAAATGCGAGATGTCCGTCGGTCTCGTTAAGCTTCTCATATGAAAGGGTAAACTCACCCTACAACTTTCAGTTGGATGCTTTTCGTTGCCACTTTTCTGCCCAATTATGAGATGATCACCAGCCCTGCCTGTAACCTCTCCCCTCTCCCTCAGCTCTCCCGGCTCAGCGCTGTTCCGCTCTCCCAACAAGCAGCGGAACCGGGGCGCCGCCGGCGTCCGTAACCGGAGCTTCCTGTCACCGTCTGCCGCCGCCGCACGCGCCGCCGGCGGACACAGGAAACCCGTCGAGGTGAGTACGGACTCGCGAGCTGTCGTTCAGTATCGAGCTTGTCTTATTTTACTAACTTGCATGCGGAAGCAGTAAGTTTTGTTTTTGTTTTAGCGTCCTACTTTAGTTGACCAACCTACTTCTAACTTTCAACTACCCAAGGTTTATTTATTTATTTATTTATTATGCAGCTATTTTATTGCATCACGTAGTCTAGCTACCAAACCAGCGACTAGTACTCTGCGTTCTTTATTTTGCGATCGTCAGCCGCTGACGTCGGTTTTGCAGATGCGGGCGTTTTTCGATTATGTGCCCGACATGGAGTTCGTTCTCACTAATCCGTGCACTCTGAAACCGATGAGGAACGCCGCTCAGGTAGTCGCGTGGTCTGTGCTCGTCCCGTGAATCGTCCCGTTTTCGCAATTTGCCGCCCTCGTGAATCGTTCCGTCTTATTTTGTTGCATTTGTGAATCGTCCCGCTTTAGCAAATCATTTGGGAAGATGTTCGTCTTTTTTATTTTTTGTTAGCTTTTATTGTGATAGCTCGACATCACGTGTACTTATCATATGCTCATATAAATACTTGGCTCCGACTCGCAAGTACCATAATAATTTTAGTTCCTAGTCCACAAATAAGCACGGGGAGCAGACTACTGGCTTGCGAGTCTGATCATCCTGGCAGTATTGCGTTCTGGTTTTCGTTTTGTCAAGTGTTAGGCTGCCTGCAAAGGCTTTTCAGGTCAGACTTCAAGTATGTTTCTCCCTTTGAAAGTTTTGGGTTTCTGTCAGTGCTTGTGTTTCACTTTTCAACTGCTGCAAATGGCAAAGGTTTATATTCGCAGCCGCTTTGGTCCTATCATGCACATTGCACAGCTTGGTGTCTTTCATATTGCATTTGTTTGACCGCATGCGTACAAGTGGCTTGTTCACATTCGATAAAGTCCCTAGGCTGGATTTTTACTGTCACTTTCATCCCTATCGTTATTTCTTGATTTCACTCTAAAATACGTTATCTTCCTACATTTTCACATATTGCTTCGTTCTTGGTTTCATGGGTCTTCATGTATGTACGCATGAAGTAGGTTGTATTTCTTAAAGGAAGGCTTTAATCAATTTGTAGGTGTAACTGGAAATTCCTAACTTGATAAGCTTACTACCGCCATCCACCGATTTCTCAGCTACAAGCGTGACAACGCTGTGTCTCATCACACCTCACTGGATCTTCCTCTGAAAATTTTTTATCTCCCTCTGCGTATTCAGATTCTGGTGGACCTGTGCATCAACAACAAATGGGGCGAGCCCCAGTACCAGCTGCTGTCCACCTCCAAACAGACGCCGCAGGCCGACACCGTGCAGCTCTTCATGTACAAGGTCGGTCACTGCGGGTCATGCAAGGTCAAATCGGTCAGAGGCTAGCACTTTAATCGAAGGTGTATTTTCAAAAATCGATAGCTTGGAAATGCAATTTCATTTGGCTGGTGATGCCAGCTGTTAGTACCCGACAATTGAGACGTCTATCCCAGTGGCATATTGCCTCTTAGTCAACGTCACATTCATTACATAGGCGCCATCAGGCTTAGCCATGCTGGGCTTCCCCACAAAGTACCGAGTCGTTTCCCCGTTTTCATGCCACCGTTTAACCATTTCCCGTGTGATTACGTATCTGCCCGATAAAACCCTTTGGTTATCATGTGTGCTGACGCAATGGCAATATCCAGCCACCGTGCACCTGGCATATCGATACGGTTCTTTGGTCACCAATGTCTTTCTGAAGGTGTCACTTAACATCAGCATTAGCGTTTGCCCCTGCCGGCTACCGATACCTTCATAGTTCAGTGCTTGCACTCATCAGCGCTTGTGGCGTATCCAATGCACATAATATATTTTGCATGCTTATTTGTCCGTGGCCTCTGGCACCTACATCTTACATATTAGGACATCCGTCGTTCTCGTATGTCCTGTGTATTTTATATTTGCTAACATAAGAGTGTTATACATCTGTTACAGTTAGACTAAGCATCTTTACACACCTGCAGCGCTCATTTAGTAGTCTCAACACTCAACACTTAAGTCCCTACTCTCTAACCGTGCTGCCTGCCGACAGGTGACGATCCCGACACTGCCGCCCGAGTACAACACGTTCCAGGGCTCGCGGCTCAGCCTGTACCCCGAGGAGGCCAAGGTGCTGGCAGCCGAGACGGCGCTCAGTCAGCTCGGAGTGCCCCTGGAAAACGGTGAGTTATCTGAGACAATCCCTGGAAAACTGTGAATTAGCGCTGATTGCCTTTGGAAAACGTTGAGCTAGCTCGAAGTGTTTTATACCTAATTGTGGTGTGGCATAGTTGCATCGATCGAGTCGATCGTGACCGCCTTCAGGAGCTGAAAAATGACTGATTGTTATATGTGATGACCTTACAGACTTATTTTGGTGAATGATTCATCGTTGGATACAGACAACAAAGCACTGAATTACTTATTTGGCGAGATAATTTGTCGTGATGCTTGTCGAGGCTCATTGTTTGCTGGTGCTCCTCCGCCTCCGCCGCATTGGAGCTAGCATACGTGCTGCAGTTCTCAATGCTATGAAATGAAATTCAGTTGACCTTGTGAGGTTGAGATGCTCCCATCTTGGGCAGCTGGTAACATCATTCGATAATTATTGGTACACCTCAAGCATAGACCAGGCTAAATATGTAGTGGTCTACGGCTTAACCTTTACCCGTACCCGTCAACTAGTGCGATACTTAAGTGCCGAATTGCACCGTTCTGCGCATATCTCAGTGCCCGTAGTGTTCTCACTCGTCTGACCTCTACCGTACCCACTTTGCTCGCAGGCGAGGGACCCGGCTCTCCGCCTCAGGCCATGCTGCCGCGTCCCATGGTGCCCAACGGGGCCTTCAACGCGCCTTCCCCCAACGGCAGCCCGACCGGCTTCAACGCCTTCCAGTTCTACAACATGTACAACCCCTGCCCCTTCGGCAAGATGATGCGTAAGTAGCGCTGGCTAGCTTTGAGCAGGATGAAGGTTGATGGAACTAGCAAAAGGTCGGTGGTTGAAAAGTCCGCTTTGGTTTTCGCTTAACAGTAATTGGCACGAAGAAAGGTAGACGGTTGAATTAATGGATTCATTATTGCAACCTTCAATCAAGTCGCTAGTTTTCCTCATTTTTTTCTCTTTATCTTCCCTCCTCCCCCTCTCTGTCGCTCTTCTAGCCTGTTTCCCTTCTGTCTTCCTCCCCCCAGTTTTCCCTCTTCTCTCTCTTCAAAGTGCCCTCTGCTGACCTCGGCCTATCTCGTTGACAGCGTTTGAGCACCACGGAATGTACGACGGTTACGGCATGGGCAACCACCACGCGCACCCACCGGCCATCTACTGAGCCTCCCCCGCGCTGGCACGGCCGGCGCAGACGTCTTACGAGGCGAGCTTTGCGCGTCGCTGCTTCAGAGAGAGTCGTTGGAAGGTGGGAGCCGTCGCCGCTATGCGGTGCAGCTAGGGACATTGTTACTGCGGTGAAACGGGGCGCCGACAAAGAAGTTGTTGCCGAGGCGCAGAAGAGAAGAAGAAGAAACGTTATTTGTTTTCGTGCACACAGAGTGTCGTTGCATGCGTTTTAGGAAGAACCGTTTATTTTATGTTCGCACTGTGTGACGTTTCGCTGCGGCGGATGACGTCAGAGTGACGTCACTGCGGCTCGCAGTGGAGCTTGTGGGCCAGTGTCATGTAAAGTGTGTGTGTGTATGTTGTTGTATGGTACTGCTGCCTCGCGTGGTGGGTTGGCCGTCCTGGGAGGGGGGTCCCCCCTCGGGCTGCGGCAGGGCAGTCACGGCTGCCGAACTCCAGTGGCAAATACTCAGTCGCCAGACGGCGCGCCGCCCGGCCCGCCGTCTGGCGGCCGCCTGTGAAAACAACGTTTTGTGGAGAGTCCGCGGTGAGTCGCCGTCGGCGCGCCTTGTTCTGATTTCACAGCTCATCAGACTTAAATGATCGGCGCATTCGCCGCGTTCTGATCGCAGCAAATTCACCGCTGACCTCTAGATAAACTGTCACAATGTTACAATTTCCCCGCTGAAGATTTTAGGCCATCAACTGATTGGACTGGGTATCGGGGAGGACATAATTACTGGAGATTTGTTTGAGTGTTGCCACACGATGTTTGGAGTGCTGCCAAATGTGCCTTGGATTCGGTGTCCATCACCGAAAGGCCGCGACTCAAGTCCGGCCTTGCTCATTTAGAGGTAATTTCGGGTGATTAGTTTAGATTTGCATATTCCGGGATTTGTCCAGCTCATTTATTGGGGTAGAATAAGACGCAGTGCGGCCCGCCTCGGGTATCACAAGCCCGGGCGGTGCCGACTTCATTGGGCATTGTGCTGGGCGCTTTTGACCATTGTTACCATTCCAATATCCCTTTTTAGCCATGCCCTTCGCGGCATTTTTAACAGCCACTTTTGTCATTTGAACAGCATTTTATCTGGGCTTTTTATCCACTTGACGTATGCTTTTAACTGCCTGTGACTATCATTGTCACTCTGAAGCCTGTTTTCGTCTATCACTTCTATCTTATCAACTGTCTCGCTTACAATCGGTCCCCTGCTTAGGCTGGCCCCGCCCGGCAGTGCCCTTCCTTGGTGATTGCTTTGATCGTGCATCAGCACGCTGTAAGATTAGGTGTGTATGATAACCAATGGTTGGCGATGGTTGGGACTGTCGTTCTCCGGCCCCCGCGCCCCAAGATCGTGCGGCGCGGGGAGCCGTGACTGTGCGCGCGCGCCGTGGTAATCAAGCCATGAACTCCGCAATACACGTTGCTCACTCGCTGACCCGTGTTTGTTAGTGAATTCGGCGCTCGTGGATGTGTACAAAGCTGATCATCGGAAAATATAGTTAACAGATAACAAAAGAACAAGACAACACCGATATCAAAACGCTTCTTGGACTTGAGATCGTAACGGGGTGAACGTCTGTTCAGGTCAGCTCTGCTCTACGCCCCGCGAGCTAACAAACAACAGTGCTGAGTTAACACGACCAAGAGCTGAGAACTACGGCCCTCGCTGTTGACAGAATTTGACGTATTTGCGGAACTCATCAAGTTGTTTTGAGACTTCGATAGTTATTCAACGCCCGTTGATATCCCACGCCACAAGTCAGGAGAGTTTCTCAAGAAAAGCGCCTGCTTCTACTTCCACGATAAGCTTGAAACGAAACCAGTATCCTAACGTGCAGATCCTCTACATCACCCGCGTCTCAAACACACCTTCTACCTGGGAGGACAATATGTATTATGTCACCGGAGTAAGATCGAACACGCGCGCGCGCGCGGCACTGTGCGCGGCCGGCCGTTTTGATTGCGCCGTTCGCCCCTGAGTGGTGGGGCGGACGGCTGGCGGCGGCAGGCGGCGGCCGCCCGGCCGGCCGGCACCCTACCGATTGCACTTACGGAGCGGGTCCGGGAGCGGACCCAAACTCCATCGCTCTCGCACGCGCCTTTCCCAAACACGACACACGCACACACGTGAGGCCAAGTACGAAAACCCACATTGTCGACGGCGCGCAGCGCCGCCCAACGTCGCCAACGAGGCGGCACAGTTGCCCATCACAAAATGCTGCAAAACGGGGCATGCCTAGCGACCAATGAGCGCAGCGGGCGCGCGCATGCGCACATCAGCCGGTTTCCGAACCAGCAGAAACAATGGCATCGTTCAAAGGTATCTGGGGGCGAGAGGCCGCGCGCGGACCGGCCCCAAGGTAGCCGGCCGCCCATCAAAAGCGCAGCCAATCAACGACGAGAACGCCAGTGACGTCACCAACGACAAGGTGAAAAATGGACGAATGGTTTGTGCTGGTATATATAATATAATCTTCAGGCACCGGCCGCGGTCAAGTCCACGGACCTCGTCAGAGAAACGTCAAACTGCGCCGACGGTTGATGGGAAAGACATATAATGGTCCAAGATCTCTCTCGCTCTCGTTCACAACTCTCTCTAAACTCTCACTCTCTCTCACTCTCTCGTTCTGTGCGGGCGCGGAGGTCGGGCGGCGCGCGAGGGGCCCGGTCTCTGTGCGGCGGCCCGGCGGTACAAAATGACGGCAGCCGACCGGCCTCCGTCGGCCTCCTGAGCTGAGAGGGACTAGACTGGGCCGTATCACAAAATGGGGAGGGGAGGGCGGGCAGTGTCCCTGCCAGGCACTTGAGGCCCCGGTGGCGCGGCGGCGCGCTACCGCGCCGGCGGCGGCGGCGGCGGCGGCGGCGATCGCGACAGCAGCATGTGCGCGGCGCGGTCCATCTGCTCTGGCGTCATGTTGATGGCCTCCTGCAGCTCTCGGCTGGCCGTGCGCACAAACTGCGGGTCTGCGCAGAACGCGCCCAGGCCCTGGTCAGTCAGCACCTGGCGACAACGGAACCGAGCCTGCTTTTAGCGGAACGTACGGCACTGAACCGTGCGGGAACAGCTAGTAGTTATTAGAACTGCTACAGCTGCTACGAAGCGTTGCTACTGCTGACTACCGGTTAAGTTAATCTACTGCTACTTTTTCTACAGCGGCTTACATGACGAATATTGAATTTACTACTAAGAAGTTGTGGGATTATCTGCAACCAAACTCGCATCAAGCCAGTGCGGCTTATTACCAACTTCCAGAGTTAGAGCACATCAGTCTGATCATTATCGTTTCCAACAAGCCCATCACAACTCTACCGTTTCAACTACTTATCCCCCACCCTTCGCGACCCCGTCGGCACCACTCACCCTTCCTACGAGGTTATCAGCCGACCCGACCACCTCGGAGAGTGGCCGGTCGATCCTGACGTGCTGCTGGTGTGGACTGCTGGGAACTGAGCGAGACAGCGCCACGCCGCCGCTACCGACACCCCCGCCGCCGCCGCCGACACCGGGCATGTCAGCGCCTGGCCTCCAGTGGCTGCTCGGCACTGGAGAGGTGATGAAAGAGTCAGTATCGACGAGATGGGACAGGGAGGGCGGGAGGGAGCGAGCAGAGCAGGGAGAGAGGTATCTGGGTAGTGGGCTCAGTGGGCTAAATGGGCTTATGATTACAGTATCATGATAGCGGAGGGAGTTATGTTATCAATCAGTATCTTGTAGCATGAGTTCACGTGATCAATCAGGGATGAACGGATAATAAGCACAGTCTTGTGCGACGAATGAGCGATGCGCCTCACAACTAACTACCTGCCTTGCTTCTATAATTAAGCACTAAATTGCTAACGTGCATGCAAAGATTCTTTCTCAGAAAAGGACTAATACAGCGCTCTTGCAATTGACACTTGACGAGTCACAGTGAAGAGAGACTTGTATCTCACTACTTCTGGCTTACTCTCGGTACTAAGACATAGCCATGGCATAGCAATGCAGATATGACGAATAACAATACGTTCAATGCTCGCTCACTATAATAACGAAATTCGAGAAAAAAAAACAGATTGCCAAAAACAAAGACGCAGTGCAACATCGATCAAGCAGCGCACACGAGCAGCAAATACTCAGAATCAGTGGCTGGAACATTGCGGTGCGTGACCCGTCTCTCCGTTGTGAGCCTGCCAAGTTCAGGACACACGCTTGCTGTAGAAAGTCAGTTGGCTGGCAGCTAGCTGGACGAAAACACCAAGCTTTCAGCGAGCACACAGCGCCAAAGCAACAAAGAGGCAAGCAGATTGCAAATGCAGACAAACACACGCTTATGTCAGCGAGAAAAACAGGAAGACCAGCCAACGAAAGACCAGCGGCAGCGGCAGCGGAGGGCCCGGCTTCGAGCCCAGACATAGACCGGACAAATGGAGAGAGCTAGAAACGACAACGAGAGTTGCCTCGAGCTGCCATCCGCTCCACCCTGGCCGTCTCGACCTGAAGTCACCCCTGCTGACCTAGGCCGGGCGTGGCCGGAGGCGGTGTCGGCGAGAGACTGGTCAGCACGAGCGCCTGTGTGCGCGCCAGCTCTCTTAGTCCCTCTCCGAGCAGTGGAATGCAGTGGGAGCTGCTGCTGCGGCCCGACCTGCCGACCGCCGCGCCGGGCCGCGCAGACGCCGTCAGTCACACGCACACACACACGGCACACAGACAGACAGACGGCGCGCAAAGACACTACGCGCGGACGGGAGGGTTAGATGGTCAGAGCACGGCACTCAGTTGTCAGATCACGGCACTCAGAAAAAGACAGGTTAAGAGGTAATCAAACTAACAAGGGCTGTGAAATAAAGAAAAGTCCCAGGGAAGGGGAAACAGGATGTGCTTAGTTTAAAAGTAAATGTTGTTTTACGGGGGGGATGTGATGAGTTGGATAATTTGGTGACGATTCAGATGGAAAAGGTGATCAGAAACTGTTAGAAACTAAACTAAAAGGGCACTCCAAATCGGCAACTAAAGACGACGTGCTGTGCGGTCTAATTCAAACACTCCCCCTTACCATCATTGGGACTCAAAAATTTAGACGAAGGTCTGGAAAGTAGCGCAATCTGGTGAGACAAATGACAAATGAATCACTAAACGATGGATACACGAGGAAATCATGTTCGATAAACTAATATCACGGAAACAACCAGCGTTGTTACTTCGAAGTACCAGACCTCAGCTCATCTGTTTTGTTCAAACAATCGGAACTTAATTAACTAGAGGAACTAACCCTAACTGAGCGAAACTCTATCCACGTATCACATTAGCCAGTCCAGTCCACTAACTCGGAATTTTCCAGCTCAGGCCAGGTAAATATTCAACATCGGGCTTCAAAACCAGTAGGTGTTAGGCCTTGTTCTCGAACGAATTCAAACAAAGACTTCGACAAACTGCCCAAGCTCCCAAGAAACTATCACACGAGCAAGATGGTGTCGATGCCGCACATGGGAACTGGAAGTGTAGCACACCCACTGTTTGCACAAATAGGTTATCGCACAATTGTAACGCAGTGTCTGTATTTTACATGTGACACATATGCTACAAATTAGAATGCAATACACATTTACCTTATTGCACAATTGTGCCGCAGTGTCTGTAGTTATTTTACATGTGACACGTATTTTACAAGTTGAAATGCAATGCACGATTACCTTACACCATAGCTAGAGATCATCCGTGCTATAAAACAAATGCAGTAACCGGTGTTATTACATGGTTCGTATGTAAACTGGGCGTGTGATAATTTTGACTGTCGACCGCAATATTCACCTAATTTCTTCCCGAGCGGTTATATATTTTTGTTATTGACACTATGACAACGGGTAATGGTTGTCCGCGCGTGTTTGAATCCAATTTTAATTTTCTTCTGAGCAGCGACACATTCATTTAAAGTGACATTTCTAAACGAGTTGGGGTACGCCATGTAAATAAAACGTATGAGGTAGGGGCAATAAGAAATTGCCTTTTGTGACGCCACTGTAGCCCTCTGACAAATATCTCAACAAGCATTATTGCCCTCGGCTACGCCTCTGGCAATAAAGCCTGTTTCGGTCCTCACCTTCGGGCTACAGTAACGTCACATAGGGCAATATTTATTTACCATTGCCCGCTACCGCATACAGTATTCATATATTTCCTTGACATTTACAACATCCATCCCACAACACTGTTTCGCGCATCCCTACTCCACCGACCAGATTACATTTCAGTGTCCCAAAACAGCCCGCATATCGTTGTATGCGGGCTGTTTTTTCTCACCTAGTCGCCGGTTGGAGTGTCTGGAGCGGTATGGCCTCTCCGTCTCCCGAACTGCTGCGACCCACCGCGCCGCCGTTCACCGGCAAATGATGCCCGTTGTTGGTCTGTCGGGTCGGTGGGGACAGGTCAAAGGTCAGGTCAGGGGGTGAATCCCGGTAGAGGCATCAAGCGGTGGGTGCGACTGGAAAGTAATAAGTAAGGGCAGGGATAAGTAGCTGGAAAGTGGTAGTTGGGTCAACCCACCCAAGGTCATGGGTGGGTTGGGCTCGTTGGGTAAGGTCAAAGATCGGGGTAGGAGAGGAGGCAGTGTTAAATCAGGTCAGAGGTCAGATTAGGACTGAGTGGGTGCAGAGTGACAGGTCGGGTCATGGGTCGCTGCTCGGATAAGTCACACTCACAGTAATGTAATTCAGGTGGGGCGTGACATAATGTGGAACTGAGGACAAATCGCAATTAAATGGAGAAGGCTAGATTGACAGAGTTCAGGACTTTCATCAGCCGGTTGATAGTCACGGCTCACCAACCTTATCGGGGAGGCGGGGGCGATAGAGCTGTACTGATTTGAACAAGGGTCTGTTCAGAAGCGCGATGTGTTACACAGTTACTCAAAGACTGGGAGTAGAAGAGCATAAGTTTCTTTTAAAGCATTTTCGCTTATAATATTTCCACTAGCAAATACACTCACCAACTACCAAGTCACCATAGTCCTTCGATGCTAAGCATTATCATGCACAAATAAAACAACTAACGAAGTGCGCTAGGTGAGGCTGGTGAATAAACTTGCATCGGTCCTGTTCGCAAATTAAAAAATCCACACTGCTGCTCTGCCAAGGTGTCGATCTTTTACACATAACTAGGAGTCAGTCATGCAAACACAGCAAAGTTAGGCGCATGCAGACAACAACACACCAGCAGCAAATCAAACAAAACAAACATAAAAACACGACACGACAGGTAAGACACGGGACCAGACGATTAGGGGAAGAATCATAGCTCGCACGCCACATAGAGCGTCAAGCATGGGTAGTCAAATGCCACGACACGCGCTAGAGGGTTCGCCACGCGCTAACGTTGGCTGGAGGCACAGTAGATGGATACCTCTGGTGGGGCGCGCGACTGTAAGCTATAACAACGACACACACACACAGACAGACAGACAAACATCGCAGGGACTGCCAGTCAGAGGAGACTAGAGGGCGAGCGGTAAAGACGGCGGTGAGTCGGGTGAGAGTCGGGAGTGAGAGGGTGAGAGAGCGAGGGGTGAGAGCGAGCGACCAGGCGGCTTACGGTGGCCGGCGCCGCGGCGTGACGGGCCGCGCGGGCCGCTCGGTTCTTGCTGCGGAAACTTGACCACACTCGTCCGAACAGCATGTGATTTCGCTGACAGACAAAGGAGGGACGGCGCCGGTGGTCAGCGCGGGCTGAGCGGGAACGCACCGAGAAAATGGACCCTTTCCCCCAGACACAGCCACGCTAAACAAGCAACGATTGTCTCAGTTGCTCATGGGAAATAATTGGAAAGAAGCATGAACTCTGACTGTCAAAGAAACACAATGAGGTTGATGCAGTATATGGCAGCCTGTTCAAATGTTTGGCTGCATGGAACGTCAGCCTCCCAACTAATTCCACAAGCGATATGGCGAGCGTGGCGGATCCAACGGGAGACGGATGCGAGGCGAGACAATTTTTCGTCTCATTTTAAACATCGCCAGTGTAGAAGGAACGGCGTCAAACATGCGTCGCTTAGTACTCCCGCTGGATCCGCGCGATCACGGCTACAACCAAGCGAACCAAACGAACGACATACAATTCGAAAATAGTAGCTGAAGCAGCATCCGCGTATAACACAGCTGTAACCAGAACCGGAACACAAGGGTGACGACCAAGACTGGCACAAATAAACTGCAAAGACCCAGGAAAGACTAGGGTAAGCGCGAACATTTTAACCCGCGCCCCGTAGGGGGGGGGGCCCGAAACGGCCCCCCCCTGTCCTTTTCGGTCGATATCTCCTAAACGGCTGGAGATATCGCCACCAAACTTTCAGGACCCCTCCGGGCATCAATTTTACACATTGTGACCAAAAATTTTTCCAGAGGCTATGATAGGTTGGCCACAAATGACGTCAGAGTGACGTCATGTTCTGTCATTTTCGACCGAAAAAAGACCTTCGCGAGAAGACCTGTCAGGACTACAGCTTTGAAGATACAGAAAAATGATCAAGACATAAAAGGTGTAGAATTGACAGGGCTACAAAACTGCTATCTCGAATTTTAAAAATTTTTGAGTTTTGACCCCCAAAAATTAAAAAAGCATTTTTTTTGGATATATTCGCCAAAAAATCCGAAAAGTTTTTTGAGTTTCGAAAAAACCGGAATATATGTGATAGTGCCTACCGTCTTCTATCTACATACCAAATTTCAGATCGATACCTCGTTTTTTGGCCAAGTTATAGCGAAAAAACTGTTCAAAAATGATGACGTCAAATTTTCAAACTCAATTTTTGGTAATTCTAGAACTCGTAGAGCAAAACGAAGACCACCATTAGACTCCCCGTGACGAGCTGCATCGAATCGATACCCATTTTATGCAAAAATATCAACTTTGAAATTTGACCTAATTTGACCTGACCTTGACCTGACCTTCACCAAAACGTGACCTAGGCTGGCCCCAAAGGCTGCCTAACCCACATAATCGCATTTGTCATGTAAAATGGACCATAAAACATGTATCACACGACACATTCATATTGTGACCCCCGGTGACCTGACCTCGCTTGACCTGACCTGGTATCAGTGACCTCAGATAGCAAAGTATGTGTTTGACGAACAATGTACCATCGATGGTTTTCAATAAATTACCAATTTACTCGCTTTCACAGCACATTTCTTGAATTGCCTGTGAACGGTGAAAATCTGACCTTTGACCTGACCTGTGACGTCATCGGTTTGACCTAGGTCAATGAAATTTGGTCACAAGGTAGTTCCCGGGTGGGGCTATCGAACGCCGTTTGAATTTTGAAAATCGGCCGGTAACTTTCCGAGATCTTAGGGGGGGGGGGGCCGAAACGGCCCCCCCCCTACGGGTGGTAGGGTCCGCCGGTAGCCCTACGGGGCGCGGGTTAATTAAAGAGCGGATACAAAACGATGCACCGCCCTAGCATCTTTGAGCTCGGTGCATGCCACCTGGGACATTATACGAGGAAAAAAGCTTTTATCACACATCACCAGAGCCCACGGAAAGCCACACCGAACACCGATTTGCACACGACAGCTGCTCATATGAGACACCCCAATCAGCTAGATCCCACCCACAGCTACCAACCAAATCGGCGGCAGAAAGATCAAAGACGCAACGGAAACGACAAAGCGGTGGCGTATGTTGAGCCAAGGGCAAACAGTACAGTGAACTACTGCAGGACATCGGGTGCCTGGGCAGTGCGCGCTATCTATACGATAACTGCCAACATCGCTCAAAGAATAAAAAGGATACAAAACGGTGCAGTACCAGCAGGGAGAATGATACCCCAAAAGCAGCGCCCAAAATATATCAACCAGCATTAATTATAACCCTGCACGCCATTTACATTAATGAATCACACAATACCATGCATATTCCCAAATGCTTAGTATCCAGATCAAAATATAGTACCACCCTATGAATCCACCACCGCTCTAGCCCGCCCACCCCGCGATAGCCGTGTTCTCGCGGCTGGCCCCGCCCACTCCGCGATGGGCGTGTCCTCGCGGCCGGCCCCGCCCACTCACCCTATGCATGGGCGTGTCCTCGGCCAGCATCTGGTCGAGGTTACCCGAGATGGCCCTCTTCAGCTCCGGACCGGCCTCGTGAAGAGTTCGCAGACCGGCCTGGGAAAGGACATACAACATTGTAAGGGGAAACCGGCACATGCAACATAGTGGCGAGATGACTAATCAACTTGAGAAGCGTCAATGTCGTCATCCTGCTTGTCCAGAAGGATCCAACTGTTTGTCCGTTTGCTCCCCTCATTCCTCTCTTCCTCTTTTACTTTTTATAAAAACGTCCGAACAAAAACGTCCTCATATTACGCACGTAAATATGCTTCAGAGAGACACCAGTCCCTCACAATTTGGCGGTCCGTCCCGAACGCTCAACCTTCCCTTCAAAATGACGCCCAACGTCCCAAAAACATTACTGACCTGTAGAGTGACGGTTGTCGTATCGTTTTCACCCTGAGTGCGCGAGTGTTCGTCCTTCTTCTTCTTCTTGAACTTGCGGAAGTAGTCCTGGATGAGGAAGGTGGCGTAGAACTTGCCGACCGTCACGTCGTCCTCGACTGTAACACGTTCAGAGTGAAGGAGATGGTGAGTTGAAGCAGGAAGGGCCGAGGTAGGGCACCTCAAACGACGGCCAGAGCCAGTGAACGGTCTAGGATGTTGGATACCACTGATATATAGAGGCTTTGAAAGGAGTATAGGACAAGGAGTCGAATGCACGCGACAGTGTAATAATGTACAATATGTTGCTGAAAGCGCAAGCGCCGAAGAAACAGCACAGTCAGCGAAGAATTTAAGATGTAAAGCAAGTGTTGTCAGCAACAATTTAGCTCTCACAAGAGACCGGCAAACGAATAGCTTTGGAAGTAACTGTCCGTATCGCTCAACAAAACGCATTAAAGTAGCGTGAATGATTATGAACAAACGCTAGTCAGTCAAGTTACTGAGTCATTAAGGCGTTCGTACGGCTCTAATTAATCGTTGGTTAGAAGCAAACTATTAGACAATTTCACACCAAGACAAAAGACGTCACGAATGGGATGCTGTCAGTCGAGTTTTAATGGTTAGTTGAAACAAAAACGGACATTAAACCGCCATTAGCTCTGGTGCCAATGACATTGTTAGGGTTATATCACAGTCAGGTAAAAAGGCACGGAAAGGTTGACTGGGACAGTGGATTTCGTGCAGGGCAATTCACAATCAAGATGAGGCAGACAAATCACTGGACATTTCCTATCATTTCAGCTAAATACGTGCCTAAGTTCGCAATTAGTCATTATCAACCAGCTAAATGCGTGCCTTTTCAAATATCTACGAAAACTTCACGCATTCCTTAAAAAAACTGGTCGTGACCTCGGTCCTCGGATAAAAATTAATGAAAAACGTCCTGACCGGTATTACTAATCCCATTGGGGTTAAGCGTCTATTGCAGCGACGTCTTGTCGGAGTACAAAATGGCATCCTTGATTAAAAGAACGGTGAGATTGCTGGAGACAGCCTTACTGAGCCTCTTGCCCAGTAAGGCTGGCATTCAAAGTCTAAATACGATCATGTGACTCCTGAGTGAGACGTTACCACAGTGAGCTATACCCCCCCCCCCCCTAATCGGACCAGACAGCCAGCGTCACACCAGAGCACCAGCAGTGGAGCACCAGCTGTGGAACACCACGACTAGAGCACCGATACTGGAGCACCAGTGAGCCGGCTGCCTGGTCCGGGATTTGATTGATGTATGGTGGCGGCGGCAGTGGTGGGTCGTGTAATGGCGTTAACCAAGGGCTGTCATATGACACCCGGGAATCCAGTCGGTTGCAGGATTACATCGATCGGGAAAGGCACGGATTCGGAAATCTAGTACGTTCATAGTTACGTACACAACACAAACTGAATGGCTGCATGGCCGAACCATTTGGATGGCATGAGCTGTCACCACCGCACCAGCCGCCACCATCACCATCACTACCCCCCCCCCCCGCCCTGGGTAGCGCGATGTCGCGCCGTTTAGTAAGGGAGGACAGCACGGCACACCACATCCGGGGCCAAGATGCAGGTCGCGCGCTTGTACTCCCTTACCACCCTCACCGCCCGGCGGCGGGACGACTTGATCCAGCAGCTTTGGCGACGTCCGCTTCCACACTTTCTTGATGATAGTGCGCAGCTCGGCGTTCATTTCGTCAATGTTGCCGTCAGTTTTTATCCTAAGTGATGTCCTCACCACGGCAAACAGTGTAGCGTTAAACATCACCGTACCGTCCGCGTTCAGGGGCATGTTCATCGACACGAGTCTTTTGCACGCCACGCGGTGCGGACACAGTTTGCCGAAGCCGAGCGGCGGAGAGATTTTCCGCAGCAGGGTGACGACGTCGACATGTTTTATTCGTCCCTTGGCGTCGGGATCGTACTCGGACCAGAGCCGCACAAACTCGTCCAGGTGGTGAGGGCCCAGGATGGACCAGTCGCGCGTCAGGTAGTCAAAGTTGTCCATGATGACGGCCACGAACAGGTTGATGACCTGCGGATGGGGGTTTGGTGTTAGGGAATCAGCGTGGTGGTACAAAGGCAGAATCGTGGTGGTCAAGAGCAAGAGCAAAATGGTGATAATGAAGGCTAACAGAATGCTTAGGCTTAGCGTACATAACACTTGGGAATGGCATGAGTACTGTGTTAAATGGACATTGCTCACCCATCAACGGCACGGTGTAATTAAAGTCACCAAGATGGCCCTCGTATAACGAAAGGGAGTGTGATGCAAAAGGCAGGCATACAGCATACAGTATTATCCTGTAAAAAACCTCCCCATGAACACTAGCAAAACTCAAACGCTGGCCAGCTGGAGTCCCAAGAGTAGTTTTCTATCTTACCCGCTACCCCATGTCCAGCTGATCATCTTACCAAGAAGGAACACAAGATGTAGAAACTGACGAAGTAAGGTATCGCGAAGACGGTGCCACATGTATCCTCCGGCTCTTCGTCCGAAGCCGCATCACACTTGCCGGACACGCAGGCGAGCATAATGTCCTGCCATGCCTCGCCTGGCGGTGGGAGGGTTGGAATCAACACTCAGTTACGGCCGTCGGATATTGGACTTTATAATCCGGGGCCCCGAACACTATCAGCCGTATTGTACGGCTCTCGCGAGATTAAGCGGTAGGTTTTGCACTTTTACATTTCCGGTTATATCTAAGAAACTAATCGATCTACGATGAAGCCATTTTACACGACCATGGCCGGCTTGTTACCCAACAAGTCGATCGCATCTTCAACACTTAAAAGCTTAAGACGACGAATATATAGCCTGAAGTACACTAAATTTTCTAGGTGCAAAACCTACCGCTAAAACCCGCGAGACCTGTACATACAGTGTGCATAAATTATAAAGGGTTGAGGATATTTCCATGCTTTTTTGTATAGCCTAACCTAATGACATGACGTATTATTCAGTAATTTCTCCTAACATATGAACATTCATAATAACACTAAGGTCAACAAGGAACGAATTAATGCCGCCACAAAGCTGAAGCATTGCTACTCGTTCGCCATCTCCAAACATTATCGCTACCGGCATTCATTCATTCATTCATTCATTCATTCATTCATTCATTCATTCATTCATTCATTCGTCCTGTTGAACCCCCTCACCCCCTGACTCCACAAACTCCGCTCCTCCTCCTTCTACTGACCTGTGGCCGACCGAAACAGCACCAACACCGCCTGCGGAAACGTCTGGAAGTTGTTGTTCCGGTGTATCGACGTCTCCTCGTCAATCGCAATCTTTCCAAACACCTGCATCCCGACCACCGCGTAGATGAAGAACAGCATGACGATGAGCAGCGCGACGTACGGCAACGCCTGGAACGACTTGATGAAGGTCCAGAGCAGCGTGCGGATGCCCTCGCCGCGCGAGAGCAGCTTCACCAGACGCATTACACGGAAAAGACGGAAGAAGTTGATGCTGATCATCTTGTTGGCCGGCTGGAACGGAAGCAGAGGGAGGTGAAAGAGTTAATGGAAGGAGCCAGGCGCAAATTTGACGATTGCTACCATCCATCAACTAGATTTCTTAACCCTATTAGTGGCAGGCTCCTGGCTACCCCATATTAGTGGCAGGGGGGGGGGGGCTGTTTACGACCCCCCTTGATATCTCGAGATCTAACCGGCCGATATTCAAAATTCAAACGGCATTCGATTTGGCTCAACGAGATCTACATTTCTAAAAAAAAATAAAATTAAAAAATGTCAATAGGGGGGTAGAGGGGGGTAAAAACGGGCAAATTGCAGATACATTTTAGACTGTTTATCACGGCCAGGTTTCTGAACCAATCTTAACGCAACTTTTGCCGATCCATAGAGAATGAACCAGGAATTCACATGGATCCTAAAAATATGCATTTTCAAAAATCATAGGCGGATACAGATCATTGAGATTGGGGGTACACAAAAAGTATAGTAAATAAGGTTTTTGTTGGTACTGTTTCTAAAAAGGGTGGCAATGGTCTTGTTATGTTACAATTTTCTTATGAGAGAACGACTAAAATTGTATTGGTCATGCATAGGCGGTGTCAGGGCACCTATGTTGGGAGGTAAAAAATAACCCCCCTTTTTGGACGCCTGGATCCACCTATTATAGCAAAAACGTGTCAAAAGAGGATGCACAATAACTTTGTATATGTTATCACATGATACCTTTCATTCACTGTTCGTAAAACTGGTGCAGCATCGTGATCTTCGCCCAAATGACTCGCTTCACGAATAGGACCCCCAATTCCCAGTGCTCTGGAGCCGCCCCTGGTAAAGTTATGAACTTGAAATTTTCAGGGACTGTGCCCAATTTAGTTTTAGGAAAAGTCAGAAAATTTCAGCATCGTAGCTTCAGCGGTTTCGGAGATATTCCCGAAAAACCTGAGGGGTGGATAAAAACAACCCCCCCCCCCACCCTGCCACTAATAGGGTTAAATAGCTGCACTCCGAAGCCAAAGAAGCGCTGTAGCCGCGGTAAGCACTCCCGATACTACTTCAATGCTTTTTCGATACACCGCAGAAACACTGAGAACCAGATTCCGGATTCTGGCAGAGCCTTTCATCCCGAGTTTCCAAAGTTACTCACCCCGTCAGAGTTGAGTTTGCCGAGCGAAATGTCGATAAACGATCCCAGCACAATGATAAAATCAAACACGTTCCACGGATCGCTGAAGTAGTTCTGAAACGCAAACAGTATGTTATATTCACCGGTCCGAATACTGGTACAACACAGCCTGCCCGCGATATCAAACGTCTAGAGAAACCATTAAAATACTGATAACGCTAATATACATCACCACATTCATGAGGTAGGTGGAAGCCAATAGTTGTGATCATGATCAGCTTCACCCAGGATAACCTCAATCACCATACCCGCTAGCTATTTAAAATGAACTTCGATCAGCGACCGTCACCTATATAGTTCAATCAGCGCCGATGCCTGATACCTATCCATCGGCCTACCCATTGATCCCCAAACACCCACCGGGGCCCACCCGTATACATCTGTCCCTCGCAGTGGCCACCCACCTTAAACCTGAACGCAATCAGCTTGAGCACACACTCGACGGCGAACGCTGACGAGAAGATGAGATTCAGCACGTCCAGCGCCTCAGTATAGGCGTCCGGCTGCTTGTAGAAGCCCATGGCCAGAGTGATGGTGTTGCAGAGGATGAGTACGAATATGAAGTACTCGAAGGGCTGTGAGGTGACGAACCACCACACGCGGTACTGGAGACGGTGCTTGGGGATGTAGCGACGCACCGGGCGAGCCTTCAGCGCGAACTCTATACAGTTGCGCTGAAACAGGACGGGGGAGTAGAGGTTAGCATTCACAAATCACAATATAAGCAGCAGTGCATAAAAGCGAAAAAAACAACCACAAAAGCGGACCTAATAACAAAGAAAACAAGCAATCAACAAAGTTATCCGCGGCTGGCAGTGATGAAACTAATAATAAGCAACATACTTATCACTTGAAATTGCAATATCATCAAACCCCAGTACCTTTTCTCCGGTTACGATAAATTGCAATCTGAGCCTTTGTCACTGCAGTACAGAGAACAAAGCGTAGTAATTAACAGTCTCGATCGTATTAACTGCTAGTTAGTAACCTATCAATAATCGCCATCAGCCAACTGACCTGGTTTTTGTCCAAATCGATGTTCTTATACTCCTGCTCTCCCTCGCTCTGGAATGTGACGATAACGAAACCGACGAAGATGTTGACCATGAAGAAGGCAATGATGATGATATAGATGAAGTAGTAGATGGCCACCATCGGTCGGTAGTTGTAGATCGGACCCTCGTCCTCCGTATGAGAGTCGATCGATGTGTAGAGCAGACTGAAGAGAGGAAAATCAGCGGTCAGTTGTAGAGTCAGAGGTCAGTTCATTCGTCAGTCGGAGACGGGCAATCAGTGATATCGATTTTAACTAACGTTTTAACGATGAAGCGCCGTGAGGGGGCCGATGAGCCAAACGAGTAAACAAAAATCTAGAGGCGTCTCTAGCTTATAACACCAACTATTCATCCCTCGGTGATTCAAACAAGCCGACACCTACACATTATGGACAATGGCGCATATAATTTTAACCTCAATGTAGAAAATCCCGTTGCATTTTTATCACGACGCCATGTACTACGAGAACAACCCCCGCTGCACAGTTGATTATCACCTAGACCGTTAATCTGCCCGCCCATATCCTGCCATCCAGCCCCCCTCCACCCCTCCCCCGACCCTCAGCCGCTCACTTTGGCCAGCCCTCGAAGGTGGACACGGTGAAGAGGGTCAGCATGGCCTTGCCGACGTCGTCAAAGTGAAAATCGTTCTTGGTCCATTCGCGCTCCACGGTGTTGGGACGACTGACATCACCCTCGGCAAACTCGATATACTGACCCCTGAAACGGAATGCGGGTTTGGATCAGCATATTTGGGAACAGATTAGGACGTGCGGGTGGTCGACAGGGGCAACAAAATAACCAGGTGTAAGTAAGACTGGTATACCATGGTATTATGGTCAATGATGTTAGATACTGAGTTTATATGATAAGATCTACATATATGATCGATGTGACACAAACAAAACCATACAATTCAACGCAATTGTGAACATAAATAAGCAATAAATCATTCAATAAGGCGCCACATAAGTACAATCACCAAAGTTCTATGCAAGTTTTCATCGTCACCCACCTGCACTCTAGCTCGGTGAGTTTGGATCTGTCGTTGCAGAAGAAGAACTTTCCCTTGAACAGCTGTACACCGATAACGGCAAACATGAACTCGAGCAGACACGTGACCAGCATGATATTCCAGATGGTCTTGATGGCCACGATGACGCATTGCACCACGTGCTGGGGACAGAGACGGGCGACTTCAGGAACGATACTCAGCCGGCGACTCGGGTGGACATCGGCAACAAACGGCACTGTATTGAGGTATTGCCGGAATTAACTTTATAAAATAACACTAGCCGTACAAAAAGAAAAAGAAAAAAGCTGAAACCAGATTGAAATGAAGCCGATAAAAACATGAACTCAGATACATCCTTATCCGAGGTAAATTGTTAGGATAAGACGACACAAACTATCGTGTAAAAGACAAGCCGACGGACTCGTCTATCCCCTAGAATATCACTGACTCACAGATATTCTGCGCAGCGCCTCCTACCTTGAGTCCCTTGGCTCTGTTGATGGCTCGTAGCGGTCGCAGCACGCGCGCCACACGCAGGATCTTGACCACAGAGATGGCTCCAGAGCTGGCGACACACAGCGCTTCCATCAGCGTCACTCAGCACCGCGGGTAGAAGCGGCACTACTAGTACTCACATGGAGACATCCCCCTGCATTATTACAACCTAGACTCTTCTACATTTAACACAACGATCAGTCCAAATTCAAGCAATGTCTGCTTTCATGTCGGGGCCATCTCTGGCAGAACCAGGATCCCTGTCGGTATCATATACAATCAGCGTTGCCTGTGGATATAGAATGACTGTATGTATATCATCGTCATCGGGCACAACGGCGTCATCAGTCACTGATGACGTCCCCAAACCGCGCTTCCAGAGCGACAGCCTGCTGCGCAGCTTTTAGCTAGCAGTCATATCCAACCCACTCTATTTATAAAGACAGGGAGATCATGGGTGCACTTTACAGGACATGTAACGTTAAGTGTCGGAATATCCCTTTGACCATTCTTGTAGAAGCTCGGCTGATGAGTGGGTACTGGGAACATTCGTTTAGAGATCAGATAGTGCGATGGACACCAACACTCGGCATCAAAACTCTTCATAAAAGTAAGTCTGGAACAAGTCTGCAAAAACACGAGAGCATGACAAACCATGTGAAAGGAGTTAGCCGGTGTTCGGCGGCCGCACATACACACGTGAAACATGTGTAAACACAGTCACTACGTTTCCATGACACGTCTAAATCGATTTAGCGAAATTTCACGTGCGTTTTTCTCGGAAACTAGTTACCTTATGCAAAAAATGAGCGTATATATGGTTTCAGCTAGCACCTAATCCTATATTCACATTTTTTAAACTATTCCTAAAGGATGGAGATGGAGCAAATCCATTTTTCAAAATCGGCTTAACTTGTGCCATGGAAACGTAGCCAGTATCTAGGGGAGATTTCCTATGAATAATACCAACTACTAATTGTCGATCCATTAAAACATTTCAGAGCTGAGAGACAACATTAGATGTAACACCAGAGAGGTATCAGAAATATGCTCAGGTGTGTAGTATTAAGTATTTTATGCGGTTAAAACGCAGAACGTGTGAATGTGAAAGTGTAGAAGAACCAGCTGATGCTAGGAGCAGACACCATCGCACGTTATCATGTTACCATGTGCCACATTATGTTACCAATCAACAGACACAACATCGAAACAAACCAGGGGCAGCCGCAGATGTACAAGTCGAAAATGCGCTGGGGTGGCACGGCAAAACAGTTTGAGAGCATCTGCGCGGACAGCCAGACCCAACGGAGGCGAAGAAAACTTTACCGATTCATTTGGACGATGCCTATGAAAAGTTGTAGGACAATGTAGATGATACCAAAGTGTGTTACATGCCGCGGGAATTTTGGCCCTTTTGCAAGACGTGGGGTAAAGAGTTCTCAATATTCTCCTTGAGTCCAGTTGTTAGTGTCTGAAGAATTACTTACATGTGGCTAGAGCGAGAAAAACGAAAAATCAGGGTTCGCAAAGTGATACATCGAGTTTACCTCATGGAATTAAGGATCTGTTTTTGTTGTTCTGGGTGAAGGGTAATCCTGAAACATCGCACCCAAAAGTGGCGTCAAACAATTACGTACCAATCGCTCGCGTCTTATCCAAGACTTTCGCGTCTGTTTTTGAACAAGGGGCGGGTGATATTTTGATGAAATTCACCAGCGCAAAAAAAGTTAGATTTCTTCATGCAAAACCTAACACAACTAAACCTCGAAAATTACTAACTAAAGAGTCGGACACAATGACAGCACCTGTCTAAAACAAAAATCCAAACAAAAGACGTCTCACCGCGCCACGGTTTCAGACATCGTCCTTCAGCTATCCCCATCAACACTCAAACAGTTCCCTGAACGCTTCACATTCACTCAAAATGTGACACGGTGGCAAAACGGCTCCCAACCCGTCCCCACGACAACTGCTCACCTGAATATAAACGATATGAGCGACACTGCCACGACGAGAATATCGAGCAGATTGAAGGCCGACCGGCAGAACGAGCCGGGGTGCAGTATGAACCCGTAGGCGATCACCTTGAAGCAGATCTCCACGGTGAACACAGCCGTGAAGAAGTAGTCAAAGTGGTTGAGAATCTGCAAAAAAAAAAAAATAATGGGGTGATGCGTCTATGACATGTAATATTTCACAAAACACGACTATTGAAAAAAACTCACAATAAGCACATACAAACACTAAGTTTACCTCCACGCCCTGAAATAGAAAAAAGATCACAGGTGATTTCACCTCCTGTGATCTTTTTTCAATTTCAGCATTTACCATTTTCAACTTCGCCATAAACTCTCAGGCCAAAACACCAGCCTCATACTACCCCCATGACAAAACCCCGCAAAATCATGCAGCGGCCGGCAGCGCGCTCCGCTGCCGCTTACCTTGTTCCTGGCAGTGTGCGGGTCCAAAGGGTCCTCGGCAGCCAGCATTGCCGACGACACCAGGATACACACCAAGATGACGTTGCCGAAGAAGCTGTGGTTGCAGAACCAGTGGCAGAAGATGCGGAACCTGACGAACGCAGTTCGGGAGAGGTGAACAGGAGCCGCGCGTGGCTGGAGAGCCGGAGGAAGCTGCTGGTTGGATGTGTTATCTTTTTGGTAAAGGTTATTCACTGGTGTTGACTCAGGTAAACGGGACGTCCATCTAGTCAGTTACGGGAATGCAAGCGTCCAAACTGACGTTAATTTGCTGAAATAGCTCATCAGCCCAAAAACGTGGTATGAAATTATGAAAGAACAAACGAAGCTTTACATATATATTACATGATGAACCAATATTCCGGTTAAGTCATGTATTACGATAAGCAGGGTATCAATTCTTTTTCCTGAGCAGTATGCTCGGGAAAATTGTTACACCATTACTCCTAAGCCTTCAAAAAGTGAAAACCCAGTACTCAAAATGTTCCGGTTGAGTTAGTTCAAAATTCAACACAGCAAATGGAAGGGAAAACCAACAATGAAGTAATGAGGTGCATCATTATAATATGCTTCAGGACATCCGTAACTTTGTCCTTAGACATATGTGAGGAATTGTAAGGAAGTGCGGGCGTTCGAACACCGCAAATCCGTCTCCCTAGCACGTAGACTTGGTTTTGGGGCGACGGAAATCAGGGTCACCCGCACTAGGACGACGAATTTGCGGTACCCGAACACCAAGAGTTCCTTACAATTATCCATCTATGTCTTTAGATCCAGAGTTTAACAGAACGCTGACAGTCGATATTCACAATAGGCAATACATGACACACTTCATCAAGAAACATCATACCACATGATAGACAGGGCACTATTTTCAAAATATTAAGCCTCATCGATGCATGTTAGACATTCTGCACTTGCATATTCACTACTTAGTTCTACGTAGGAGCGCACTCGACTACGAGCACTTCACAGTGTTCTCTCCAGCGGCTAATGACGCGTTACTCAGAGCTGCTAGCACTACGGAGGTCTGCTGACAGAGGAATGCACATTCTCCGGTCCAAGCGAGGAGGTGGCGCCCGAGACTGCGCCTGCTCCAAAAACAAACGCTGTAAATCGTTCGAATCACTCGTTCTCACACACCTAAGAGCACACGCACACCTACAGCTGCGAGCAGGCGCAGGCGCGCGGGAGAGAAGGGGAAACGAAGCCACAGAGAGAGAGCGCGCGCCGGTGTCCGTTAGTACCACTCCGTGCCGCCAGAGGCGCTGGCGTCACCTGTTCTCCGGTCCAAACACGAAGAAAGAGCTGTATGGAGGAATGGGCTGTATTTTGGCCGGTGTCAGCTCGGAGAGTCGGCGAGGCCGAGCACCGACCACGTCCTCCTCTTCACCTGCAGGTCACAAAGGTCACCACGAGGTCAGAGGTCAGCCCCGCGGCCCGCGGCCACCCTCACCTGTTGGTGGGCGAGAACACAAAGAAACTACTGTACTGCGGCATCGGCTTGATCTTGTTCTTGATGGAGAGCTGCGACAGCCGGCGCGGCCGCATCGTCGGCGGAAGCTCGTCGACATCGACGCCGCTCCCCGAGTCGCCGTCGCTGCCTGAGTCGCGTCGGCGACGCCCTGTCAGCGCCCCAAGCGGTTATACGGGGGGCCAGGAGCTCGGCGCGGTGCCGGGGACCGGGATAGAGCGAGTGCAGGGCCACGGGGTTAGCTAGAGATGAGATGGTTAGTCGATGATTGTGTAAAATTTCACTTTCAAGCATCTCAAGGTATCTATTCGAAAGAACTATGAGAGAGCTGTAATTGAATAGGTCCATATGCACTGCGTATATGACCAAGTTGAAATAGTTAGCGAAGAAATGCTCGAGGCAACTTGTTAGATTATATAAACGAAGTTTGACTACGTTATAAGAGCTACGCAAATGAACATGTCTCACACAAGTTTGGAAAACGTGGGCAGATGTTAGTTAGTTGCTATCTAACTACCACAAATTATTAACTACGGGATGCATCTAAAAGATAAAGAAAAGCAAACCAACTATGCCGAGAACCTATGCTACTTCAGACTGACTCCAATATCTCTCCGAGAACTGGTTCAATTGCATAACAATTTTGGGCAGCCTGCTGGCTAGAAAAGTGTTTAGTTTCATTTCGTGCCAAAATGATGAGCACTGAACAGACATTGCATACTCTTCCAACACGAAGTTGGTTCAATATAGCAGTAGTACAAAACAGGACTCGTTGATTTACGAAGACAGCGGCGAGGGTACATACCGTCCTCGTCGTAGTTATCGTACTCTTCGTCGCCCATGTCATCGTCGCCCATGTCGACGCTGGTCTGACTTCCCGCCCGGTCGGGCCTGAAAATAATCAATGACATTATCCACTCAGTTGACAGACATCAATTGCAAGACAAAAATAACGTCAATCTACGGCACAGCTTTTTGGTGTCACAATTTCCGCGAAATTTTAAAACACCCACAATGCTATTGACTGCTAAGAAGAGCAAAAAAACAAGGACATGCTTTTTAAACCAAGAAAAGCTTTTTGTTGTGACATATGACAAAAGACTTTTTGTTTTGTTGGGTTAGGCCCTTTCATTATGACAAGACCATTTCACAGCCGGAAAAATGATAGGAATTAGGGAGAGATATTGGTCTGGGCCAGCACCCTAGAGAGTCGCCGGGGCTGAGACCGTCCAGTGGACAGGCCGACCAACCCCCCAAGCACTCACGGCACCCAGCTACGGGCGGGCACTCTTATCGGGTATTCCCGCATGGACTTAAATTGCTCGTCCAGCCCGGAGTAAGGGCTTGAGGCATAGAGGAGAAGGATTTGTATGTCCTAAGGATGGAAAAGAGGGAACGGTTGACAAAAAAAAAAACATTCGAGCACAGACATCTGTGTAACGAACCCACCACTGCTGTCTTTAGCAATGACAGTCATGATACTTTTTTCCACTCACCCGACGTGGTTGAGCTCTGCCAGCTTCTGAGAGCCATACGGCGACCGATCCTGATCTCCGCCTTCTTCTATCCGGTCTCCGTCCTTACGAGGGGATCCGCTCCGCGAGCGAGAGCGAGCTTTCTGTGAACACAGCCACACACAACTAACGACACCTGTCGACTGACTGCGTAACTTTAGCTTCCACACCAGCCGGCAGGCGTTCATAACATTTGTATCTTCACAGGAAGCTGGTCACGACACGGAGCGGCTAAATTGATCGGAAATTGAGTCTCTTTTCTCGGTGCCAGGCGAGTGCACAGCCATGACAGATGGTTGGCGGTGAACCAACTGAACCCTCATGCCAAGAGTCCGCCTCCGCCGCCGCTGACAAGTCTGCAAACGGCAGTGTAACGTGCGGGCATGCGTTAGCACGGATCAGGCACGGGAACGGTCGCCACTTACAAGCTCATCAGGGTAGTGATAGTCCTGTAATCAGCGGCGCCCGCGATACGGCCGATGTTCAGGCGCTAAGGCGACAGACTAGACACTACGTAGAGCCCCCAGAGGGATTCAGAGGACAGAGAAAGCGAGACGCAGGCGCAGAGACGTTAGCAGAGAGTCGGGTTTTATTTAGCCAGGCCAGTCACCACCGGACGTTTTAGTACATCGACTGGCTAACAGCTCAGGCGGCTGGTTAGTCTAATAGAGCAAACATCGACGCTTACAGGAGACTCTCGCACTAAAGGCTGAAACAGACTTTCCGTGTTCAGGAAATCGCATGCGAGAGCCTATTCAAATAAATTATAATTCTTCTCGCATCAATCGCATCCGGGAGGTGCGTGCGATTGATGCGAGCGTGCTTCCATGTATTTGAATAGGCTCTCGCATGCGATTTCCTGACTGCGGAAAGAGTCTGTTTCAGCCATTACAGACTGAGGCGGAGACTGAACGGAAATTAGCATGACAACTAAATATTACAGCTTCCTAAAAAGGACAAGCCTACAATTAACCACCTGACCTACAAGGAGGTATTACAACAAAATAACCAAAGTAAAATACCTACAGTAGCTGGAGCTCGACAGGGTAGCAGACGATTAATGCTTGGAAAGTTGACCTGAGCAAACATGACTAAAGAACATTATAAAATTGAAATACTCTGCCACAAGAACTGACTTTCATCTCTTCCTAACCCCTCACTCCCCTCTCCCTCCCTCTCTCTCTCTCTCTCTCTCTCCCTCTCTCTCTCTCTCTCTCTCTCTCTCTCTCTCTCTCTCTCTCTCTATCTCTCTCTCTCTCTCTCCCGCTCTCTTACCTCCTCTTCCTCCTCTTTCTCGATGGCTGTCAGTGACTCGGCGTCTGCCAAGTTGTCCACGGCGATAGCCAAGAATACGTTCAGCAGAATATCTGTGCAGCGCTAAGTCAAGGAACGTAACGTGAAGAGGATCCAGACACGTCAAAGGTCTGGCACAGACAACTAATCAGAAGAGGTTGCTGTGCACAAATGAATAGCGGTCACAATTAATAATTGTAACAAATACCAAGAAAAGCAGCTGATAAAATAATTACATAAATATGAAGACAACCACAGTACCTGCGTTCGCCGTATCACCAGACATATGCACGACAGCAGTTAATTAAAAGTAATGCCAGTGACTGGAATGCACAGACTAGGACTTCATAATGTCATAGCAAGTCATCATTCCCAGACTATATCCTAATCATAACCTTCCACCTATCCCCACATCCCAGCCCACCACACTCCCGCCACCATCTCCGTCTGACACCACCCAAAGGATACAGTTGCCGCAGATGAACAGTATGATGAAGTAGGAGCAGGCCAGTGCGCCGACGCCTCCCACTCCGCCGTACGCCTCGATACCGTGGTACATGACGACGTTCCAGTCCTCACCGGTGAGGATCTGAACGACCGGAGGCGGGTTAGATACGGGCCGGGTGGGAAGAGAGCGAGTAGATGGGACTTGAGGAACGATACGAAGCCATGAGGCTGAAGAGCTATACCAGGCCTAGGGCTAAATGCTTCAGTTTCTTGTACGTTACCAATGCTGATTTGGGAAAACTGTCACCCGATCAAAAACAAGTGAAGAGAGACCGAAAATGTTACGATGAATGGCAAAATGACACGTCTTAATGGAAAGACAATCGAAAGCTATAGTCAAATTGTTCGAATGTTACGAACATGACCAAATATTTCTTCGCGAAAACGTCATTTCACGTCAAAATGATGTGAGAACTGAGAACACTGATCACCACCAACCACCTCAGATTGTTGCCACTATCAAACATAAAACTACACATTAGTAAGCGCACCACAGTAAGCGTCACAACATTCATAAACAACAACAATCACCAACAACATTCACCACCCGACATAAGCGCCTGTCCGAATACATCCGTGCAGCACTGTTTTAACGTCAGAGGGACGCAACAGACCGACATTACGTCCAAGCCACGACCAGGCCCCGCAGATCCCAAGCACAGCGATCAAGCAAGCGTTCCACACCACAGAAAGCAGGGTTAAGTCGCCGCTACCACCATCTCTGGACCGCAGATGATAGTTAGCAGCGGTTGGATGCGTCGCGGCTGCTAGAACTGTGGTGTCTTCTCACCACCTTTCTCACCACGGGAAACATCAAAACTCACATCCAGCTCGTCCAAATCGAGTGAAACTCACCTCGCTGCTACTGACGCCAAACAAACGGAACAAAATCGGGGGAGGGTGGGGTACACCGTGGCGGTATGGCCGATAGGTGACATGCGTTAGAGGGAGGAACTGAACACACGGTAGCGGGGAGGGCAGGCAGCCACAGCCTAACATCCAGACACACGGAGGGACGGCCGGCGGCGCCCACGGCGCGCGGCACGGGGAGCGGCGGGGCGGGCGTACCACGGTTATAGCTGAGGAGCTCACTGAACTTTGGGCTTAAATTTTATCTAAAACTTTGCAAGATCCTATTTCCACTTTCTCTCAAAACCTGGCAGAGGAAAAAAAGAATTTCGCAAGCTCAGCCAGTGCACCATTGGCTCAGAATATGGATGAAACAGTAGCAATATGACCAACCATAGACCTCTGTACACCAGTCTATGTACAGAGGTGTACAGAGGTCTATGGACCAACTCAACCCAACAAAAGCCTTAATTCAATTGCATAGCAACGTGTCGCATGTCATTCGCAATTCTAAGGAATCACGGACCATCAGCCCACACGCAATTGGCGCTGTGACATGTGCTTGCACTTTTCATTTTCATCTCAATCAAAAATTAAAAGATGGAAAAATGATCTTTTTCCCAAATCAGGATACCGGCAAGTTCCAGAGCATCAGTAGGGGAGAGTGGGGTAATTTGGCCGCTTTTTTTTAGAAAACGATATAACTTAAAGGGACCCTCCCACCTTCAAAAAAGTTAATGAATTGGCATGAAAGTGATGTCCCTTGGTTCAGAAAGAGCGAAAACGAATATCTACCAAATTTCACCGAAAAATATTCACTGGTTTTCAAGATATTATGCTTTTACTTTTGTTTACTTTTTGGGATTTCCCCTGTTACTAGCGACTTTATTTGGAAGCAATAATTTGGCAGCCTTAAAGTGCGGCAGACGTTGCGCGCAAAGCAGCGTATACCACCACGTGTTAACGATGGTTTTAGTCTAAGATTTAAAAATCGTTAGATCTCCGCTGACGTCACAAATTCTAAGGGGGCATTCCAATGCATTAGCCCCTTAGAATCCGAAAACTGCAAGTTTGAAATTCCATATCTTCGAATTAAAGCATTTTTCGATGTTGTGAGTGCCCAAACCGGTATTTGCAGGCCATGGCCACCAATTTGGCTATCTCAACTCAAAACTAATGTTAAGGTGGGAGTGTCCCTTTAAAATTGACGACACATTTCTGCATTTTCTCAACGCTGGCAGGTGTCACATTCATTTTACTTTACTGGACAGTGAACTTGAAATGACAGAGTAATTACTTATATTGAAATTGTGACGTAATACAAAGGTCTGCAAGGCGGCCAAATTGCCCCACTAGCAGGGTTATTTGGCCGGGGGTGTGGGGCAATTTGGCCGGTGTTAGTTTGCGGTCGGGATTTTCTTTTATATTGCGAGTCAGCTTCAGATTCAGCAATGACGTGTCTCCTATGACGCATTTGCCGCATTTTGGATGTTGGCTCAGAGGTCACAGGGGTCGAAATAGCCAAATTAGCGGCTCTAGATGCGATCACAGTTTTTTACGAATAACTTTTGAAGTCATCAAGCTAGGCCAAAACTTCGAGTACCATCGTAATTCTCTCGTCAGTCCGCATCGAAAGATATATGTGTTGACCTTGAGAAGTCAAGGTCAAAGGTTGACCTCAGGTCACGTTGCATCAGGTCGCTTGACCTCAAGGTCACGTGATTTCAAGGTCATCATGCATATCATTCGATGCGCCTTGGCGAGCTGAACAGAATGAGACCATTTGTGCGGCTGTACCATTTTTATGTAAGGATTTATTAGCAAAAAACGTTTGGTAACCTTTGATGACGTCACATGCTCTTACAGTTGGCCAATCGGAAGTAAGGCATCAAAGTAGTCAAAGTTGGTCATGAATCATGTCAATTATGGTACAATTGACCATGAAAACTCGGCGCTCCCAGCATAGTGACCATGAGCGCACCGGCCAAGTTGCCCCGCTAGTCCCGGCCAAATTACCCCATATTGCCATTCTGAAAATTTTTGTCGATAAAGTCATCACGGCTTTACGGAATTAGATAAAATTGCTCTTGGAACCGCTGAACACCCCCAAGAATGGCGCTATAAGGTCTGAATTCGTTTTTAGCCCAAATGCTACATGTTATACAACTTTGTAAACAGAAGTAAAAGTTACCATTTTCTAATGAAATTAACGTTTTATTAATTTTGAATAAAACTACGAGGGGCAAAGTTTTGACATTTGTCCTCCAGTTATTTCTACCCATGACAAATGAATACAGACTAAAGTTATTTCACTCACTTTTATTAGACATCGTACAGGTGGGGGCGGCCAATTTACACCACCGGCCAAATTACCCCACTCTCCCCTACATAACCTGTTTCGTGGTGCGCCCCTCCCTCGGACCACCCAGTGCTCCGCGGCCTGCCGGGCGCCGCGCGGCCGCTCTCCACACCACTATACCTGGAACACTGTCAACAGGCTCTGCACAAACGAATCGAAGTTGCTGCGCGGCTTGTCATCCGAGTCGTCAAAGTTAAACTTGCCGCCGAATACCTGCATACCGAGCAGAGCGAAGATGACGATGAAAAGGAACAGGAGCAGCAGGAGCGAGGCGATGGACTGGATAGAGTTCAGGAGGGATGCCACTAGGTTGGAGAGGGAGCGCCAGTACCTGTAAAAACACGACAACGGAGAGAGACACGGGTTAGCCGCCGAACGCCGAGCGTCGGCCCTGAACGGGCGCGGCGCGGGCGACCCCAGCATCCCCGGCGTGTTAGAAAAGCGAAGCGTATGTTTCAGTAAGCGGCGGATGCTGGCAGAGCGGGAGTGAGTGCGTGAAGCCATGTTATGTGAGCCGAGCAGACAAGAGAAACGCATGGTCGTGTGGATACCATGCTAGCAATCAAGCGGACGGCGTTCCTCATTAGCGATCATGCAAACATACGGACGGACGGACAAAATGACAGTCGGGCAGACGGAAGGACGAAAGGACGGGCGACGAAGAGCAAATGGACGTACAAGTGGGCAGACAAAATGGATGGATCGACACACGAATAGACGGGCAGACGGGCGTACATACGGTCAGATCGGCAGACGAACGGACGGACGAACAAACAGGCAGGCGAACTGGCGGACGCGGATGCGGATGCAGAAAAAGACGGGCAGTTGGGAAGTTCCCACCGCGTCCCTGACAGGCGTTGACATGTCCGTTTGTCACAATAGTTGGGATCATCCCGCCAAACTGACAGGCAGCATTAAGTCACCCATTCTGGCGGACAAGGGAACTCCCGAGCCCGAGGCATTGTATCGACTCCGACGGGGGTAATGAAATGTCGTCCCCGATCTGCCAAGACGGACCGACGACAAGGCGGGCGGCCATAACGGAGTCAGGCCGATTTATGGCGAGACCGCTGGCGACTGTCGGAGACAGAGAGAGGATGGGGAGAGGGAAGAGAGGAGGGGATGCTGACCAAGACGCAACTGGGGAAGAAACAGAGGAAAGCGAGGCAGAGGAAAGAAAGACAGGACATAAATGCGGAGAGCAAAGGCACAGAGGATAGAAAGGCAAAACGTTGGAAAAAGGATAGAGCAGCAAACAGACGAAAGAGGACATAGAAACATAGGACAGAGGAAGAGGAACAGAGGACATATATGCAAAGGATGGACAGCCAGAGGAACGGAGGCAGAGTCCCTCGCGCCCAGGCCAGAGCTGAGCCAGGTGTGCGTCAAGGTAAGACACAAGCCGTGAATTTGTACAAGTTGGGAATCTCAGGCAGCAGGCGATAGATAAATCATCCCCCCGGCTGGGGGCGACCGGAGTCAGTGACTATGTACCTGAAATACAGTCATGATGGACTGCCAAAACGAGTCGAAGTTGCTGCGCATCTCGAGCGGTCCGTTCAGTTTTCCACCGAATATCTGCATCCCGAGAAGGGCGAAGATGAATATGAAGAGAAAGAGCAGGAACAACAAGGAGAGGATAGACTGGATGGAATTCACGAGGGAGCGCACCAGGTTGCCCAGACTTCGCCAATATCTGCAAAAGAAAAACTAAACATAAACCCAAAAGCACGGACATGTATGATGTACGTCGAGCTAATGTGTTAGCAAACAGCAAACAAATCAGAAAATAACTCAAAATTAACTAAAAATGCAACAACAGCGGGAAAGCCGGCGGGTAAAACGAAACAAACTAAATACATGTAGGGTTCATCGAGTTACGACATGCTCGAGCCAATTACGACACTGCGCAGGGGAATGTTTAACACATCATTCACCAGCACATACATGTTTCTTCAAACACGACGTCATAGGCTACATTATCAAAACTACTACTTATTCCTAGGAGACACAACTGCATAACCCAAGTAAACTACAAAGTAATGGACGCCATTTAATTGCGTCCCAGAAAAGCTATTTCTGGCACCTAAAAGCTGACTCGCCCCAAAATTGGTCCTCAGCACCTATTTGGTGGATACCAGCACCAATCTTGGAAAATGACCTTAATTAGCTGTTTCTGGCACCTATTCATCGGTACGCCTTATTCTTTTTTCTGAATCTGGCACCTAAATGCTGAGCGTAGCACCAATCTAGTAGAAAAATGAACTACTGGCTGGTAGAATCATGTTGTTCTGGTATAATGACCCCTGGAGTCTAGCCTAAAGGTTGCCAGTGCAGCTACACTCTAAGACAGCCCCGTAGTGATCTCAGCATTGTATATGACGTTTAAGTAAGCAAATAATATTAATTTGTTTGAAAAAAAACAATGTCATTTAAATATTTAAAAGCATTTATTTGTAATGCTTTAAGGGAAACATTTTTGTGAGTAATTGTCTCGATTTTGACCATTAAAACGGTATTGTATTTTTTGACGTCATCAAATAGCTCCAAAAAAGAAATGTAATGTTTTCATTCCGTTCAAGGCCGCTGAAGAAACGCGGGATCTTGCGTGGGACATTGTCCGTTGTTTGCCGCGCAGAGTTGTGCCGTGGTTGTGCCTTTTTCATCCGTTTCTTACGTATGGCGTATGTGTGCATGAAGCTTTGATTTTGTTTTTGGTTATTGTGTGGCCGGTCAGTCAAACGCCCCTGTAGAAACCGGATGCTGCGTTTGATCGAGATGGAGTCAGACGATGATTGCAGAAAGCTAATAATATTGAAAAGAAGGCCGGTTGTGTGGCATGTCTGTTCAGAGTTGACATTTTGCTTTACTCCAGTTTATGACCTGAGAGCCTGGCTGGAAGTGACGGATCCAAACTTGTCACGTTAAAATGGCTGAGGGTGCAATAATCTCTAGTCTCTACATAGCGGGGTGGTATAGGAGCGTCTTGCTATGCTGCACCATAGCTGGCTAGTGATTCTCTTTTGGCTAGAAATGGCATTAATCATTATCTCCACTGGCGAAAATGGCACTTGTCATCACCGAATGCAACGTTCATGTTGTTAGGATACATAAAATCAGGAAGATTACGCGAATTAGGTAGGCAAACGTGGAATAAAATAGGTGCTGGATGTTTTGGTTTTGGTGCTGAATCAGCAAACAGCAAATACGGAGTTCAACTAGATGATCTGGCAACTTTAGGCTGTGTGGAAGCAATTAGGTGCCAGATTCAGATATTAGGGTCGAATAAGCATTTTGGGGCTGATCAGCAATTAGGTGCCAGAAACAGCTTTTTAGGGACCAGAAACAAATATTCCCCCAAAGTAATGACTACAAATGAATAGCATAACTGACCAGCGCAAATAAAATTCATGTGTTTTATCAACTCTTAAGATCCTCTCATAGATCAACAGGTTACCGCATTTCGAATTAACACGACATTGAAAATGCAATGACAGCTGTCAGTATTTCTAAGCGTCTTGTATAAACCAGCCTTATTCCCACTAGCTCATATAATCCACGTGTGCATCTTGCAAAAATTTACAACTTTTATGTGGGTGTCGAATAACGCACATTGCCCTTTCTGCTGGTCACCCTGACCTCTGACCCTTGTACTGACCAACCCTGACCTCTGACTCTTCCCTGATCCCCAGCCCTGACCTCTGACCCCTATCCACTGACCTGGTGACCTTAAACACCCGGAGCAGCCGGACACAGCGGAGCACGGAGACACCGAGGGGCGGCATAACGCCCGTCTTGGTCAGCAGTACTTCCATTATACTGCTGATCACCACAAAACAGTCGAAACGGTTGAACAGCGACACGAAATAACTCTGAAATGGCAGACAGGAGGCTGGTTAGACACCGGAGACAAATGTGAGGCAGTGAGGCCATGAAGGGCCGAGGGAGACAATACAGACAGGCAGTGAGACAGAAGCGTGATGTAGGGGTAATGGATTGTGTAAGCGGCAGTCGCAGATGGGTTTCGCCGTATTATGGGAGTTGCTGAGTGGATCATGCACGTCAGTGGCAACTTTTCAGGAAACGGGCAGCACTCAGTTATAGCAGGACGAAGTCGGTGGGTAGGTTGGGTGGTTCCCCGCCACAGCGGGAAATTTATGGCGTCATTCATATGCCCAGTGAATTACATTTCATTCGCGCAACAGCCTGCTGAGAACTCCCTCATAACGATCATCACTTCCAGACATCACTAAGCCTGTAGGCTGCTTGCGCGGTACCACACATTAGTTAGTAATACAGCAAAGACAGGTAAGTCGCGTTGACAAAAACTTCGAAGTCAAAGCTTCTTCAAAAGCTTCCGGCCACATCCAACGCTCTAACCCCACCTCCCGGAACCGCGGGCGGCGGGTCGGATAGAATCATGTCTGCTCCATTTTCTGTCGCGGTACGGAAGACAAGACTCATTACTGCGGCGGGCTCTGCATCTGACACCGTCGCCGCCGGCCTCATTAATGCAGATGAAAGGCGCACTGGTACGCGCCCCGTACCAGGAACTGTACAGGGAGAGGGGTAGGGAGGAACGCACTGTCGGCGCAGGACAGGGGACTTACCTGGAAACCGAGGGCGTACATCTTGACCAGCATCTCAATTGTAAAAAGCACGATAAAAAACAGGTTGCCAATTTCTGTGGACGGAAGAGAGCAATGGTGTTAAAGTGAGTCAACAAGCATACAAAAGCTAGCTGCAATTGAAGTGCGCTTTACGTTCAAAATTTACTATTAACTGTGTTTTTTTTCAATAGGTTATGCAAACAGTAAATTCCGTTACAGTAGCATCTTCACTTAGTTAGCCCGGACAAGTTGTCAAGTTCGTCACCGTTTACCAATCAAAGAAGACTGAGCTGCACCAAGGCCAGGGCCAGCGTGACACTCGTATCTCAAATAGCAACAAGTCTGTCATCCCTAGACTTATATTGTCGCTACAAATCACCTACAAAATAACAGCTGAACTTGGAGTGAAACACTGTAGCTGTAGCATTCTGACGGTAGTTAGCCTGAATTTATGAACGGACCAATCTGTTGCTGCTTCCTAAGCGTGTCGTGTGAGGTACGACGATAGCGTGCGTTTACACCCACGACACAGTGAAGATTGGTGATCGCAAAAATGGGTAAAACAGACGGCATAACCTGGGGCATTTCACAAAACTACCAGCCTACGAGCTCAACTACATTAACTGATTATATTGCTTGACTTTGTATATCCGCATACCTCGGTCACCCCATAACCATCACAAACAAAGCTTCATTTCTGACTGCAATCCAACCGGACATTAATTAAACCACACCCTAGATTAACTGGTCGAGCCAGGGCGGCTGATCGTAGTGCTCATATAGTTAGTTACCGGAACACTACTCACCCTGAAACTGGTCGAGCCAGGGCGGCTGCTTATAGTGTTTACCTAGTTTTCCGGGACACTACTAACGACGACCTAAAAAATCTGGTCACAGTGTTTACTTAGTTCCCGGGACACTACTCACCCTGAAACTGGTCGAGCCAGGGCGGCTGGTCGTAGTGTTCCGTGGCCAACACTCCCGTGTTCAGAAACACCAGGACGATGATGAGCCAGTAGAACGACTGCGACTTGACGGCCACGCGGAACGAGCGCTTCATTCGCCGGTTCCATCTGGAGGGGCAGAGAGAAGCCGTTACGATGAGAGAGCTCCCGTCGACGGCGGCTCAGTCATGGGCGCCACAGAGGACCTCCTCTGAGGGTGTTATTACGACAGGCTGACGGCGACAGAGGAACGCCGTGACGTTGATAAGGGATCAGACAGGTACCGGCTTATGTAAGAGATGAATTACACCGGTAGCAGGCGGAAGCCACTCTGGGAGATAACTTCCGCCACCGGATTGCTCTTGGACGGGAAGTGGAGGCTGTTACGCAACGCGTGGGAAATATGTGAGGTAGGGTCTTTAATCAAGAGAGAACAATACAAATTAAATGACAGCGTAAGTCACTCAAAAACACTGCAAAAAGGAAATTCGGTAGAGAAGGAAATTCGCATGAAGAACAAAAGGTCAGCGGAAACCTAAAAACTATTATGTCAGTTAGCTTCGCAACTCGTCTGTTCTTTTTAATATCTGTTCAATATCTGTTCTTTTTCATAATTAGTGCGCCGACAGATCAAGCTTTTCTCGCAGCTGAGTTCCTCACTTTTCGAATCCTTTCCGCTTTTTCGCCCAGCACGAGAGGTGTCTGCTGTCGACCACTTCAGCGCCGTCCTCTGCCTGGGCGTCATCTTCTTCCACGTGTTCATCTGGGGAGGGCACAACATACGAAATGAACGACCTCAGCCCGGATTCAGGGACGATTCTGAGCTGAAAGAATGGTGCACCTCCTTATATAACTCGATGGTCACAGAGCTGTAATGTGAAGCGCTTATACACAATGCAGCCTTACGACATTACTTGCGGGAAAAGTTCACATGACTAGCTGTCTAAATTCAAGCAGTAAAAACAACACGAAGGAGTTCAATTTCATGGAATGGGTTTCATACAACATTTAAACACATGTCAAGACGGAATGCTTATCTGAGATTCATGACATCTTACTCCCACGAGAAAAGAAATGCCAGTGCAGTGCCAAGTCTGGACATTTCCCAACCAATCACTGACTATGAGCAGCCATAACAACAGGACAACTGGACGGGCTGGGGAACGGTCCAGCCGCTGCGCTGTTTACGTTTACAAATGCCGCACCTACCGACCCTGTGCTGTACCGCTCAGCTATGGGGACTGCCGGGACGGCACCGCCCCGTTTACCAAGTGACCCCTCCTCTCGACCCGCTTGACTTTGTCCCTCTCAGCTCTCTGGCTCCCGTTGACCAGCCCAGTCGCCCGTCATTGAAACAGTCACTCCTTCACTCACTCATTTGTCCGACAAACCCGCACACCCAGCTCACTCATTAAGTACCATACCAGCAAAGCCGCCATTAGTTCACCACTCCCGGAGTTGCAAGCATCCCATCTTACTCCCCTAGCAGCCTGATACCATCCCACGCTTCCCCAACTCAACACTCCACTCAAACTCTCCCCACAACTCACGGAGTTTGGTCTCGTCACCCGGCTCGTCTTCCTCCGGTTCCAGGTACTCCGCCTGCGTGATCCAGTCCAGGTAACCGCGCAGATCCTCTTCCAGTTGCTGTTTTTCTCGCAGTTTCTGGAAGTCACCGCGAGCTTTCGCCTTCTCTCTTTCCTTGGAGAACTCTCTGTAGGTGGAATGCGGTGATATCGTCAGAAAAGGAACGATAAGGTGAAGCGATGTAGGGAAGAGGGTAGACCTAGTGCCTACGCGAGTGGAATATGGTACAGATGATGATGCACAAGCAACTTGCGCTGGTTAGCTGCACTAGTTTCAAGCCACTAAATTAAACCTATAGTAAGTAACAATAAACAAGTCATAAACAGGCAACTATGCCACTATGATTAGCTTAACGAGTCATGTAATGTGAAGTTAATAGTAACATAACGTTAATTTCTGAAGTAATGCATGTCGCTGCAGTTGTAAAACGCTAATGTTACCACTGAGCGGTAGCGACCGCTGAGTTAAGAGCTATTCATTGTCGAGGCCGGGTCATTTTACACTAATATCTCAACTACAGCGGGAGATTCAGAGCAGAACACAACCAAAGCGATGTGCGTGTGTGTGTGTGGCAGCCAGGGATGTGCCTGCAGTCCAGGGGTGAGATGCGGGGAGGGCCATGCCAGCGAAAAAAAAAAAAAAACACAACCATGCGGAAGGGTCATCGGTTCACACAGTTTCACTAATTACCGCTTTTTTAATGGCTCATTACCACTACCACACTCAACTGTCAGGAAAACAGCTTAAGGCTAACCGCAAACATCGATTTTACCTAACTCACATCGGCTATCATAGAGGGTGAAAATGTGACAGATAAAAGTGGGGCACGACTAGCTTTTGAGCAGGCCAGTCACTCTTCAGCAAAGTTACTCGAGCAATTTGGCACACGTCGGCACCAGGAGCGATGTAGCTGGCTTTTTAATCTCACCGGAGCTAGTTATCAGAAACTTACCACCGGGGCTGATCCCGCCAACAGGCATACAATTTGACTCGCTAAATTACTAATGTGACTAAATCCCTCCCGCAATCGTGACCCTCCACAGACCTTAACCGATCGGAAACGTACACGGACCACGATAGAAACAGCAAGAACTTGTACACGTTAACACTTTACGTCTATCGTGCCAAGTGTACATCCGACCGCAGTCCTATCAAAGAGGAGCGGCGGTCGGTGTAACAGAGGCACGTACAAGAGAGACTAACGCGTGCGAGTGACCAGTGACACTAACAGCCCCATCAGAGCCAGATTCGAGAGACGGAACTCACCCGCTTAGCACACCGAGAATAAGATTCATAACAAAGAAAGCGCCGACGATCATCATCGATATGAAATATATCCAGGGCCACGACTGGCCTGATGCATCCTGAATCTGGGGCCGAGAAAACAAACAAAACGTCAGCAAATCGGCCGGCACAGACGGCGCGCTCTCTCATGCAGGACACACCCTGACACAATCAAATGGGGGCGGGGGAGGGGAGGAGAGACGGCTGACCATGCGGCCTACCAACGGGGCGGGCGGGCCGGTCACACGCTCCCCCACAGGTCACCCCACAGCCCGGACCGCGGCGCCGTCACCGGCACAGACACTGTCCTCTCACAGCCCGACACAGCCCATCCACAGTCGACCGGCCCCACCACCAGGCAGCGGAGAAGGCGTGAAAGAGAAGAAAACAAGCGAAATAGAAAGCCCGACACCCCGCTGTGGCGACCGGCGGCGCACACCCAGCCCTGTTCCGATCACACGAAAAGCCAGCGGCGGGGTGCGGAAGGCTGAAAGCGGAGGTGCTCCTGAGAAAAAGCGCACGCGGGCACACGCACACGCCGGCGGGCGGTCCAGCGCCGACAAAGAGGAACTTCACTTACCCGCTCAACACACCAAGGACGAGGTTAAGCACAAAAAACGAGCCCAGGATGATGAGGGTTAGAAAATAGATCCACGGCCAGTAGCTCCCCAGCGCGTCATTCATCTAGAGAGGCAGCCAGGCAGACGGGGCAGTGTTAGCGGTGCCGGCCGGGCGGGCGCGTACGGCGCCACACAGCCAGCCAGCGCAGCCAACCGGTCGACAGGATAGCCAACCGGCAGTGGTCAGTCAGTGTTAGAGGCTTCAGCCCTGAAGCTCTATCGCAGACTATGAACATATTCAGACGGACAGACGGACAGACAGACAGATAGATGGACAGACAGACAAGGAACGCCCAGCACAACTCTTGAAGACAGTTTTGGTGTTCAGGCTCTCAGTAAGATAGAACAGTCGCCAACACGGACGGAAAGACAGACAGAAAGACAGACGGATAGACACCACCACCGGACAGACCAGGACATACTTAAACGTACAGTATTCTTAGAAGGAACTGATCAACCACAATCAGTGTATAATTGAGCAGAAAAAAAACTGACGGCAACTAAAAATACTAAAAAGCCATCCCCGCGAGATTCATATATGTAAGTATCAAAAAGCCGCTCCCGAAATCAGCGTCCGGTTAGTAGGCAGCTATGAAGTCTACAACAGTGTTAATTTCCGGAGCATTTACAGCAGTGCAATCGTTAGACAAATCCTATTCCCCATCCAGGTTCAAATGACTGCAACAGCTCAGGCATATACATATAATGCACGTGTGGACCGGCACAAACGAACAAACTCTGCCGTGCAAAGGAAGAACCACGTATGTCATTTTTTGGTCAAAAATGGTTTTTTATACCGATCGATAGCCCAAGAAACGGAGCATTTGGTTATGCGAATTATATTCACAAAAAGTTTTTTGAAAATACTTATATTTCCAAAAAACATTTTCCAAAAAACGTATGTCATATCCAAGGGTAGACAGCCAAGGAAAAAACACGTATGTTCGGACTTATCGTGTCCAAAGCACGTATGTCAAAGCTTTCTTGTGTAAATGATTTTTTATTTCTTACCAATGAAAACATACGTGGTTTTGCCAGATATCTCCTCATCATGGGTATCTAAAGATGTTAACGCTCGCGTGGTCAAAACACGTATGTACGGACATTCTTGCTTGAATTGCATTTTTCAAGCACATAAATGAGAACATACGTGGATTTGCCTACTATCTCCGGTAAGCCGACGACAGCGGCACCGACCCCACCGACGTACTGACGCAACCAGGGGACGCAGCAACGGCCATACCGACGGCACCAGGGGATGTGGAGTCGGCCCTACCGACGGCACCCGGGGACGAGGAGTCGGCCCTAACTACAGCAGCAGGGACGCGTCACCGGTCCTACATACAGCACCGGGGGGACGCGGCACCGGCCACACCGGCCCTAACGGAGGACACGTCACCGGTCACACCGGCCCTGCCGGGGGACGCGGCACCGGCCTGACCGACGGCACGGGGAACGGCCGTACCAACGGCACCGGGGGACGCAGTACCGGTTCTACCGACAGCAGTTGGGAACGCGGCATCGGTCCTACCGACGACACCGCGGGACGCAGCACCAGTCACACTGGTCTTAGGGGAGGACACGGCATCGGCGATCCGGAAGACGCGACACTATATAGTGCTAACTACAAAAGCGGGGGACACGGCACCGGCCCTACCGACGACACAGGGGAACGCGGCACCGGCACCGTCACACCGGCCCTGATGGAGGACACGGCCAACGACGTGTCAACGACCATGCCGACTGCACCGGGGGACGTAGCGCAGGTCCTACCGACAGCACCGGGGGACGTGGCACTGACGCCGTCACACCGGCCCTAACTAACGGAGACACGGCACCGGCCACACCGGCCCTAACGGGGGACACACGGCCACACCGGCCCTAAGGCCCGCCCCACACGAGTGCGATTTTGATGCGGTACGGTTGCGGTGCGGCTGCCGCACGTCAGGCATGCGGCTATCGTGCGGCAGCTTGCAGCGCTGCGCGTCATCCATGCGGCGAAGAACGCCATCCATAACGGAGGGCACGGCACCGACCACACTGGCCCTACCGGGGGACGTGTCAACGACCCTACCGACGGCGCCGGGGGACGCGGCACTCGTCACACGGGCCCTATGTAGATGTGGACACGTCACCGGCCCCACCAGAGGAGGCGGCACCGGTCCTACCGACAGCACCGGGGGGACGCGGCACCGGTCACACGGGCCCTGCCGGGGGGACGCGGCACCGGTCTTAACGACAGCACCGGGGGGACGCGGCACCGGTCCTACCGACAGCACCGGGGGGACGCGGCACCGGTCTTAACGACAACACTGGGGGACGCCGCACCGGCCGCACAGTCCTAACGAAGGACGCAACACCAGCCCTGCCGATGCAGCCCGAGGACGTGACACCGGTACTAACGAAGACACCGGGGACGCGGCGCCAGTCCTACCGGGGGACGCGGCACTGGCCACAGTCACACCGGCCCTACCGGGGGGACGCGGCACTGGCCACACCGGCTCTACCGGGGGACGCAGCAACGGCCCTAATGGAGGACACTGCATCGGCCCTACCGACTGCACCGGGGGACGTAGCGCAGGTCCTACCGACAGCACCGGAGGACGTGGCACCGGCACCGTCACACTGGCCCTAAAGGAGGACACGGCACCATCACTTCGGCTCTGCCGGGGACACGGCACCGGCCACACCGGCCCTAACGGAGGACACGGCACCGGCGCTACAGACGACACCGGGGGACAGCGCGGGTCCTACCGGAGGATGCGTACAGTGGAACGTGGCACCTGCCACACCGACCCAGTATTCTTCCACCGGCCCTGGAGGGGGGGGGGGGGGAGGGACGCGGCACCGACGCTACCCTACCGACGCAACCGGGGACGTGCCACCGCAGGGCGCTGCACCTGCCCTCCCGACGTGACCGGGGGCGCGGCAACGGCCCTTCCGGGGGATCCGGCACGGGGGGGGGGGGCAGTACTGGCCCCACCGACGGCACGGGAAGTTATAGGAATCTTCCCATGGACTAATCTGTGTAGTTTCGTACAAATTTTCGCTTATATAAACAGCAACGTTAAAACACCCAGCCCCGGATATAAATGCTAGCGATACACACGCTTTGGGTGTGGCGAAATTTGCCTAGCAGGAATCACAAAGCCACTCCCACGGCCACAATCCTCATTGGTACGCTGGCTTTTATGTTGGAAATGAACGTATGTTGCGGTGTCAAAACAATCGGTGTTGGCAAAAACACGTATGTCATCCACTGCTAGTCACATACGTTGTTTTGCCAATTACGACTGTAGTTTGAGCGCCACATACGTGGTTTAGCCACACGGAAAATGACATACGTGTTTTTTCCTTTGCAAAGTTTAATTTGATAGATCAAATTTGATGGTGGCAAAACAACGCCCTGGAGTTTTTAGGGCAGTATTTATAAATATATATTTACAACAAGGCTCATCGGAATCGCAAGGCGGAGAGGAATTCAATGATATCTTTCTTTTGTCTGTGCGAGCTTTTACACGGTTGCTACAATGAAAAACGCATTTTCGGCTCTCCTGAACATTTTTGTTTTTCAAAAAACGGTAACATACGTGGTTTTTCCTTTGCACGGCAGAACACATAGTTCTAAGCACATTACAAGCATCCCGTAGTTGCACCAGTGCGCGCCTGGCATGTTATCTGCCAGTGAAAAAGGTCCGTGAGATACTGGAAAAGAAGTGACAGTCACAGGACAGGTGAATGCGCCAGGGATGCCGGATGTCCAGCCTACGCTGCGGAAAGAGATGTTTACAAACCAGGGTAATTCGGGGAGTAATTAGGGGAAACAACACAGAACGAGGCATACGAGTATCACACGACACAGCGGCCAGCTAATGCTGAGAACCGAGAGCATTAGCAAAATGACAAACACAAAGAAACTGAAACAATTGCAATCTACTAAGGCGTGTTTGAGCAAAGAACAAAAGTTTCTTTAATATCATTGTATCAAAACCTTTCCTTGAAGCCGTACAGGTAGTCAAAAACCATATCTACGTTATATAATATCAAAAGGAGAAAAGAGACTTTTGTATCTGACAGGTCTAAATTACAAAATTATTTTAGGAATACAGTATCAAGGGAATTCATTAACAAAAACATATTAAAGCCAACAATGCCATTAAAGTCTGATCGATACGTCATTATGAGCGATGACATCGCTACATTTGACCATGTGCTTGCGTCATAGGCTGTCCCATGACGATCATATCAAAACACTATTGAACACCAATACCAACATTGCGAGATTAGTTTCAGCTTTGCGATACGTCAACGGATAAAAAATGAGGAAACATAGTAGCCGACGACTAGCCATATCGATTTATGACATCGAGCCCCCGAGGTAGAGCGCGCAGAAGAGTGTAACGGCCCTCCCAACCTCTGCCCGCCACTGAAGAGCGCCCCGGGTCGCCTATTCCTCTGATCAGAAAGCTCTGAGCTCGACACATTCGTTACTCCGAGTTCGGATCAACTGGAGCGAGAGCAGAGGTGACACATCCGCTGGTAACACAAACGGCGTTAGGCTGTGAGCCCCTGATCAAACGCAGACGTGGAAGCGGCTGCTCACTACCACACGCCCTCGCTCTGACGTTCTAATGAAATTGTACCTTCCGGTGGTCAAATTGACCCAAGAGGTACCTGAAATATGAAATTTTGAAAAGAAAATACGCTCGAAATGTAATACGCTAAATACGCTTAGGTGCATTTAGTGTCACTCAGAAATTGGCTGAAACTAATACACCTAATGTCATGACCAAGGAAACGTAAGAAACCTTTACCTCATATTGTAAATAGGTCCATAAATTAAACCCGCTCCCTGGATCCAACGCCTCACCCCAGCGCCTTCCACCCAGCATCAACGCTACCCCGTTCATCTCTAAACCCACGCCCAATGCCCAGCCAGCCCCACCCCGAACCGATTGCTCACGTAGTACATAACGTCCGTCCAGCCCTCCATGGTGATGCACTGAAACACGGTCAGCATGGCCAGGCCGAAGTTGTCGAAGTTGGTGATGCCGAAGTTGGGCCCCTCCCACTCCTCCTTGCACTCGTATTGGTCGGGGCAGTGGAACCCACTCGACGACGGATTGGCACATGGTGACGGCTCGCCTATCATTTCACCTGTCGGGCAGAGAGAACACGGGTCAGACTCGCGTCGAGGACTGTATCTAGGCCCTGCTTCAGCGGCCCGACGCTACTAAGCGCTACCGGTATTGGCACTCAGTAGCGCTACCGGTATTGGTGCTCAGTAGCGCTACCGGTATTGGCGCTCAGTAGCGTCGGGTCGCTGAAACAGCGCCCTGTTGTCACACATGGAGCATGTAAGTAAAAACCAGGTTAGGAGACGGTCGCACATGACTGAAATAAGCTAATTTCCAGCGAGACGCGCAGACATTATTCAAATAATTTAGTTCATATCGCATTAACTTCAATGTTTATTTACCATCGAAATAAAACACAAAAAGATCTCGCATAGGACGAGCACCATTACAAGGACGAGCACCAAAACCACGCTAGTCTGCTGAATTGAACAGCTCAAATCCCACCACACCTCCCCACCCAACCCTTACCACCGTTCTGCGATTTCACCGAGCGGCCATGCTGCGCCTCAGCGCCTTTGCCATATTCTGCCATCTTTTCCCCAGCTGTCACAATCGCCGTTCCCTGGGGGCGGCCGGCCGGCCCGGCGGCCCCCGGAGATCCATTCCGCTCGCAGAACTCGTGCGATAGTGGGTCGGAGCGCGGATCACTCGCGATACGGCACACCGCGACGCCATGAGGGGTGTATCTGTCGCCAGCCGGCGGACGGGACGAGCGCACGGCTGTCCCAGGCTTCTGCTGAGCTTACAGGCGGACCCGAGCCATAATGCGCTAATGGAGCGGGTACGACAGAAAAAGGAAGCGAGGTATTGCGAGAAAATGTTGGAGGAGACAGTCCATATTGCGGGAACGACAAATCCTCTTTTCGCTAATGCGTGGTCGGAAAACTAATGCAATGAAATAGTTGCGATCAAATCAATACCTACATTGCCTACTTTCCACCTTTCTCGATTATTTTCTTCGAACACAACACCGTTGCACTAATGCTCGTAGGTCCGAGCCCAAGTTTAATTCACTCTGCACTGCATTATGGCAGCATCCCCTAGCCCACCTGACCCCTCCCTCCCCTCCCCTCTCACGGGGAGCACTCTGCCGCTCCGGCGAGCGCGCTCGTTCGGCGTCGAACGACACCATTAACCGGTTAGTTTCTGCCGCCGTCCCGACGCAGCCCAGAGACGACCTGCTGAGGCGCGGTGGGGCAGCCGCGGCGAGCTCGAATGCTGCTCACGTGTGCTGGAGCTCGCAGAACACAATCAGAGCGGTGCGGAGGCCGGCGGAGCGGTGCCGCCGTCTCTGGGGACTCCGGAGGAGCGGAGGAGTGTAGGAGGAGCGTTGGAGGAGTGTTGGAGGAGTGTTGGAGGACACATAGACGGCACGATCGAGTGGAGTCTTCTGCCTCCCCGATGACCGCCATACGTGGTAGGCTAGCGTGGCACGCCAGAGGACGAGAAGGCATAGTGGTGGAGTTTAAAAGTAGAGCCAGAGTAAGCTGTTCATGACAGCAACTTAGAGCTCACATCTGGTAAAAGTCTTGTAAAGACTTACAAGGGCAATGAATATGTTCCGGTTACACCTTAAAGTGTGTATTTGAGTCTGGCAAGAATGGTCATGGGTCACAGCTGCCTTATACAACTGCCTTATTAATTCCCATGTCGTTTATACTCCAGACAGATCCCACCGCATTTAGCCCTTCTTCCCTGGCGCAGTGACCAACCTCTCGTGACCCCTCATGTTCGTGATTTGCCGCTACTGTCGTGCAGTTCAACCACAGACCCGCCCGCTCCTGACACACACCTCCACAACACAGCAAAGTCACGACACCACCCACTCGCGGGAGAGCGGTCTCCAGGTCCCTCCCGGTCGGTCGGACGTTAGCCGACTTTTGTGCAGATTTTGACTGTCAAGCGTGACGGTGTCACGGCACACACAAAGGCCGCTGAGATTTTGGGAGGGAGGGTTGAGCTACAAGACAGTGCTGACTAGGGAAAAAGCACGATGCTGAAAAACATGATGCGAGTTTTACTAGTATGTAGCGCCACCGAGGATAAGAGACTAGCGCATTGTTTTGCATACTCATTGCATAATTATCGTCCCGTTTATTTCAGACGACTCTAACCGTTGTAATAATGTAAAGTGTCACGGATGACACTGGACTAGATTATTGACTGTTGACTGTTCACTGAGTGTTCAGTGTCTTTGGATGCTAGAGGCTCGGCCAAGGTCACCGAGCATCAAGCTGTGACCGTTTCCACCGCCACCGAGCCGAGCTGTAGCACCGTTCGGGGCTGTCGGGACCGGGCGACAGCGGGCCGGGCCAACCACAACAGGCGTCGGCTCTCACGCCACGGCGTCCATTCGGTCGACACGTGGCCGGGCGGGCCGCCTTCCCAGCCCCACCGACCGTCCAACGAGCACAATCCACCCAGTCACCGGCCCAGCCAATCATCCACCCACTGCTCCTTCCATCACCCACCCACCACCCGACACCATGTCACCGCCCCCGTCCCGCCTCTGCCCGTGCATAACAGTGGCGTCCGAATACACCCACCCCCATAAAACATCCACTGATCTATATCCGCCACCTTTCACATAACACCTTGACATGCCACTATGACGAGCCTCCAGTCATCAAGCCACGTCAAGTACGTGAGTGGGTGGAAGTCGATGGGGTCTGTCTGCCGTACCGGTCGTGTCGCGCTGACCCCGCCCCGCTCTGCCCCTCTCACTGCGCGCTGACCCCGCCCCTCTCGCCCGTGACCTCACGAAGCGTGACGCAGGTCCGTGATGACGTCACGGCGAGATCGACCGCGCCAGACTTAGCCGCCGGGCCGGTGGCGACCGTCGAGCGTCGACCGGTCCAGTCACCGGCGGGGGGCGCAGGATTCAGTCAGGTGGTGACCGACCGCGTCACTGCGCGTCATCCGGGAGTCATGAGACGTCATCGGGGCGTCATCAGGGGTCATCACCGACCACCAAGGCGTCATCAAGCCAGTGGACATCATCATATTGTTCCAGGGCGCCATTGTCCACAATACGGCGTCATCGGTGCTTCAGCAATGTCGAAATGATAAGTGGTGTTCTGCGAGTCTTTGGAGAGCGGATGTCTCGCAGCGTCAAAAACGAAAACTCATGGAGGCATCTGGAGTTGAATGAATGGGCTCAGGAATATAGTCAGTGGGTCATAACTCCTCCATGATGCGTATTACGTACATTGGGGAGACTGGCAAAGTTTAGCGAGCTTGTTGTGAAGTTCATGCTAAAGAAAACTCCGGCCGCAATGAAACGGCCTTTGAATGCCAAAAACGTTAAAAACTACTCATGAAACACATTTTTCAACGTTATGACGTGATAGTTGAGCTGAGACATGGTGACGAGAGCATTATGAGACAACTCCAGCCAAAGACAGTATGGGAGCCAAGCCAGCAAAGAAACAAAGTTTGGACGGCTGAGAAGCTACAGCCCCTAAGCGCATCCTTAACTCAAGGTTAGACTTCTCAAAGTCCCGATGCTTGAAGGTAGGCACATTCAGTACCGAGCAACCACGTTGTAATTCACCCAGCCCATACCGTCAAGTCTCAACAGGTGTCAAGGCATTACCAGCAACTCACCCGGCCGGCCTACCGCACGACCCCACCACCACTGCGCATTCCCGTCACCTCCCTATCGCGTCATAGAGCCCCATAAAGGGCTCGGCCCGTCCAGCGGCCGGCCACACCGCTTGGCAACAGGGCCCCACCGCCCGGTCACCCTCGGTCAGCACCGTCCTATTCACGTGGCGACAGAGTACAGACGCGACAGCGCTGTCGGCGCATGCCGCGATACAGCGATCGACGATACCGATGGTGTATGCGCTATGCCCGGACACACACACGAGCGAGGCCGGGCCAAGTCGGCCGACAGAAGTGTGAGACGGGACCCCGCCGCTTCCACTCGATCCCAGTTCTCGGAAAACCACTCTGGTCAAGAGCTCGGAGAGGCGTCAGCGGTCGGCGCGCTGACGCCTGTGAAATCGGCGTCACTTCACAGGGATCCGCCGGCCGCCGCCGGCCGCCCAAGGGCCATTCAATTGAGACCGAGAGCGCCGGCCTCCACCGCTGAGTGGCAAAGTTGGAGGTCGCCTGCCACCGCCATGGAACCGGCTCAGCGGTCGCCGAGATTCACAAAAGCGGGAGCGCTATCTCGGTTTCAGTATTTAACTGACCACCACTGTGTGAATAGAACATAAACTGAATGAGTTGACTCCAATAATGTGCTAATTACGGAGCGAGCGAAGCGAGCGGAGTCTTACGTAGAATAACGGAAATTTCTGAGTATGAGCGGCCGGCCGGCCGGCCGGCCGTGGTCACGCTTTTGCGAGGCTTATATCTCAGCAACCACTTGACCGATTTACATGCGGTAATTTTTGTGGGGTAGCTTCATTCCTTCTACCAAGTATTGGACTATTCCCGATGCATGTGGGTGACCCCTTATGCACGTGCCACGTGCAAAACGAAGAGGTGTCACTTTTGTAATTGTTGCAATATCTCGGTAACTACTTGGCCGATTGCGCTGAAAGTTGGCATGTAGGTAGGCACCCACTAGGCACTGCATATCCATGTGCCAGAGTTGGGGTGCTGCTGCACGTGCGCACGTGCAGGGGTCGTTTCCAGATCTCGAGAACGGCTGGACCGATGGCGCTCAAATTTGGTACATGGTTAGGGACCGGTTAGTAGGGTGCCGTGCAAAAGTCAGTTGGGACCCATTTTGCACGTGCGCACGTGCAGGGTGCCGCTTCCAGATCTCGAGAACGGCTGGGCCGATTGTGCTCAAATTTGGCACATCGCTAGAGACCGGTTAGTAGGGTGCCGTGCACAAGTCAGCTGGAGGTACCCCCTCGAAATTTCGCACGTGCAAGGCTCACCCTCTCGCTCGCTCCGTTAGTCGCCCCAAAAGGCGCTATACTGGTAGCATCGTAGAGTATGGCCACTTTTCTTGGAATTGAAATATCACCGGAGCCCATAAGTTCACCATCCAAAATAAAATAGCTTCAATTGTCACCAATCACTATCGTCCTCAGTCCTAAAAAAGCTAGAATTTCGGTATCCCCCCCCCCCCACCCGCCATATGCCCCTAGCCACCCAGTCTGCGCTCGTTTCTTTCATCCATCCGATTGAGGTAGGTCACACCGCTTCTATTACTCGTCCGATCACGGTGGGTCGCTTAACCGTCTGGCTATGGTAAAAAGTAACATCCCTCGTTTTTTTTTACCCGTCCGTCCGATTGCGTTAGGTTCCTTACCCGTCTGGTTATGGTAACAGGTGCTGTGCAGCTTCCCCTTGAACAGCTCCAACCCGATGATGGCATAGATGATGATGACGAATATCACAAGTAGCGCAATGTGAAGCAAAGGCACCATGGCGCGAAGAATAGAGTTCAGGACCACCTGTAGACCTGCGAACAAACGATAAAACGTAAGCACAAGGCAATCGAGAGGCGACATGCTCAGGACACTCATGTGTATCATTGCATATTGCTGTAGTGCTACAGCCCACAAGCATGCCGATTGTGTAATTATAAGCTGAAGTTCATAACCATTTAACGCAAAACCAGCAGCAGGGCATTGTTTATCATAAGAAAACCAGGAGCCGCTCAGTTATTCGTCAATAAAATAACGAAAATGCCTCGATTAATTTACCTAAATGAAAACAAGCCGGCTTCTTTGCCAGTGTCACGTCTCTGCAACGATTACTATTCATCGGTAAACCGGCACGTGCAACAATAATTCACAACAATGCATGGCTGGCCGCCACTCAGGTAATGAAATCGATTAAAGCAGTCGCGGCACGGCTACTAGACACGTGCCGATGAGGTCGACCGGACCATGTCCTCGTGTCGCGACAAACGACAATAAACACACAACGCTACAGCAGCCTGCGAGCTGCGCCTTCCCCTGTCCCAGCCAGCGAGTGGGGAACCGACTCAGTTTGCATGGGCGACGCTCGAAGTTGGCGCTAACGGAGATGATGAAGTGAGTTAGGGGAGGGGAGGGAGAGGGAGGGGACTTCTCTCCCTAGCGACAGAGCTGAGAGCTCTTTCAAGGACGCGTCGAGGTGCGCTTATACAAAGTTAACTAATTCCCGAGCCGCTTAATGCGTGACGTCAAGGCACAGTGTGCTTCGTATTTGAGCATATATTACGGGAAGAATCAAAGCTTGAGGATAGGAGGTTCTGGGGCTAGGTTGACAATGCTCTGTGCTACATTGCGTCAATAAATCAGAACTCCGATCCTCACGATCCTCACAGCTTGGTGTCGCTTTATCAACTTTTTAGTAAGTTTAACGGATACGACGTCATATCTCTCAGCAAAAAATCTTCTCAAACACCTCAACTTCGCGATGCATTCTCAAATACTTTGCAAAGTAACTTCACAGCTACTTTTCGCATGACAGCCGACCCAAAAACTTCTATCCATCGAGCTAAGTATCAGTCAATGTTCGGACCCGGCCTACTGCGCCAGCCATCCAGTTCATCAGGCCGTAACGATTTCTGTCGCGGGCCGCTCTAAAACATTCAGTGACTTGCGGCCGGCGCAGTGCGGCCGGACGGACGGACGGACGAACGTTGGTGGATGGTGGGTGGGGGACGGTTGGCGGTGGGTGGTTGGCAGTGGACGGTGGGTGGAGGGCGGTAGTCGGGTGGATGGTGGGCGGTGGACAGTAGGCGGCGTTGGGACGGATGGTGAACGGTTGCGCACGGTAGGCAGTGAACGGCGGGCGGTGGATGGTAGACGATGGTAGGTAGTGGGCGGAGGGCGGTGACCGGTGGGCAGCGATGGGCGGTAGACGGCGGACGGCGGGCGGTGGCCGGCCGGGTGGATATTGGTGGACGATGAACGGTGGGGCGGTGGACGGTAGGCGGTGGGCGGTAGGCGGCGGTGGGGCGCAGGGCGGAGGCCAGCAGATAGCGTACGGCGGCCACTGCCAGGACAATGCCATGATAACTGACAGCACCAGCCGACGGCGGCACCAGTATAAATGACACACCAGCTCACCGGCATGTTATGTAAATGACCCCGGGCCGCGCCTGCCTGTTGACTGCTACCCCGTACCCCTACCCCTTTTACTCTGTGCCAGCTGCCATGAGTACAAACTACAAACTACAAGCATGGCCTGTATCAAATGCATGACCCGTATCAAGGTGTCACTCTCGAGTATGCAACTCAAACAGACTGGTCCTGCATCTGAGGTGAGGTTAATTTCTGATTAAATAGCACATGATTCCTTCGTGTATGCATACAAACCGTGTGAAATCTCTTTATATAGTAAACACACCACATCCAATAAATAAGAAAAAGCGCAGTTTATCAAGTTCGAGACACGTTACTCTCCTTTGGCAGTGTCTCCCCTTTAACTCTACCGAAAACCTTCCCACGCGCCTTCTTGAATAACCCATCCGTCTACCGTCCGTCTACGTTACGAATTGGAGCAATACGCCGCCCATTCAGCCCGCCCACGCGGCTCCTGACTGCTCACTGGGTCGATAAACGAGCCACAGACATGCACACGGGTCGCCCCCTCGCCCCCTACCCCCGCTCCGCCGCCCGCACATCAGGGAAGGGTGACAAATAATGCACGAGGGCCGCGCCGTAGAGCCGCCAGCGCAGCGTCCCAAGAGGTCAGCGTATGGATACGGGATCGCAGCCAGCGCGGCGGTGTTAGCCTGACTGAACTGGGTTTAGCGAGGAGTTTCCAGTGAGGTGGATATACTACGTTTTGTCTTAGCTGCCAAGTGTAACTGGACACAAGAAAGTGTGGATAAAAGTAAGGCAAACATTAGCTGGGTTGAATTATGACTAGCTGTTGACTAGCATGTTGACTAGCGTGCGTGGGTGCAGCCACCGCGTCGACACCACTTTGTCACAATCTACAAACGCAGGGAAAACAGCTGCTCGATACGCTAGCTGACGATCTGGTGCTAACAGGTTAAATCAAAACTGAGCAGCATTCATGTTCAGCGCGGCACACATACTCACTTGGTACACCGGAGACAAGCCGCAGGGGTCGTAACACTCGAAATGCCCTCAGGGCCTTGACGTCGAAGCCTTCCTCTATAAGTGAAGACAGCGCCGTACTTACAATACTGTGGAGAAAGAATATCGGTAAGCGATATCATCCAAGGACATCCAAGAAAACATTATCCTAGATAATAAATTAGTGCACAACGATGACACCCGCAATAAAAAATATGTTAGCTTTCACATTATATAAAGTAAGCCAAAAAATATGGTATATTTTGATCGAAACCAACGCCATCTTCTAGCGCGTACCACAATGAAACGGTGAAATCGTTTTTTTTTTTTACTTTAATGACCTCCTTACAATGATAATGAAACTTTCATCTCAATTCGTTTATTTTTATATGAATTTTCGGCCACGGGCCATGATCACATATACATATGGTCAAAAGCAAAGTAAAAAGTGAAACACTGAAATATTATACGATATCATCAAATGCCTTACATACAACGAGCCTTAAAAGAAACGGTGAAATATCATATGCAAGTAATGACAGTCACAACTGAGGACCAATGAAATTATCATAGTGCTAACTAGCAATAACAACAGCAGCTCATCAACATTTAAGACCACCCAACGACGGCATCGGCGCATTGCATGTGTACTTTTTCTTATGGGCCGCTGAGTGCCCTTACAATTATCGGGGTATCATCATTACTTCATTACTGAATCCATTATTGATACATGAAACGCAGACTCATTAGCCACAATACTCCATCATCGCCATAAAGGGTAAATTGTACACCTAATGGTGAATTGTGTACACACACGATATACTACAACTCCGAGCCTTTACTGAATCGATCTAAATTTCGAATGATTTGGCTTCATCACCATAAAACAAACAAACATTGAAAAAATATGACAAACAAACCAGTAGGACTAAAACTCATCACAAACAGTAACTTATGCAAAACGAGCAAAAACTTTTGATGAAACCGCCCACAACATTATGCTCTAATGCATAACACTCCCAGCGTACTTACCCTATAACAACAATGCTAAAATCTAAGATGTTCCATACGTTGCGCAAGTAGGCGCCCGGGTGGAACGCAAAGCCGTACGCGATGATTCGCATAACACACTCGGCTGTGAAGATCACCAGAAAAATGTACTCAATCCGTTCCTGTAACATAAGAACAGGGGATTGTGAGATGTCAACAAGGGATTTATTATTTTTAGCCAGAGAGAGAGTAGATAGATTTCTAAGACAGGGCACAGCTGGAAACGAATGCATCAACACGTTAGTTAAACAGACACCAGAAGTTTAATCGGCCATGCCACCAAGAGCGTTACCAGGCAATAAATGTAGGTCAAGATCTGTTACAGCGCTGAGCAGCCACAGATCACACGAACACCCAAACACAGAAACGTCCTCAGATAACGCCCAACGAAACCAGCCCAGCAGATATCGCATTACCCATTATAACCTCCAACACTGTGTTTGCATTCTTCCCGATAGTTACGCCTAGCTTCACCGCATGGCAACAGCGGGGCGGCGTTTTTTTTTTTTTTTTTTTGCTCCGGCGAGTCTGGTAGCCTATCAGTCAACGGAGGAAATTACGTAGCCACAAAGTGATAGGTCCTGTAATGACTGGAGACATCAGCAAACTGATTGTCCTAACGCCAGCAAATAAGTCCCATCGATCCAGAACAGCTAGCTGACGAAACTGGCCGATCAATTGCATTGCAAACTAGGTGCCTCTGATCAGTTATGCACTGCCTGCAATACTGCATTAGTATTAGTATCACATACAGCATTGCACAGGGCAAACATTTTACACGGATGATCTGGGACGCAGCAAGCAATCATCAGTTGCGCAAACAGCTCTGCTGTGCCAACAAGACTTTCTGAGACCACTCCGAAGCGCTTCATCAACGGAAAACAACAGGATCATCCCTGAGTCTGCGACACGAGACGGGAAAGCGAGCGACGGACGAGAAGAGGGCGAACGACGATCGACGGGGCGTCGGTCGACGGACGACCGGGCGGGAGAGGGGGGGGCGGAAGATGAGGGACGCGGGGGGAGGGGACGGTGCATCAGTGACCCATGTCAGCGTACCCCTCTCATCGGGCGACCTTCTCGATGGAGCGCCGCCAGCGGACGAGCCAGCGTGGCGGACCGGATGGAGCTCATTTCCGGCATATTCTACCGTCGTCCGGTAGGATGGCAGATCAGCCAGGGAACGACCGGGATCGTCGACAACGACAGAGCGACGGCGGCGACTTTCCGACGCTCTGACATTCAGATGCTCAAGTGGCACAGACGTCCTGACCTATCATGACCACACACCGACGGACGCGACGGGCGAGCATTGTTGCCGTGACGGTTCAAGACGATGCGTGACGATGCCGACGGAGCCGTCACGCGGAAATATAGGGGTCGTGCGCGGAAGGTGGTGCTACCAGACCTGACCCGCGCGGCTGATCTAGTCGGTCTTGCGGGCCACGCGATCATGTCAGCTGTGTCAGTGGCCGAATACAAAGAGGGAAGTCATGTGCTGGATGGAAAGTGTGTCACAAGACACAAGCACCTTTAAAGGTCAGGGTCAAGCGGTAGAATAACGACATTGCCATAGTCCAACTGAGCCGCAGGAAAATGGCTAGACACTCGGCTGGTCTAAAAGTATTGTGAAAAGTGAACAAGTAGTGCGAGTGGAAAGATACGTTTTTCAGGACTAGAAAGACCTGCACGGATGTTGTACCCAGAACCTTATTTACTTTTTTGTCGTTCAGTCTCTCAAATGATAATATTCGTTTTGTAAATATTACTCCACAGACCATGAGCTTCTTTGCATTAGCACTTGCTACGATCCAGGCTCCCGTTCGCCTGGCATTGCCGCCCTCGTCCTGTGCCAGTTTCTCTGCCCAGGACTCCGCTCATTTCTTCCTCCTTGCCAGGTCACCCGCTGGGTTTCGGCCTTTCTCCCTCCTTTGCCGCTAAACAAGCACCACCTCCACCGGCGTCTCCGTCGACGCCTCAGCGCCACGCAAACAATGTTCGCCGGAGCTAAAACAAAATCACAAATAGCTGGCCGCTGCCGGCCGGTTTTCTCGAGACTCATCCACCAGAGCCGGGAAACCGGCTAAGAAGACACAAATCTACATGAGCTGCATCGTGGCGAATCGTAGCGGCCAGTAGCGGCTCGCGGCGGCGCGAGTGAGGTCGGCCCGGCTGGCAGTGCGCCTGGGACGGTGCCAGCCGGAGCGGGCTGCTAAAATGAGACGGAGCGGGCGGCAGGGCAGCTAGCGGTCGGCTCCGGTGGCCTGACGGGTCGGCACAGAATGCCGCGGTGGACACTGGTAACGAGCCCCGACCGGCGGCCGCTTGTGTCGACGGCGGGTCAGCGCCCGGCGCAGGAGCCGGTCGGGACAGCAGTGAGCTGTTCACTGGAAATCATACGTTGCACCATCCTAGGTCCACGGGGGATCTACTAGACCCTATATTCTTGGAAGAGATCCGCTGTACTTGAATCATCGAAAGAAGGTTCGCTTTGTTTCAATCTTGATGAGCTGGTGTGTTCAATCCTCAATCCTTTGAGGTGGTAAATATGCCAATGCGCTACAATCACATGAGCTCATGCGGTGTTATCAACAGGCCAATATGGCGAACTTCAAAGACTAAGCTATGATATTTTCTAAAGAACGGAAGAATTGTCCATGGACCTCTGTATACAGAGGCCTATGAATTGTCGTATTTTGTTCTTATCGTCTCTGCCTTCGATGGCTAGATGACCACTGGGTGTAGGTTTGTGGGGTGGGTAGCCAGTCAGCCAGTGAACCAGTTAGAAAGACAGAGGGATAGGCTGACAGACGGGCAGACAGACGGACAGGCCGAAAGACGGACAGATTGACAGACAGACAGACAGACAGGTCGGGTCAGTAAGTAACCGGTGTCCGGGGAGCGGGTCCAAACGCGCACGCGAGCCTGTCAAATGACACAGACTCATCACCGGAGTGGCGGGCACGGTCCGCCACGAGTGGCAGGCGCAGTCCAGCGCGAGCGATCGCTGGGCTTTTAAAAATCGTCCGGGGAGCGACACAAGAGACCCGAGACACGCAGAACGCAGATTGGGTTCAGAATAAGATAGTGGTCGTTGCAAATTAAGGCGCAGCATATTACGCTATCGTGCGTCGTGCAAGTGTCAAGGAGTCCTGTAGATTGTTTCGTGAAATTAGCGTATGAATATGCATGTCAAATTACGACATGCATATTCATACGCATGTCGTATTATTTAAAGAATCGTTCAGACAAAAACGAGCAGACTTCAAGAGACTTTCAGACGGTAGGTATACCGAGTATCTCAAGGGCTTAGTAGGCGAGTTTCGCACAAATCCGAAGCGTTTCTGGACGTTTGTGAAGTGTTTAAGCACTCTAAAGGTCTTCCTGTTTTAATGAGCAGCGGCAAGCGAGTCTTGGATGACATTGGAAAGGCAAATCTGCTAAACCGCACATTTGCGTCGAAATTTTCCGACCCCACCGTCGCCGTATTCCCCAACGTACCTTCTTGTGCTGACCACCGTCTGTCGGAATTAAATGTGTCGGAGGAGGCTGTGCGTGGTTTACTCCGGGAGCTCTCCGTCAGCAAGGCGTGTGGTCCTGACGGATTGAGCGCCCGCATTCTCCGTGAGTGTGCAAATGAATTGGCCGCCCCTCTGTGTAAACTTTTCCGCATATCCCTTTCATCCGGTATCTTCCCTGAAAAATGGTCTGAAGCCAACATAGTTCCCATTTTCAAAAAAGGATCGCGGAACGATCCAGCTAACTACCGCTCTGTATCGCTTCTTCCCCTATGTGCAAAAGTCTTTGAAAAGATTGTAAGCGAGCAACTCTTCCAACATGTCCAGCCTCACCTTTCTCCGTTCCAACACGGATTCGTCCCAAACCGGTCATGCGCCACGAACCTCGCGTCCTTCCTGTCGCACGGATGGGCGGCCATCTCAAACAAATCCCAGCTGGATACCGTGTACACAGATTTTAGCAGCGCGTTTCAGAGTGTCAATCATTGTTTGCTACTGCATAAGCTCGAAAGGATGTACGGCGTTGACGGCAACGCTCTGCAGTGGTTGAGGTCCTACTTGGAGAGGCGCAAACAACGCGTTGTGTTGAACGGGAAAGTGTCCGAGTGGGTTCCGGTTGTGTCTGGAACACCGGAAGGGGGTCACATCTCTCCGTTGCTGTTCTCTCTCTATGTGAATGACCTGCCAACTGTTATTTCCACCAACTGTTTGCTGTTTGCTGACGATCTGAAGTTGTTTCACGAGGTTAGGTCCGATGATGATGTTAAGACGCTCCAGCGTGACTTGAACGCAGTGACTCGCTGGGCGGCCGACTGGAAATTGAAGCTAAATGTCTCCAAATGCAAGTCATTTAAAATCACACTTAAACGTAGCCCCATTGACTCGACATATTCGATCAATGGCACTATTTTGGAAAATGTCACATCGATCCGAGATTTAGGCATCATTCTTGATCAAAAGCTAGATTTCGCCGATCACGTGCATTCAGTGGTCACAAGGGCTAATAGAGCGCTCGGGCTCCTCATTCGAACGTTCCAGTCGGCTCCCCCCAAGTGTAAGCTGGACAGGCAGGCCGTGTTGGCGGCTTATTACGCCAATGTTCGATCTGTGGTCGAGTACTGTTCAGTGATATGGGGCGGAGTGGCCAAATCTCATCTCGTTCGTGTGGAGAGGGTGCAACACAAGTTTTTGATGTGGCTGGCTTGTCGCACCACGAATTGTAATTCGTCGCTCAAGTACTCGGACCTATTGTCATCATTTCGTGTGCCACACTTAGGAGCACGACGCGCGAAGTGTGATGTTCTGTTTTTATGCAAGGTTTTTAAGGTTGCCTGCAAGTTTTTAAGGTGCAAGGTTGCCTGTTGGTGATTTATGAAAATACAAGAAATACAAGATACAAGATACAAGAATGTTAATTTCCATAGTTGCCTCTGACACCAGGCAAGGAAGCTATGCTAGAATCGCGTGGGCACCCGACGTCGCCAACTTGAAACCTGTATTAGTGTGACTAATAAACAAAGATTAACAGGGTGACAGAAGTCATAAGCGGCACACAAAGAAGTCTGTTGTTGATGAATGTTACCGCTGTGTCATGTAGTCGACGTTCATTTCATATCCATCAGTCAGCAGCTTAGTTATTTATTTAGACGTTTTGCCATCCACGATACTTGCAACTCCGTTCCAAGCCACAAAGTCACAAAGGGTAAGGGTAAAACTATCACAAAGGGTAAAACTAGTCCCATAGCTACCACGACTGAAGGAAAAAACAGCATCAGAGATCCCCACGCCCACCTCCACCAGCAGCCGGCGCCGGTCGGGCGGCACATCCGGTGGGGCCGGCGCCCGGTTCACCCGGTGCCGGCCTGGGGCGTTTCACCAGCCGCCTGCAGCCATCAGCGGGGGCCCCGGTGCCGGGCAGCACTAACAGAGCTAGTCGGCGCGGACCGATAGAGCTGATGTGACGGCCGCCGGCCCGGCGCCGACGGCAGCCGCTCAGAGCCCAAAGTGAACCGACGCGTCGGCTGGGCGGACGGGCACACACCATCGTTTGGATGAGATGACTAAAGGTGCTAATGGAAACGGGAAATTCCGGAATTACTAGAGTGAAGATGACTAATGAGCGATGGAAGGATGGAAGATGAGTCAATGAGGGCAAGAAAACCAAAGGGTGGTAAGAAGAAGGGACCCAAGAGAAGAGGGAAATAATGAAACAGGAACAGAGCTGAGAAGATCCGGGTTTGTTGGTCGGGGTCGAAGGGTTCAGATGAGCCAACTCGAGGAGGGCTGAGGTAACATCAGCAGAGCAGAGCCGGGCAGACGTGCTTTAGTTGAGCGAAACAGCTCGGGACTGGTTACAGCCCAGCTGTAACCACGAGATGAGGCAAGGAGAAGCAAGACGGGAAGCTGAACGAGAAGCGAAACGAAACGAGATGAGACCAGCGGAGCTAAACCAACAGCAAAACCCTGACCATAGCCGAACAGGATTCAGCCAGGTTGACCCGAATTACGCCGAGCGAGGACGAGCGGTGCGCTGTCCAGTTGCACGGTAGACTCCCTGGCAGCAGTCCAATGGAGTTGCATCTGGCACGGAAGGCACACTGCCGACACCGACTGCCGGGGGAACGCCGAGGGAAATCCAGCGCCGTGTAAGCGCCCCCTCCGGACCGCGGCCCGCTCAATTGGAGCGACTCGGTCCGTACCCGGACGGCGAGAGAACGCTGCATACCTGAGCACTTCTGGGTACGGACGCCGGAGCCTTCCGAGCGTCAGGTCGTCTGTGATTTACAATGGCAGTGGCTGAGTGGAGCTGCTAAGATGGGAGAATTTCAAGCAGTGGGGACGCACTTAAATCGAAATCACAGCCAAGATAACCAGCTAGAAATTACGAATATCATTCACAAATGATTTGTTATGTACCTACATCACGCAGAGGTGCAGCTGCAGATGCATTACCATTTACCAGTCCGGATTACGCACACACATAATGGACCGTCAGATTCTGCCCCCGGTAATGGCAGGCGAACACAGACGGCCGTTCCGCCAGCCGCTTCTTTCAGCCCCGAGTTGCGCCACATCCGCGACCGCTGCGGCTAATCCGACCCGCACCTGGTGCTCGGGTCAATGGCCAAAGCCGACTGGCGAGGCACCCCTATTGAGCGAGGCTAGGAGTCGCTAGTCGGGTCACACCAAAGTCCGCATCTGAGGGGATGTGTTACTAATCACGTCATAATAAGTCTACGAGGTAATAACAGACGCAATGGACGGGGTTGGTGACGACTGCGGATGGTCACAAAGGACAAGGGAGCCCCGAAGCATAACCAAGAGCGCTGGCCTTTCAGAAACATTGAGCCCCAGAAGCTTGGCTAGATGAACCAGTAAGGCGTCGAAAAGGATTATGTCGGTGCAATACGCGACACGTGCAACCCTTTCCAAAGGACAAAAACTCGAAAAAAATCGAATTTAAAAGATTGAATGCCGTATTCGATTCGTCATCGGTACTATCAGCAACATTCATCTCATGCTTCATGATGCTGATTGGGTTTGGTGGCGTGCCCCACCTCTGAGGGTTATATGACGCCAAGTCGTCAACTTCACATCCATCACTACATTAAGTTCTTAACTAGCTCACCTACCAAGTCGTCTATCTGAGTTCACTCACCAAGATTGAGTTGGTGTTGTTGGAGTCGCCATTCGGGTACGGTGTGTACACGGCCAGTGCCGCGCAGTTGGCGAAAATTGTCAGCAGAATCAACGTCTCGAACGGCGTGCAAAAGGTGGTTAAGGAAACGCTCATACTGATGGCTAGACGATGGCATATGCTATGCAGGGGCGGTACATGGAATGTGATGTGATTAAATATACACAGAATCGAGCAAGTTAATGAGCCACACAAATGACCACAGCTCACGTATCAGTAGACAGCACAGCATAAAAACGACGCTCATCATTATCAGCAGCCCAGATTCCTGAATGGAAAATACCACAGAACCGGAAGCACATCACAGTTAGCAACGAACACCACAAATCATTATAATAACCACACCAAATAAAACTTATCTACCATGCACTTATGGCACACTTCTCTTAGCTACCACACAGCGGCTCTTGGCAGTGGACAGCCAGACACACATTACCATTTTCATTAGTTACAAGCTCCCTTATCACTATTCCCATTTTGTGCCAGTTCACACAATCTACGACCCAAAAAGAAACAACAAAAATGACTGCCTCCAATAACACCCTCCTAAATCTAATCGGCCGATTCCATGAGGGCAGAATCCAATTGTCACGATCCAGCCCAGACAGAACCACATCAGTCACAAGACACGGCTGATAAACGCGGCTCAAACAGGCCTGTAACGATCGCCTCCGTGGGCTCACGGCCGAGCAGCGCTGCAAGACTTGTTTAAACTTTTAAATTTCATCCGAGCGAGATGGTCGGAAAGGAGCACCATTGAGGCAGAGTGGGGGAGGCCGAATAGGTCGCGCCGAGACGGTATTGAGCGGACCCGGCAAGGGGCGGGCGGGGCGTGGGACGGGGCAAATAATCCAATTGAAGGCGTAGCAAATACGACCAAATGCATCTCAGATGTTTATCAGCGTCGACGTTTATAAATGTTTGTCGATTAACTTCCACGTGCTCCAAGAAAACATCCAACAACAACAAGAAAACTCCAACAATGCTCATTTATCAGCAACTGACCAGCGCTGTCTATGACTTTTGTTGCATCTATCTGCAGTGATCGAGAATATCTAGTGCCTAGGGCCGCCTCAATCCATTTCCCATTTGTTATTTAGTTCGAAAAAGGAAAACACTCGGCAACCCACTCTGCGTAGATCTGAGACAATTCAGTTCATGTATCTTCATCGTTGCAAGGCCATCTTGGCGTAATTAGCAATCCCAACCAAACAGTCCGCGAGTCTCCCTAAAGCCACTTCTTCGACCCCTCTCGCTCGTTCCCCCCTCCAGCTGCGCCCCGGGCACGCGGCGACCACCTGTTGCCCCACCCATTGTTTGGGTCCGCGGCGCTGGAATCCCACTCCGATGGGTGGACACCGTTCGCCTCTTACCATCCAACGCACGTGGAAAGAGCCGCTCCAATCGAACCCCCAACGAGCAACAGGGGCCCGTCCGCGCGGCGCTGTCTGCCGGAACAGCCTAACTCCCCGGCGGCCGGCTGTGCGCCGGTACAGTCTAACTCTCAGGCGCGCGGCGCAGTATCGCTCCCCTGGGCGTGCTCTCCGCTCGATTGAGACGGAGACCGGGCGCAGGTAGGCCCTCTACCTGTCCTCTGCCCACCCAGTAGAGCATCCATCTCGACTCCGAGAGACGTTTCGATCCCATTCAGATCGGCGCCCGGCTCGGCTACGCACTTACGCAGCAGCGGCGCCGGCGGCTCCAATTGATCGCCGAGACGGCGCCGCCGCGGAGGTCTGGACCGCGCCGGTGTGCCTGCTCGACACACACTAGCACGTCGAGCTGAGTACGCTGCGCACAGAGGCAAGGACGCAGAGCGGCCAGAGGTAGCGCCGTCGAGCCGCGGCCGGCGACGGCGGCACAAGGTGCGATCGATACCAGCCGGCGCCGCCGAGCGAGCGTCCGGCGCCCAACCTGTGACCTGCGCTCTGTCAGGACCTAATCCCGACCCGCGCGACGGTCGCGGCTGCCACTGGTCAGTGTCCGTCCAGAGGCGTGATTGCCCCTGACTGGCACGCCCCGGAGAAGCCCCCCAGCGGCAGCGCGGCCCGGTCAGGCGACCTGGCGACCCAAAGAGATGTGGGATATTACTGGCGCATCACTTTCTGATTCCGACGGTATTGAAATCGATAGTGGTTCTCTCCCAGTTGTTTATTTTTAGCTTGGACAATATGCCTTTCCCCAACGACCGTGTCCCAATGATTGAGGACAATCAGAGGACTGATCAGTAGCGATCACATTGCATTACGTTATATATTACGTCCCAAATGCGGCATAAAAAGGGACTTTTCAATAAATAAAATAGCCCGGGCACATCTTCAAAAGGGCTTCAGTATAAAGCGATCTTTAACGAAGATGGGTCACAACAAAAGGATATGGATAAAAGCCGGATAGATATAGCCTAACCCGTGGTAAGACATATGCCTGATTGTATTCACCTCACACAAAACAATCAGACAGTTCTATTTGTGGAACCGGTCATTTCTGATTTAGTGGCCACAACTCATGGATCACGCTGCGACCCGCCATTGCCGGATGAAAGCCGGACACAAATCACTGGCATTATTCCGGGAACAGCTGACACTTTGTGGCAGCCGTGGTCCAAAGCGATACCATCACGGCTAAATGGGTCGGCTGGATGAAGATACAGACATCCGGCTGGCACGTCTAGCCTACAAATAGTCATTGCGTCTGCCCCCTCAAGTTCGCAACCCCTAGCCGCATTGAAACCTCACCGCTGGCTTAATTATGTTTCTGCTGCGACATCCCAACGTTCAACTCTCGTCCCTACCTACATATATCCGTTACCACAGCCGCTCATGGGGAGCGTTCTCTTCCCACCTCCCTCATTCCCCTTTGGTAGGCAGCGCTGCTCAGCCCGGCACCCTCAGTCTGCGGTTAACCTGTATTTACGGGACGTAGGCCCACCGACAGCAGACAAAGGTAAACACGGACCAACTCCGCGAACAGCCAACAGGTCATCATCGCTGCCGACAGCTACGGCGCTAAGCGGGCCGTGGAAGGCGATAAAAATAACCACAGCGGTTTGTGGGGAACATTCGTCAAACTGGCGTAGAAAAGGACGGGATAATTTTTGACTTGGGCCCAGGCGTTACATCCATAATCAATATCAACTTAACCCTCGCCGGCCGAGGGGGGGGGGGCGGGTGCCGCCCCCCCCCCATAGGGTTTTTTCGCGATAGCTCCGAACACGCTGGCGATAGAGAGCTGAAACTTGGCATACCTGACCTTTGATCCAAGCCGCATCTTTTGACACCAACCGCATTTTTGGGTCAGGTCAGGTCACTGACCTATGACGTCATAAGTGAACCTCTGCACGGTCTTCAGATGTCGCAACTTCGCAACGCCCTCACTGCCAGAGGAGATGTCAGAGGGAAATGAAACTTGCAGGATCTAGTATCCATTATGAGTCTCACAACTTGTATATCTCGGATTTTTCCTAAAGGTCATATGAGGTCAGGTCATTTTCGTGACCTCACCATTATAAGTCAATGGGGAAAAATGAAAACTGCTATTCTGGCGCTGGGAACGATCTCCAACTATCTCAAGCACACAGAATCGTGATTTTATGCACTCCTTGCAAGGTTAGATGCGTCACTTTTGCAATGTTGACCTTCCGTGACGTCATTTATGACGTCATCAAGGTCATATTAGTTTTTCGTCAATAACTCCCGACCAAACTGAGCTAGCGAGTCGAGAAAGCCACCAATGGACTCAGAAAGACCTGCCGAATCGAATGATATGCGACATGACCTCTTTCGACCAACTTCGTGACCTGGGGGTGCTGACCTGACCTTGACCTGAGGTCAACACCCTAAGTTGACCTGACCCGAACAAAAAGTATATCATTCGACGCGCCTGAGCGAGGCGAACACGATGCTGCCAAAATCGCGGCTCTGCGGCCGTTTTTTGCGAAGTTATTCACCAAAAACTGAACCGTACCCTGGGGCACTTGACCTGACCTCAGAGGTCACCGGTTGACCTAGGACCTTAAAATCGGGTACCAATCTCTGCGTCTCGTAACGGCGCACACGCTCGTTTTTTTCCGCGACGCGCTAGATCCACCAGGGGCGAAACGGCGAGGGGGGGTCGTACCCCCCCCCCCTCGGCCGGCGCGTATGTAGAAAACCAATAGGTCCGGCGAGGGTTAATGATATCGAATGTTAAATAATTTGATGCAAAGAGCAATTTTCATGAGTCAGTTGCTGTTAAACACCACAAAGTAAGCCTGCCAAACTAAATGTAGCAAGTTACTTAAGCAGCAGCTTTCTTCCTTCACGCTCAGATGACCAAGACAACCTCATGCTGCATTAGTAGCGATTATTCCACTACAGTTCTTCATTACAGTTTGGGTGTCTGATGGTAATACCATCTCTAAGCCACCAGCTTCTTTACCAATTTAACGCCATAGGCTACTCGGTAGCAAGCAGTGACGCTAATTGGCTACAACAGAGCTGTCCGAACCTTTTTCGGCTACCGGCAAAGACACCGACAGACATTGACAGCCTTTGTCGCGATGAGAGCCATTTTCAGCGGAGGTTCAGTCCCAGGGGAGGTGTCACATCACCGCGTGTAACAAACACCAGTGAAAATGTTAAAAACAAAAACTACTCCGAGTAATATAAGGTTTCCCACAAAACAGCATGCCAATCCTTTGTGCAGAAGTTACTTTGCAGTTTCTCTTTCACCCCAACAAAAGTCAGTCTACCAGCTCGAAACCCGATCCTGAGCGAGCGACCACTTGTCTGGCAAACCACCACTGTCTCTCCCTCCCCTCCCCCACCACAGCTAGCCCTACCACAGCCCGTCCCGAGCCGCCGTCATGGCCAGCCGCACGCATACCAGCCCGGAGCGAGAGACCCAGACACCGATACGGCCTCTGTTTGAGCCGGCGGCGGCACGCAGCGGCCAGCTCCGGGCGCATACCGGCCATAGCGAGCTGCGCCCGCGGCTACCACACCGGCGGGCGCCGGTGGGCGCCGTGCCGCGCCCCTGGCGCCCGGCCAGCCGGCCCCCCGGCCCCCGCTGGCTCGCTGGTCGGACGGCGCGGGTCGACTGGGCTGGGAAGCTGCTGATAGGACAGGCTGGTGGTGGGAAGGAAGAGGCAGCAGGTGGTGAGAGCGAGGACAGCGAAGTGAGGGGGGGGGGGGGGAACGGAAACAGTGGTGACTTTCAAGAACGTTATATGAAACGGCACAACTTTTCGATAAATGGACAGTGGGTGACCGCGAGATGGCATAACAACATTACAGAACAATAATTAAATCATGATAGTCATGGGACAGCACACATAGCGCCACAAACATCTAAGCCGCGCGTTAAGAAACCCAAAACGGCTTAAAGGAAAAGGGCCACCTTCGTGAAATATGAAGATATCGTTGTTTTTCATTTTGACATTATTATTTTTCATTTTCTTTTTAAAACTGGTGCCAGAAGTGCACAATTCGCGAAAAAGTATTTAAAACTATTTAACATATTGGTACTATGTTGATACTCTCTACGGCACCTACTGTATGATGGTATAGCGATGACGTCACACTCAAGCCAATCAGCGTTCAGAAGACAGACTCGTCGGATTGTGTCAGATAAGCTGATTGGTTAAAGCTGAGCTGGTTGGAGCTGATTGGTAAAAAACCAAAGCCTCGCCGCGGGTGGCTGTATTGTCAGATAAGAACGCATTCCTGGGATAAGGACGCATTTCTGGCGTATTTTCTTTTAAAATTGCCGATAACTACGAATGGAGGCCGAAATCGGCCGTAAGGAGGTATACAAATAGGTTTTCGGACACGGGCTACAAGATGGCTATCTCAGTTTCAATCCCCATGTTAAAGGTGGCCCTTTTCCTTTAACGCCGTAGCGTCTCACACCCTCGCTCTCAAACCAGCGGAATCTCACACTACCTTCACGGCCATCAAATCTAATAGCGCCTTATCGCTTCGATAACGGTTGGCCGCTCTCAGCGCGGCGGCTGCCGCTGTTTCACATATGTGACACCAGGGACACCCGACTAATGGCAGGCACGTGGCGACGATTTTCGTGTGCTGCTGCCAGCCACGCGCGCCGCACTTGCGTAATAGCCGCGAGCAATTTCTGATCTAGAATAGATTTATTTGTACTCTACGTCTGCTCCTCTGGCCAATGGTTGCAGTGGAGGAGAATGGGATGACAAAGGGCCTTGGTGCTACATCCATGACTAGGGGAAATAGACTCGCGAGCAGTTTAGGCTTCTGGATCAACAGTGGGGCTGATAAAAGACGTAAAATACGCAACGAAACAGTGAGAGTGTGGCCCGCTTTCCAATAGCAAGATAACAACCAGGTTTGATTTTTAAGATCAAGAACCCGTGAACAAACTTCAGCCGCTACTGACACCGAAGTTGGTCATTCCCCCGGCTCCCAGTTAGCCGTTGGATCAGTAGCTCCGAGAGATAAATCTGGCAGCCGAAATCGGCGTCATCACAATGAGTCAAAACTGCAAACGCCGAATTCCAATCTCACATGTCAGCAGACGGCATGCATTCCCCGAACGTTGCATCACACCCATGTCCCGTCATCGTGTTATAGGTACCTACCGGTTGTGCTGGCGTGCTGCCTATCAGGTCCTTAGGCACACCAACAAGACCTCGTTCCGCTCCGTAAAACTTCCAGTCAAGCGCGGTCTAGTTAAGCTTGTAAAGCCTCCGGACTAGTTTGACTAGCATATGCTTTAATTGGTATTTGATTCCAATGACTGTGATTGTCTTAGCTCGCAATAAAATAGAAAATAGTATTGTGGCGCAGTAACGTACACAAACCACTACACATCGGTCACAATTCGCTAGATTACGCGAGTTCTAATTTTAGCAAATTCTAAGCTAGCTTAGAATTTGCTAGCTTACGAATGATTGCAGGCTGGCTATCCAGTGGTTAACAGGGGCGTTTGCCACTTGCTAGATAAAGTTACAGTTCATGAGAGAGGTACCAGATGTGCCTGTGCGGGCTTCTAGAGAAAACGCAGCTGCGCCGCGACAGGGAAGAGCTTGGCATGTCTGCTCACAGAGAGAAGTGAGACAAGCGCTGGCACGCAGACTTGGCAGAGATGAGGGAACAGGTCGGAGATGGCACATAACTACGAGGAATACGGAGATGAACTTTGTTAGAAAACAGGGTTAAGTGCATATGAAACGGAGACGCCGTTCATGTTGGTTCCAGGAGCTGAGGAAATGACAGGGCGCAAGGATCACAGAAGTGAAAGAAAGAGAAGAAGAAGAAGTATCATGTATAAGATGCCAGGAAGGTACCAAATATTAGGTTGAGAAACATTTAGGATATAATATTACAAAACAATGCACGCAATGAACTGAAACTAATTGCCACGGGAGCGAAACGAATCGGGAATGCCGAGCTGAAAAGCTCAGTCAGCTGATCATAATACCAATCACCGGCAAATTGGTCACGGTCAGCCCTCTTTGACCGTCAGGAAGTAGGATCCCCTGCAGGAATCCCCACCACTGCCCGATAGAGCTGCCGGTATTCGAGGGGACTGAGTACGGATACCCGGCAGTGCACGGGATGCACTATCGGAGAGCTGAGGGATTTCCTGGATGACTAGGTTACGTAAGTGATTGCCGTTCCCTGATCAGGTTTCAGTTACGTAAGTGGTTGATCGTTGTCGATCTGACCAAAATTATTTATCCCGATAACAATTATTTGTGGCTTGGCAAGGCAATATTACGATAATAATTTGCTGGAATCTAACACAAAGTGAATTATAGTAGGTCATATGAGTAATCGAGGAATATAATTCTACTTCTCAAATACAAACAGCACAACTACTCCCTCCCCATCACACAAACAGCACAATCCCTCCCTCCCACACACATACAGAACATGTCACATTCCTCCCTCTAAGTGCACAGACAACACATCCATCCCCTCTCAGCACACAAGCATCCCCCAGTCAGCGCTGCGTAAAAGGATATTTCCACTCGACGATGCGTATGCACGCCTGCCGGAGTGGGTTCTTCAGTCCGAGACAGAAGAGGGCGCGCGGTGGCCGGTCCGGCTGCACCTTGATGGGCCGGCGCGGCGCGCGGCGCGCTGGCTCCCCCGGCTTCTCGCCGTTCTGCATGGTGGTGGCGGCGCCGAGTGCCGACGCCCAGGCGGAGCTCAGCGGCTTGTCGGCTGTGCCGCCGGCGCCGCCGCCGCCGGAGGGCGTCGCAGCGCCTGTCCCATGGCCGCCCGGACCGGCTGAAACGGAGAGAGACGAGGCAGGTCAGATGAGGTCAGATGCTACTAGTCAGACGATGTCCGGTCAGACGAGGCAGGTCAGACGCGGAAATAGACAGAGCGAGAGTGGGAACTTACACTTACAAATGGGACGGAGCGACGCTGGGAACGGGACACGAGTGGCAAAAGTGGGTTGGATATCGGAGACGGGGTCGTCAAAAGTGGGTCTTACGCAGGGGAAGACGACAAACTCAGGCAGATGAGTCGGAAGGCATATGTAAACGGACCTATATAGAGACATGACGGAAATGCACACCGCAGGGGCTTATATAGGCACCGAAATAGATAGGTAATGACACGCAGTATGTCCCTATGTTGGAGCCGGTAACACTAAAAGAAGCGGCAGCGTACACGGAAAACAGCCTGTCCGTATGCAAAGATCAGGTAGAAGCGGCGACGTAAGGAGAAAATATATGCTAAAGATTCTCTCTAGGTCTTCAGTCATGTAAACTTGCATTGTATGACAAATGCCTACGCGATGGAACAATTAATAATGACCTTTTCATATCGATGTATGGAGCTGATCAGTGACGTGGCCATTTGTCAGAAATAGCGTTTTAGTGCAACTGGAATAGGCATGTGAAACATACCATAAATGGCATGCAGCGGGTAATATGTAGCAGAGAAGTGAATTGAGATGTGCCAAGTGAAAGAATACTATGTCTTTGACAAGGCCTGGAGCGGATACGGGGTGGGCGGTGGGGGGGGGGGGGGGGCGGTGGCGGCCGAGTATCACCAGAGGGCGGTCAGGTCATTAGAGGCATCATTAGAGTTCGGACCACACACAGTCCCCTGCACACAGCCGCAATAGCGCCACGGGCCAATAAGGCGAGGAAAGCACACACCACGGCAATGGCAGTCATACCAGGACAGACGGCACATACAGGATGGGCGGACATGGTTCAGCCCACGGCGCAGGCACGGTCCATACGAGACATGGATCGGATCGGCCAGCGCGGTACTGTCTCAGACATAACAGGCACAGCACATCGGGCAGTCATGATTCAGCCCATGGCATAGACCACAGTACACGACACATGGGACAGACATGTTTCGGCCCACATCGTCGCGGGCTCTTATCGATCGCTGCAACATCGCCAATGGAAATGAACGGCGTCACATTGAAGTTGGATGAGCTGGAACGGTCTCGGACCCTTCGGCCGTACCAACAAGTGCACGCGAAGCCAGTTGTTGATTGCAAGAAAGTGTGCATGAATGCGGTAATGTTTACCGTAATAAATCAAAATGGGTGTGTTGCACTGCTGTCGTACTTTCTCAGTTAGCGTTTTGCACGAGCAGAATGCAGCAATGAAGCATTTGCACTGCGGAATGCTTCACTTCACTTCACTGCGCTATGCAGACATTGCTTCTTACATATTGTTCCTCTAAACACCCTGTTGTGCCAGAACTTAGGCAATATGCACTTCCTGCATACATTCATACATCTCCTTGCGCCTGGGGTCATGCGTATCAAAGTGAAGTTTGGGTACCACCCGGATACGCTGTATGCAAAGTCAGAATCAATCAGCATGCGCAGGCGTACTTGAGAAGTGTGACGAAACTCCTCTAGTATCCACCACAAACATTGGCTTGCGCAACTTGGCGGATCAGATCAGAACACACTGCCCTCAAGCGCTTTCTTAAGGCAAGAGACCGACACTGAGAAGGAGCGTGCCTGACTATAGCGTACCACGTCTGGGCATGCGGTACCTTATGATCGAAGTCGATCGGTAGCACATTACCAGAACTTTCCCGAGTTGGTGGCCTGACGGATCGATGCCAGGACAAATGGGAATTATTCCAGTACAACGACGCGTCATAAATCAGCAAATGTGACCAGAATGAACACAAGAAAGGCCATTATGGGCTTCGGCGACACAGCACCTCGTGCCATAGGCCGTTGAGCTCAAATTCACTAATCTTTGATGAGCTTTTATCTTATCAGTTCGTCAAATGTAACAGTGACTGGATAGTGCTGCGAAAAAGGACTTCCATTTCACATCACCTGATCTCACTTAGCCCTGGTTCATCCGTCCATGACGAGCCCAGCCCTCCCTCCCCAGCAGCCCAGTCCGTCTCCCGGCTCGTCCCATAGCCGCGTGGTCGGATCGGTCAGCTCGGTCGGGCCACATATTGGCTGCAGCGCCGATGGCACCACTGTTTACCGACACAAGCCGGCGGGCGTGGCACCTATCTGTCCCTGGCCGACGGTACCATCGTCATTGCCCACCGCCATCGCTGGGAAACTGTCCCATCGCTGCCTACCGCCATCGTAGCTCGCTCTGTCGCCATCGGCCCTCGTTCCATCGTCACAGCTGCTCATCCCATCGCCATAGACGCTCATCCTATCGCCAGGCGCTCGTCCCATCGCCATCGGCACTCGTCCCATCGCTACCCTCCGTTCATTGCTTCTCGTACGTACAGTCCACAGCAGAAGTAATGTGGGGTTTCAGTCATGGGTATGTTCTACTTCTGAAGCTTAGGAACGATTAGCCAGACTACAATGAAACTTTGAATGTAGCTTATATGTATCGTCACCCTTGCAGCTGCAACTTTAGCTATTGACATCTTCTTTTCGATCACTCCGCATTAAACAATCGCCAGTCAAAGCCAACCGTTGAGATTGGTAAAACCCTACATTACTTTAGCGGTGGGCTGTACCTCGCACGCGTCGCGGTGCGGACTCTCAGCGTCGCCCGCGGCTCCAAGAATGATCGAGCAGCACACCAGCCGACAAGTCCCTGCCATATTCAGCCGGAGCTTGCGGCTCAGGAGACACCCCACGAGCCAGCTCGGCAAAAGGAGAATGTCGGACTGATTTGGAAGGGCAGCTGCACATAGTCGCACCGTGTTGCTACTATGCAGTAGGGGTTCGTCTCCCACCCAGCTGAGTTCGAGTCGCTCGTTCGTTCCGGAGTCGACACGGGAGAGCTGTGTTCAGCTGGTGAACATGGGACCGGGGAGAGGATGGGAGAGGTCTGGACAGAAGACGGGAGAGGTGGGGATAATGACGCAAAACTTCAGAACACAGGACGATGGTAATTTGTAATTTGAGGGCGTCCGGAAGAAACAGGACGGATTAGGGATATCAAAGACAAATGAACGGCAGGCGGCGCGGGACGTCGGAGCAGACCTCTATGTACTAGATGTCTGTTCACACGGAGCACGCATCTACCAGTGAGGTCTGTTCACAACAAACAGTCCAGCGGCCAGCGGCCAGCGGCCAATGTCGGTATCGGCGATCGCTGACTGGGACGGGCCCACCTCAATGGCACCGATAACACCGAACGATGAATAGGCACAAATTATTTCCGGGAGCACGCACATTATGCGTGATACCGTGCGCCAGTGAGTGGTGGAGGTTCAGGTGACAAGCTGTGTTGTGTAGGTACTTGACATACAAACTCCTGGCAGATGAGAGATTTTAACATGAAATAGCTCAAACTCAGAGCCTCCAGTCACAAAGAAGCCCCACGGAAAAGCCTACTTTGTTTGCATAGACCATTTACCTCAAGCATCATTTCGCAGGATTCAAAGCTGAAACATGAGCAGCCCGAGGCACTCTCCCTACCTAAGAACATACTCTTTACTCAACGCATTGTTAAGAACGGGCCAGTAGGAACGCGCACATCTGCAGGAACACACCCAGCCGGGCGAATGTATAGCTGCGGCGGTCGGCTCGGTGCCCTAGCGACCACTCCCTGGAGTGCTGAGGGCGGAGTGTGCACCTGCGACCAGCCACAGCCCTGGTCCTAGAGGATCAGCTAAAAGACAACAATGATCCCAGGGGGTCAGCCAAAAGGGTAACAACAGTCCCAGGGGGACAGATGTTCTCGGCCACATCGTCGCTACCAGGGCATCAGCTTCTAAGAAAGTTTCACCAGTATAATTAGTTGAGGACAGTACACACACCCTTGAGGTCGAATACAGGACGGAAGTAGTCCCATGGTTAACGGTCAACCATATACGGAAGCAGCGGCCCAGAGTCCACCCCAAGTTAGCAATAGTTCCAGCGGGCCCGACTCAAGGCAGCAACAGACCAAGAGGGTTCAGAACCGGCCAACCAAACAAAGCAAGACGTTCCGAATGGAACAAGTTTTCGCCTCATTCAGAGACGAAGCAAACCCAGTTAGTCAGTTTCTAAAGCTTCCATACGTCAACAAATAAATAACCTGTTCGGAGACTAGTTCCTTTATGGAACTTCACACGATGGTGTATGTCTTTTTGTTGCGTTCGTTGTCGCCACCTGGGAACCGTAGACGGTAAGGCGAACGGACGGTCAATGTACCTAGCCTGTGGTCAGGAGTGGTAAGGAACTGTCGGTCCCCCCCCCCGCAGATTCTCTCGGTACTTTGACCGACTGGGAAGTGCAGAACCGTCTCAGCGGCTGTGGACGGGGCACTGAAGTGACGCCGTACTGCGCGCGCTGTCCCTTCCATACTCCGCTGGGTAAAATCAAAGCAACGTTCGGAACGAGGCAGACATTAGATAGACTGCGTTAGAAGAAGATAGAAGTTTTAGTCAAACAGCTTATTTGACTAAAACCTTATCTATGTAGGCATGTATCTAGCCGCGTAATGTTCAAGCCCAGATACCACTGTAGCTCATTTTCAAGAAGGGCAACAGGAGAACCACACTCGAGAACCCAAACATTCCGCGCAAGTGGCGACTACCCTTACGTTCCTGCCGCTAGATGGCAGTAAAAGCGAGCGCCTGAAGTTATGCTGCACCGCAGACTTTCAGCGCTCGTCACACTGCACCGCTTCGCCTGAAGCCGAAGCTTTTCATTCTTTGAAAATCAACGAATATGCCCAAATGTAAACAGTTCTAAAGAAGCGAATATAAAACACCAACAGAGCAGGCAATCGCCAGGTGCTATCAGCTGTACTGAACACTGTGCACATATATCTGATCTGACAAGATTCCGCACCTGTTCTAGTCGATCAGTCACACCTGCAGGG